AGGTCCGGCCTTTACAAGAAAAGTGCATGCACATGTATTTTGCAAACTGAGCTTGCATTTATTTTGCCAACCGGCGATTTTTCCAAATGTACAAATATGCATGTTTCAGAAAGCGTGTGTGTCCGTTAGCTCTTGTGTGCACCAATGCTCGATGTTGCTTGGCAGCTTTCAAAGTTCAAAAGGTTAAAAAACGTTATTATTGGATTTTTGGAAAATGGGTTAAAACACTTTTTGAAATCAGAGATGTCGCGGCACAAATAGACATAATCCATCAGTTGGCCAATATAGCTTTACCACAATGCTAATACCCACATGGGGGGGATTTTATTGCACCTTTCCATCAGGACACACGCTTACAGAAGAGTGGAAGCAGCAACGGGGCAAATTAAACGTGAAAAACGGTGAAAAACTGACTGCACAGCAGAACATCTTCAGATACCTGCAGGGCTTCTTATGAAGTTGTCTTTGTCTTTTGTTGGATGAGGAGAAAGTAAACCGTTATCAAATTGACAGTGATTGATTATAGTCATCAATGCGTCAGCATGTCTGCATTTAAGCTGTTTTTAATGTGTAAACCAGCGGGAGCTTCTGAGTGAGGCATGCTGGGTGAACCTGCAGCAGACGCTGGTTCGCGACTCCTCACTGATCAAGTTCCATCAGAAAACTCCTGCACCTTTGGCAGAATGTTGGATAAACTAAATATGTGTTTGTTATTTTGTTATTTGTGGAACAGAATTGACTTTTAATTTACCGAATGGCTGTTGATGAACATGATAAGACTGTTTCAGTTGACACGCCGGGACCGAATCCACCTTTCAGCACCACGGAGAGCGCTGCTCCATGCGGTTAAATACTTAATAGAAAGTAATAATCCGGACTTCTCTTAGGGTGATGACATCATTAGACTTCCACGGCTGCATTTAAAAACCTCATCAGAAGCTGGGAATCAAAGTCCATTTTAAAAAGTACACCCATAAACCAAAAATAGATCTAATCGTTTAGGTAAAAACGGCGATCGACTAGAAGTATTAAAAACATGCCACAGAGGTTTTCCTCTGCAAGGGCACACGCAGCTTAAATGGCACTAAGCTGTCCGTTTAGTCGTACCTCTCCGATGGTAATCTGAAGTTATCGCTGAAGTCGGCTTGTCGCTCAACACACTTTTGGAGCATCTGCTCTCTTCCGCTCCCACGGGCCCCCGACACGCATCCGCCTTCTCCTGCTTCATTCCTTCATATGCTTCAATGTCATCAACCCGCTGTGCAGGTAACACACCTGCCCCGCGGATCACGTCCCCACCCATCAGTCAATGCATCGCCGCCGCGTGTCAGTGGCCCAGAAGGGACTCGTGTGCACAGAGCTCCCCGGAATCATCCTGCTTCTGCCTCCCCGCCCCATCCGAGTGTCTCTGAGGGAAATCAAAGACACTCGGCGCGTTTCCTCTCCGCCGCGCACTCGCCGTTTGAAGAGGCTCGTCTCTGCAGACCCGATGACAGCCGCGAATTCCCCAAATCCGAGATTGTTTGCACGTGTGAGCGCGAGGGGCGAGGCGGAGGAAATTAGTCCTGAAGCCGAACCTTTCCTCCTTCTTTCACACATTATTTGGGGTGAATGTTGGTTTTTGAAGAAACAATCTAGAAATGTGAATATCTCCCACATTCGTGTATTCCCATTTCAAGGAGGAAAAATAAAGCGTGTGTGCCTTTGTTTGTCTTTCATCGCCAAGGCTCAGTGATCATAAGCGGTGAGAAACCCACGGCCGGCTGGTAACGGGGGCAGGTAGATTCCTCTCAATCTCACTTGGAAATGAATGGGGACATTAAAATGCATAAATTCCCTGCTTTGAATCCAAATAAGAATGCTAATGAAACGCTGTGGGTATTAATAATGCAGCGGACGACTTTCCTTTTATTTACTGGGGAAACATTTGAAGGAAGGTTTCAAGCGGTGACGGCGCCGGCTTGTTTGGATGCATCAGGATTTGCGACGACGCGTCCGCTCGACACTTTAAAAAATTTAAAACGGCTTTAATCATAGGCGGTGTTTGCAGCCGGCTGAATTACAGATTATGACAGTGCGTGACACCGTATTATACATGTAACTCTGCACCGCCCACAGGGACTAATTTAAAGCTTTAACAAAGCCTAATTTATGATGTAACTGCCCTTTGGCCCGTTCCACAGCTCTCCAGGGTTCCTCCAGTTGCTGTCGTTCCTTCATGTGCAGCCATCTGTGAGGGAATGAGCTACGCACATGCATGTATAGGTCCAAATGGTTGGTGCACAGACATCGAATAAAGCCAAAGGAGGAAAGCGTTTGAGGAGTCGATCGCGTGTCCGTTAATTAATCGAGCGTCATTAAATCGCGCCGTTCATTTTTGAAGGGGCCGCCTGCCAATGATCAGGGCGAAAATTGAATATCGTTCAGGAGCTGAAAGAGACTGAATATGACCTTTAAAAGCAACTGAATTCTTTACATATTAGACAATAATACAGTCTGATTGTCGTGTGTCACTTCCAATTACCTGAGTGGCTGCGGGAAAAATGAAAAGTTTTGAAGGGAATTCGTGTCCGTGCTCCAAGTGATTTGGGTTAAAATATGATTGACTTCCCCAACACAAAAGCGGCGACTTTCACACTCCGCTGGGGCGTAATTATGCCGCCGCGCCTCGTGTGCCAAGAGACGTGTGGCGTGTGACCAAAGGGGGGAGGAAATCCTGTGTGACACGCATGTCACTTCGTTTCACCCTGCCTGTAGTGAAGGGACGTGGGTTTGATCCCCTGATAGCAAAGCCGCACCACGCCGCACTTTAGGGTCAGCGTGGTTTGGCACATTTGCTCATCGGGCGTTGCCACGGTTACTTCTGAAGCGGATGTTGGACATTTTTTTAAATGCTGCGGGAATGAGCATCAAAACCCGGTAATGAGTCAGCAAGTCCAGTTCCCTCTTCAATGGGTTTTTGGTTTACAGGTCAGAGGTTTAAAGTCTTTTAAGGATTTGTTCTATGATCCAAAATAGGTCAATAGATGCCCTTTTTCTTAAGCTCGTACTTTAGTCTCAAACGTCAGCTCATTATTTCTCTCACAGAAAATAACACCGGTCGTGTCCATTTGCAAAGGTCAAACAAACGCGCCGTTTGTCCCGCTGGCTTGTTGTCGAGATGCCGAGCGCGGCGCACACTTCCTGTCCGAGGTTACTGCTAATCTTCAAAAAGCAAACTTGCTCATGCAAGACGCACGAGAAACAAAGGGCTCGTTGCCGGGTTGAACTGACAGTAGGAGGCAGAACTAAAAGCCTCTGGTGAAACCCTGCTGATCATCACTGAGTGGCATCATTTTAGCACACACAGCTCACACGAGGACGCAGGTAAACATCCTGCAATCCCTCCCCGTCAGTCACAGCACTAATGCAACCCGACAATGCAAGCACACAACCGGGCCCGTTGGTTTTGGATCAGGAGAGCCGGCCGACGCCAAACGGATGCTCGACGGCCGGCCTCGGATTCATCGGCGTGTTTCAAAAAGCCAAATGCCAGATTTTTTTCGAAGGAGCTGCTTTAAGTTTTGCTGGATTTGATTCGACGTTTCAGAAGATTCTTGAGTTCACGACAAACACCCTGAACTGCAGGTGATAAGAAATATGCAAGAGAGAAGGGGAGCGTGTGTGTGAGGAGCCTGTTTGGACAGGGAAGCGCCGCTCGCTGTGTGGTTTTAGCCACCGGTCAGTGGAGAGTGGGAAATGTGAGGGAAATTGAGAACGCTCCACACGGCAGAATTAAGCCGCCAGACTTCCCCCCCCCCCCCCCCCCGAGACGCAGGTATCCGGTTTTTAAAGCCAATGCTTGGTGACCGGAAAGCACCCGCGGAGAGGAGGGAATGAAAGGTGCCATGTGTGCAGACGGGGCGTCAAACAGGCCGGCGGCTGGACGAATAAAACACTGCGTCATGTTTAACCACAAGAGGATGGAAGAAAAAAAACAACAACATGTGACTGGTTCAGAAATAAAAAGAAATTATTATATTTAAACTGCTGTAGTGTTTTAATCCCCACTCAGAGAATCATGAACAGCTGTTTAAAAAAATTTAGTTTGTTTTCCTGTTCAAGTAGCCTTAACCACAATGCCCAATTAAATACGAAGCCCTGGAGACAGAGAAGCTCAGCTCGCATCACGCCTCTGGGTCACAAAAGAACATAATGGTACCAGTTGTGATATAATTAATGCTGAAGCAGCCAGGCTGCATTAGTCTGCATTCACTGGCTGTTGATTACCGGCGTGTAGAGAACGAGGCTCCATGGTCATCAAACATATCGCACAATTGACGTCAAAGAAACGTCAACTAAATGGCCAAAGTAGGACTAAAGTCCTACTAGTAAAGCTCCTGCGGCGTTTGTGTGTTTGTAAAGCCCACCTGCTGTAACCTACGGAGCCTTAATTGATCGCGAGGAACGTCACACCAGCCCGCGCTTACGTATATGTAGTTTAATGCGGTCTTGCTCATCATTCGAATTAGACGTATCGTACAGGAGGACAAATGGACTCTGCGAAATGAGCGCAGTCCTCCTGAGAATTCGGCATGTGATGTTATATTAATAATAAAGCAAGCGCCGTCGTATTTCAACGAATTGCGTTTCAAACGCGTTATTAACGCGCGCACAAGCCGCTCCCGCGCTGGACGGTCTTTGCGTGGAGGAGCAACGGAACCGCGACACGTTAACGGCAAAAGTTGAGCGTTCCTACGAGCACGAAGCACCTTAGTCGGTGAAACGGTCGCCGAAATGCGCAGACGCTGCAACGTGAGTGCGGAGGGCTTTAAAACCAAAGCTCTCTAACCCCCAACACGTATTTATAAGCAACGAAACACTAAAACGCATGTTTTTTTTAAGCTAGTCTGGTTGTCCCTCCCGCTTAACGGGGGACACCGCGGCGTGCGCGCTTCCCTGCGTCTCTCCCCGGGACCAGAGTTCGTTCCGTCGCGTCCACACGAAGGGGGTCTACTTGCCGAAGTTGGAACCGGGAGGCTGGCGGGTCGCTCGATCAGCTCGGGTTGCTGCTTCCCGGTCACATTCATTTCCCATGGAGACGCCGCTGCACTTGGACGAGAGTTCCCCCAAGTCGCCTGCGCGCCGCCGCGAGGTGCTACTCACGTGCGTCCCCGACGGAGGCGCGCGGAGGACGTCGTCGATTCGAATCTCTTTATTAAGCTGCCTGAAATCCCGCAGGTAGAGCAACGCTGCCTGCTGCACGGGGCAAACAAGTGACGGGGGGTGGGTGGGGGTGGAGGGGGGGGCAGCCGCTGCTTCTTCTCTCCACCTGCTGCCCGTCCACCTCTGCACGGTTCCTGCGTCAGACGCGCGGCCAACGCGCGGGACTTTAACCCGTTCAGCGGCGCTCCCGCCCTGGACTCCTCAGTGCAGAAACCATGGCGGGTGTTCGGGGGGGGGGGGGTGGAGGGGGGTCTCACAATCAGTGTGATTGGTCTTTGATTCGGTACAACATGTAAAATCAGTTTTAAAGCCAGCGAGCCTCCACGGCACAATAACCTCATGGAGGTCTGAGTTCTTGAAGGAGGGGAGGGATGATTTGGCCTGGGGGGTTTGGGGGGCTGTCTCACTCCCAGAACCCCCCCCCCACACACACACATCCCCTTCCAATGGCAGAATCACACTAGCTGTTAGTGGTACCGACTGGGTTCTATAAATAGACCCTCTCCATCGCTCAAGTGCACCCGGCACCTGAGAGGTGGTTTTTATTTGTGTGATTGCGACTCGGTAATCTGTGACAGACTTCTGCTTTTTCTCTTTTAAATGATCGGAGGGGGTTGGAGCGCCACGTGCATCTGGGAGGGTAACAGCGATGGACGACCCCCCAGCCTGGGCCTGCTGTTAGACCACGGCGCCGACTTCGCGGCGTGTGAAAAGGTGTCATTGGAGGATTGGAGAAGGTGCGATTTTCAGCTACATAAGCTCCTCGCATCGAACTTCAGTGACAGGCGTCCAACTCGATGCTACTGTGCAAGAATCTGATGAGGTGGCGCGTGGACGCGGTTATGGATTTCAGGCTAAACTGAGACCCAGTTTATTATCGGGAAATATGTGATTCCCTGTGGAATTCAGCCACGCAGCCCCGAGTTTTAGTCGAAGAAACACTTTCAAGAAGGCAGAGCAAAGCCACAAAGGTACAAAAGGGAAGAGAAACGTCGATATATGTGGAGCAAAACTTAAGGGATTGATTAAATAACGCATGTGTCTATTAATGTTCACTTATTAACTCACTGTCTGTTGATGCCTAAGGAACATTACAACAGCTCGAATAGCCCTCAAACTACCCAGTGGTCTAATGCAATGAATCTATATATATATATATATATATATATATATATATAATTCATTTTGACAGTGAAAGCAAAAGAAGGACCTCTTTGGATCTGTATTCCCTCGATGGTTACCATAGTAACTTGACTGACCAGTCACAGGGAACATATCATCTTACACCCTTGTGACACTGGATTTGTATTAAATGTTTCCCAGTTTGAGATCGGTGGCAAAATTTCAGCAACTGAAACTTGTTTTAACACGAACGGCTCTTTCGGGATCCCCTTTATCTGGACAGATGATGTTCCGAGTGATGTTCTAGCGTCTGGTATCTGCGCCACGTTGAATGAAATAGACCTCCAAACGTCCGCCCATCAATCAGATGTTCTCCAGCCCGTCTCTGGGCCTGTGATCGCGGCGCTCCATCTCTCTCCTGCATCTTTAACTCGTCCGAGGCTTTGAAAAGCTTGTGCGCGAGCTTCAAAGTGACTTTTCTCTCCCTGCTATTATATATTTTTTAAATGCTCACTTTTCTGCGGTTGTATTTTGCATTCCAGAATAAATCTGAGTTAGTCTCTGCTGACCTTTGCTAATATTTCTGACCCTTCCTTGTCGCGCTCATTCCCCTGGTGTTGTTCTCGCTTCTGGATAAAGTCTCGTTCAAGGTGAACTGGGATCATCTTGCAGATGCCACTAAAACTAAATCTCCGCCCTGGAGGAAAAGCAGGAGAAGAGAACGTTGCATTTCTCAGTTTTAATCCTTTCGCGTCTTCGCGGCCTTTGTGCCTTAGAATTCTCTTCTTGGCATTAAGTGCATCGCTGTAATTTGCTTCAGCTCCTCTCTTTCCTGTGGCCTCCTGTACAACCTCCTCAGATCAAATTGAAAACTCATCACGCCCGTAATCCTCTGCAGACGGTAACGGGGGGGCAGGGTTCCCCAAAAGTTCACTGTACGGCCTTTTATTTCTGCCTTTCTCTCGTCTTTGCCTCGTGTTTTATACTGTGCTCACCGGGTCACACCAGTCAAACCTCACAGTGGACCCGACACACTCAAAGTGTTATACTTTATTATTTTATGTTTTAAAAACACGAAGACAGACGTGGCTCACTCGTCCCACGTCCACGTCCTCCACAAGGAAGTTTTGTGTGGTTTTATCGAAGGCCGCTTCCACGCGGGAACAAACGGAGGAGACCCGAAATAGAGCTCTGCGGGACTTTTTTTTAAGAGCCTCGTGCCTCCGGGAGATGAATCGCCTTACAGACAAAGGTCCATTAGAAGGATGGGACCTGGGACGACAGGTACCCGCCTCAGAGGTTAAGTGAGTCAATTAAAATTTCATGACCAAATCTCAAATGCTGCACTATTAGGTCAAAAAGAGGTAAGACGGGCGGCTTCCATTTAGCCGTCCTCGGGCCAGGAGGGGGTCGTCGTGATCTCCGGTAATGGAAAATCTAAGAGGAATTTTCTCTGAATTAATGTGCTGTCTTGTTGACCTGCTCCCTCGTTGCCGTCATATTAGTTCTCAACCGGATCCTCGGCGAAAGAGCCGGTGAAAATGTGGACTCTGCTGACGGAGGTCTTTAGTCGGAATTGCTTGCGTGAAATGACCCAAAAAAGGAAAATGAAAGAGGGACCTGCGTCTCTTCAGTCTGAATCGAGCTGTACTTCTAAACGTGGTCATCAGCCCATAAGGTATTTAACGCCTAGACGCCTAAGAGGGTTCAATTGAATTGTGGGACAGCAGGCGAGTTCATGTTTAACTAAAGCAACACTCTAAATTGAATTAATCAACCAAAAAAGAGGCTCGTGGGAGGTTTGACCTGAATACGATGTGCGAAAGATCCTGTTATTGAAGTTATTATTGTGTTTTCCTCCTCGTTTTATTGCTGATGCACAAGAAATAATACACTGCACTGACCACCTCAGCAGAGCAAATTGCCTCTTGCATGATATAATGCAAAGATAATTGTTGTTGTGTGTTTCTGAAGGGCGGCGAGACGTGGTTTGTCTAAACTAGATGGGCCGGCGGCTCGCCGCGTCCACTGAGAATTCCCGATATCGATGTGGTGGAAATCAGATCGCTGAATGAAGCAGTTTTTGTAAGAACACGTCAGGCTGCATTCCTTTCCTTTATTGGCCACTTGGGAGCAATAAAGCGGTCAGATTTCATCGCGCAGACGCAGCGGCCTGTTAACGCGGCGCCGCGCTTCTCCCGTTAGCTCCGCTTTTGGTCTCCACCAACTCCCGGCTGGGGGGGAGGGAGGACACGCCTCGCTTTTCAGCCGCTAAACGTCCCCCTCCGCCGTTCTGCCAGGCACTTCATTTTTCGATTTGATCCTTTGACGGCGGAATCCACGTTCGTGTTAAGCGGTGACAACGCATCACAGCTCGTGTGAATCAAAACAACAGGCCGAGAAACTTTCGTGGTTGTTGACGAACTCCCTCTCTGGGAAATGACTCGCGGGGCTTTGTGGTGGGCGAGAGAAGCCGCTTGAATCCGCTACGTTCCGCAGGATAGAGCAGCGGCCAACGGCGAGGTGGTTTCAGACAACACGGAGGTCGGGGGGGGGTCGCCGCCGAGCGGGAGGACAACTCTGGGGGCGGCGGCGGCGGCGTTCCACGCGGCTCGCGCCGTGCGGTTCCACCGGAGTTATTAAATCAAGGTAAAGCTGACGAAGTGGAAGAAGCGATTAGAAGTTCAATCAAAGAACAGCTCGCATCTCGATCTGTTCTCATTTGCATGGAGCGAGCGTTTGAAGCAGCGGAGTCTTTATTGTCCCAGATGGGCACATTGTTCCGAGGGGGCAAAGGCCTAGAAGACGCCTTTGAAGAGGTTTCAAACCCTCTTTGCGATGTCATGCCGTGGCTCCTCTTATCCATCATTAGGCTGATGAGGAGTCCCAAAGCATTTGAGAAAGATATGAAAGAATCCTCCCTAAAAGGCCATTTTCTGCGCTGAAAGTGAACGAAAGCTGCATGAAATCACAGGTTCGGAGTAGAAAACACGGGTTCCTGCGTGGGAGAATCTTCACATGAACAAGCTGAAAAAATGTCATCATGTATAAATTGAATAGACAACAGTTACCAAGGAAATCACAACTATGTTTGGAATGAATCGTAAATTCCTTTACACACTTAGTTCTCCTTTGCAAATACTGCATTCGTTTTTCTCAATTGGTCACCTTCATCTTCTAACTAAGCTTTCATCGCCATTCAATATAAAGCAGAATTTCATTTAATTGAGAGCCTCTGTGACGGGTTAGTAAGCCGCCGCTTTCTATCAGGTTAACAAATGATTCAGCGGTCTGAACGTCACACTAACGAAGAGAGAGACGCGCTGAAAACTGCACAGAGGAAACTGTCAGAAAGCTCCGCCAGAACCTGTCTGGTGTTCACTTCAAAGCCCAGAAACCCTTCAGGTGGAAAAGTTCTGCATGCCGGAGATAAAATATTCCTCTTCTCCATCGCGGCCTGCGGTTTGAACTCCTCCCACGTTGTGATTAATGAAGCCCCGCGTCAGCCGTCCTTCCCTCGGCGGCGCAGGACAGAGTTCTGTTCACCTGCTGGCCCCCATCGTTTGGCAGCGGGACAGTAGGGTGGGGGTGGTGGGGGGGGAGATGGAGGGACGTCTGGCTTTGGACTCCACCTGCTGGTCACCGGCTCGGCCTCCCGAGTTCACCCCCAGACCGTCTAGGGCGTCTTTATAGCTGGGTGGGGACGTGGGGGGGATTAAGTAGAGATGAATGAAGTAGAAACAACTTCAAAGGAAGGCTGCTTGTGCAGCAGGCAGAAGAAGAAGAAATTTAAAAAAACAGAAAAAGAAAAGAATGTCCCGCCCGGGCAGGAGGGAGGGGAAGGGGGGGGGGCGACTGGAGTCTGGTCTCTGCTTTTCCTCAGGTGACACCGCGTTAATCACAGGAGACCCCCCCCACCATCCATCCATCCATCCATCCATCCATCACCCGCCAACGCAATCAGTCAAAAATGCAAAAAATAAAAAACAGCGTGGAGCTGAAAGGGGTTTAAATCTGTGACAAACATGGCCGGAAACGCAGAAGTTATAAATGACTAAATCTTGTAGGAGTTCAACACTAATTAATTGACCTTCAACCCCCCAGAAACAGAAGAAGAATTCCAGAAGAATTATTGCTCCTGAAGCTTTGATTCAAACTATGAAGACATCGAGGGAAAGAAATCCAGCAGTTCGTTACACAGGACATTTGTCATCAGGCTCTGAGGCAGGAAGTGATGCACGGACAGGAAGGCGAGACACAAAAAGAGACGAGCCGAGGGAAACGGAGGGAAATTGTTGGCCTTTACCTTTTAAAATACATTTTGAAAAATATCTCACATGTTAAATGATAAAAAGATTGAGATAATCCTTCATTAGTCCCACAATGGGGACATTCACAAGCAGTAGCTTGTAGCTTTAATAGCAACTGATCAAAAATAGACCTGCGTGTCATCTAAAATTGAATGGCAATATTTTTATTAAGTTAGGAAATCAACATATTTAAGAAATGCAATTATATACAGTGATTCTAGTTTGGATTTCTTATTAAAAAAAATGACAAAAATATACTTGACACACCAAGCTAATACATGTTATAGACTTTGCATTTCACATGAGCATAAATAGTGATCTTGGTTTCAAATTATAATTACAAGTTCATGTCATCCTCGTGACGGAGTGGATGATGTGCAGTAATCTCCCAGGATTTATTTGTTCACAAAATAAAGATAAAATCAAGAACACTGTCACTGAACTGTTCTTAAATATCTTAAATCTACACTATAGAATACATAAAGCATATCTACCATGTGTTCCATGGGAAACAAAGAAAAGGCAATGGTATAAGAAATCATTTCTCATGAAATATTGATAAGCCTTAAAGTAAAATTTCAAGCGATTTCAGTAAGGTCATGTACAGCAGGTAAACGAGGCAGGTGATCTGTGTTTTTATAACCATTAAAAGCAGTCAAATCATTCTAACAATTGCGAATTCGTTCAAAATATACAGAAAATGACATTGGTGCAAAAAAACGCTTCAATCACAGCCGGTGGTGGCGTGCAGCGCCGTGAACACCTGGGCGGAGATTCACAGCTGGAGACGGAGACGTTTGACCACAAAGCACGGTAGTGGCCCGTCGTGGTCCAGTAATCCAGTGGTGGTGACCTGTGGGGGAGGGGTGGGGGGGGGTGGCGTGCACGGGTTTGATCGATGCGGCACGAGGTTCTCCTCGCTGGTCCTCAGTGGTCCTCTTTGTCCCGGCCCTTCTTGTCCTTCTCGTCCTGCAGGGCGGTGCCGAGCTTCTTGATGAGCACCGACAGCACCTTGTCCAGCGGGTCCATCACGCCCCTCTGCAGCCACTTGGGAATGGTGGTGCGGGCGTGGTGGAAGCCCAGTTTTTGCAGGATGTAGTCCACGCCCACCGGGTCGATCTTGCGCCCCGTCCAGGAGATGAGCCTGAAGACGCGAGAGACGTTCAGTTTTGAGGTTTCACGCAGTGGACGCTGATGATTTCAACTCGAGAGAACGACAAGAACAAGTTGTTCTTCACTTATTATAAAAGCTATTACAGTTAAAGTCTAGCATACGCATAGCTACTTATTGTATATTATACTATGCAACAGCATTTAAAAATGAATTAACACAATTTAGAAGCTTGGATGTTAAAATAACATCTAAAATAATACCCCCCCCCCTCCAGCTGCTTTGGAGGAGCCCCTGCAGCTGACCTGAGGGTGGGCTCCAGGTGCCAGGTGTTGCACATGAACTCCCTCCAGTCCACCGTGGTGTAGTTGATGCCCTCGTCTTTGTCCTCGGAGCTCTCGTCGTGCAGCGCTGTCGGGCTCTTCTGGCCGGGCCGCGCCGCGAATATCCGCGGAGCAAAGAGGGCTGAGGAGACAATGGGACGGGGAGGGGAAGGAGGGGCGGTGGGGGACGGGGGGTTAAGGAACCGCTGCTTCTTTTTTGATGCTTTCACAACAAAACACATTCCCCAGCAACGGACACAATGAGCATTCACGGGCGTCCCCGGTGGCGCGGTGGACACCTCCGCAGCGGGAGTCTGGATTCCAAACCCCCATCTGCCCCGCTTTGATTAACCACGGCGGGCCGAGCGCTGCTGAACCCGCCTCCTCTTTCTACCCCGCTGCAGAATAAACATTGGTACCAACGCTGTTCTAATTGTGTCCAAGGTTTCCGCCATAGAAGGTGCCAATTTGTCCCTCTGTCACAATGAGAGGCTACTTAACATGCTGCCTGCATTGAGCACTGTGACCTGCCTGCTGTGTGTGGAAATAACACTCAGCTGCCCCCCCCTCCCACCCACCGGCACCCCACGGTGCTCCTAAAATGTGTCCAAAGCCACAGACGTGGTTCATGCTGGTATTTCTATACTGTCTGGTTCAGAACGTCGGGGGTTATTTTCCCGGTTGACACAAATAAACAATGTTCATTTTCTGAATGATGTCGTAGCGTCACAAACCTTTCTCCTTCTCCTTCAGGTAGGCAGACACCAGGTCGTGAAGGAACATGATGAGCTCGGCGTCCATGGTGACGCAGATGTGGTCGGTGAACTCCGTCACCACGCTGCACTCCACCTTGGGTTTGCTGTCGGAATCTGGAACAAACGGATAAACAAACTGTTGGGACTTCCTCGGCGCTGGCAGGGCTCTCCTCGGCGAGCGGGTCGTGCTCGTGCTCGCGGTGCATTTTGTTGCCATGGCAACGGTCTGACCCGGTAGGACGTGGACTGCTTTCGTTTGTCATTTATTTTCCCACACAGCCTCTGCGTACGGCCCCACCTGTTAGAGAGGGTTCGTCGGGCTCCTGCACGTGGATGGACTTGAAGTCCAGCTGCATCCTGGGTAGAGCGAAGATGGTCTCCGTCTCGTGGTTGTAGCTGGAGGAGCTGCGGAAGCTGCTGAGCAGGCTGGCGCTTTTGGCAGCCGCCCCGCTCTCTTGGTTGTTGGCCTCCACGTTCCTCAGCAGGTTGAGCTCTGAGAGGAGAGATAATACGCGTCAGAGCTCTGGAGCGTATCTGCACCTATTTTACATTTAGGATAACAGCTGAAAGGGAAGGCGGACGGCAAGAAGCCCTTCTGAACTTCTTTTCGTTTTTGAAATTGCCGTGTCCGTCTTTTTAGTCAGAGCTGTCCGTAGTTGAGGAAAGTTTTAAGTTTGAGACATCACATATTATATTAAACCCCTGTGCTCGGATTTGGAGTTGAGGTACCAGAAACGGAATCGTGCATCATGTGTGATGACATCAGGATACTAAATAAATGGGTCACACAGATTAAAAAAAAGGCTACCTTCACTCCTCATGGCGGTGACGTAGTTGAACCACTCTTTGACCGTGGCGACGCCGTGCGGGGGGTTTTCGTGGCGACGCCGGGTTATTTTGGTTATGGTGGCCATGGGACTCTCGAGCGCGCCGCAGGGTTTGGTCACCATGGTGTTATGGCCCAGATGGAAGTCCAGGGTCTGAACGATGTAGGTGGAATCGTCTTTGGAGCCTGGGCAGGAGACAGGAAACAGGAGTGGGCTGTCAGGGAGGCGTCGAGTGCGGCGCCAAATGCTGTTCGCGTCACGCAAATCCTCCCTCCGGTTCTCACCGTCCTCCCAGATCTTCTGCGCCTCCGTCCAGAAGGCGATGTTGGGCTCCTCCAGGTGGAACAGAGCCCACGACTTGGAGCGGAAGTTGGGCCCGTGGAAGCACGCCAGCGTCATGTGGTTGCCGTGGAGGCTCATGGAGCCGCCCAGCTGCACGGCGTCCTCGGGCAGCGGCATCTGGAAGAGGGAGATGTGGCAGCCGGCGATTACCTTCAGCACATCGGGCCAGTGGCGGTGATGGGCCGCGTCCATGTCTGCGGGACAGAGACGGCGGTTAGGAGACACGCGGAGCTTCCGCGCATCAGGCTGCTTGTGCTTTTTATTTTAGAGCATCTTTGGGGTCAACTGTGGTTTAGAAACCACACATCTGTCCAGGCAGTGTAGGGGAAGGGCCCGCTTACACAGCTCTGCGGAGCCTTTCTCTGCGTTGATGACGGGGGTCTTGGGGGGCAGGTAGGGGCCGGGGCCCCAGGTGGAGAGGGCCCGCTTGCTGGTGTCGAACTGCTGAGTGAAGAACTCCTGCAGCTTCATGCCGATCTTGATGAGGTCCGGTGTGGTGGAGCGTGAAATGATCACCTGGAAAATGTCCCACTGCAGGTCTCCGTGGACGAAGATCTCACTGGGGGGGGGGACAGACGGGGGAAAAGATGGGGAGACAGAGAGTAGAAAACATTAGAGCACGGCGAGAAAGCACGCAGGAACACGTGGATAAAACGCCACTGCAGCTGGATTTCTTTCATCATTTCTTTCCACCGGCTTGTCAAGTAGTTAAGAAAGCCGTAATGAAAGTCTACAGAACCAAAACGGAAGTTTTGATGCGGCTGCCTGTGCTTTCATAAACTGGAAATCAGCAAAGCAACACTGGTGTTGACATCTCCACTTCATGTACTCACTGCACAATGAAAAGCTTCTGAGCGTTCTATCAAGCTGCTGACATCATCTCCCACCTTTTCTCCGACAGGCTGGTGTCAACGGTGCACAGGTTGACCTTCCACTCGTCTTGGAGCTGCAGGTCGGCATTGCTGAAAACTCCCATCAGGATGCTGGAGCCCATGTAGTCCACTCGCGCCTCCGTCGACCCCATGGTGATCTGGATCTTGTGGCTGGGTTGCTGGTTGGGGTGCTCGGAGATGTGGGCTGGAGGACAAGACGGCCATCGGTTAGCGCTGCAGCTTTAAGTTGGATAAACGCATCATCAAGGTTGTTTAGGCTGAACTGCTTTCAGAACAAGAAAATCCATTAAAATGTTATGTCAATGTATCGGACTGAGAATAATTCCCTTTGCATCTCATCACTTTACTGCTCCAGGTGGGGAGTGAGAACTCCGGCTCGGGTCCAGCAGCTGTCTGAAAGGAGCGGAGGCTTCGTTTACTCACAGACCATCTCCAGGGTGTTCACGTCGATGTTGCCGCCCACCACCCCGCCCTTGGAGTCCAGCTTGGAGCGGCCGAGGCCCACGGACATGCTGATCTCCCGGTCCCGGTTGCTGCCGACGGACAGTCGGCCCTGACTCTTCAGCCCGCTGGTGGTCCAGCTGGGGGAGACAAAAGGAAGCGTGAGACATCCTGAGTCGCCGAGGAACGATGCACCAGTGCTCTCTGTGAACATCGAGTGCGGCCACTGAAAAGAGGAAAAAGGGCAGCGGGCCCCCGGAGCGCAGAACCTGATGTTATGTATGAATGAACTTACTTTATTTATTCAGCACCTTTCAGGCACAGAAAACTTTACAATTCAGCAGTAAAAAGCTGAACACAGACAACGTTTTTAAAACGATACGCACAAAAGAAAATCATAAGAGTTTCAAAGCCAATCGAGAGCAGTTTTATCAAACAATTATTAGATGAGGTCAGAGTCTCAATAGGTCGTTATTTCAACACGCCACATCAATGGCGTTCTTAGGCCCATCGCTCACGTCTGAGCACACGCTTCTTTAGTAGAAACACTGCGGTCACCACGAGGCACAGCCTGAATAATTAAAACCCGGGTCAGAGAAGAAGAAGCGGGAGGCGCGTGTTGCTCAGAGAGCCCACGCGTCCCCGGACTCAGCGCTCATAAAGCAGCAGCGTGCAGCTCGCCGGGAGAGATGAACGCAGCCCGTAAGAGAGCGGCGATGAAGGAGCGACAGGGAGACACCCGGCGTACGAGCAGCAGAATTTATGTAAACAGATTGAATATTTCACAGCAGGGAAGCGTCTTCTAGATGGTTTTGGGCCGTCAGACAGGAGTCACATTAAATGCCGCTTGTTTAATCACGCACAGCCTCTCGTGGCATTTAAGTTTGTGGCGAGACAGAGCGGAGGCATCCACACGGGCACGAGGGGGGAAATACTACATCAATATTTTGGTATTATTTTTTGCAGATATGGTACAAAACATGAGGAATAAAGTGCTGGGAAAGGAGTGGCATCCATCGTGCGAGCCTTAGAAAAGATGCTAAATAATAAAAGAAGTTGTTATTTCACAGGATGCGAAGCCCTGCGGGAGGGGGAGGGAGGGGGGGGGGGGGGGGGGCGTCACAATAAGCCTTTTACACCAAATGTCACGATGTGCATTTCAGTTTCCGCGCTGGAGGGTGGGGGGGGGGGGAACAGGGACCACTCACGTGTTGTTTCCCATGACGTTGCTCATGTTCATTTGGACGGTGAGCTGCTTCAAGTTGATGGCGAACACCACCAGCGTCTCCCACGGCGCCCCCTGCGGACCCGCCGCCTTACCGTTCTTACTGAAGGACGGGGTGGACGTCTTCGTCACAGAGTCTGGAAAAAAAACGACATCAAAAAGGGCAAAATGACGTCTTTCGTTGTCACCAAAGGGCTATTTCTTGTTTGGCGGGAGTGCGCCCACCTCTCCTCGGAGCGGAGGAGTCGGACACGCTCCTGGTGCGTCCGGGCGCCGGGGACTTGAGGTGGCCCACGCCGCCCGGGGACATGTTGCTCCCGGCGCCGTGCTCCGAGAAGACGTTGGGGGATTGGGGAACGTGCTGAGCCGTGCTGCTGCCGTCCCACGTCCTCCAGTAGGCTTTGCGGCTGGACTCGGGGGACAGGTGCTGGGCGACGTTCTCGGCAGAGTCCGGCGTGGCGGGGCCCGAGGCTGAGGCGGGGCGAAGGTCGGCGAGATGGGACGTTTAAAAATGAACACGCGATAAACCGGAGGAGACGCATATCCGACCCTGACCGAAGACACTCACCCGGCAGGTTGATGGTCTGGTCCCCCAGGAAGAGGCGCCTGGCGATGCTGCGGCGGTACCAGGCTCTCGGGAAGGCCAGGATCTCACTCAGTCGCCTCATGTCGTACTTGAAGGACGCCGAGCCGATGTCGCACACAGCTGCGGGGAGAACGTTTCGTCGTTTGAGTCACTTTCTACGGAGGTGTGACCGTGCCGATGAACTGGCAGCATTTGACCACAGAAAAACTGGTGCATGTGGACGTTGAGAGATCTGAAAGTCAGTCTCATAAACGCTGGTGAAATGTCCCTTTCAATGCTTCATGAACTGCTGTGATATTCAGGCTCTCAAAAGAGGAACGAATCGACGGCAATAAAAAAGAGAGAATGGCCTTCCTCCGGGCTGCTGATGTACCTGAGATGTTGATAAGGGTCGTGTCCATCTTGCCACCTTTGGTGGGAATGAAGCTTTCGATGAAGGTGGGGCCTCCAGTGCGGCGAATCCTGGACAAGCTGACCTTCACAAACTCCAGGTTGATGCTCAGGGAGTCTTTTCTTCCCGTGACTGAAGAAGGCTCCTCGTCTACTGTACCTTAAGGAGAGAGGGGGGGGGCAGTCAGGACAAGCACCAACGCTGGTGTGAATTCGAATACTCAAGACACACGGTTCTCTTTCCATACCCAACGGCCCTTGGCCCGGCGGCAGCCCCGTGACGGCAGATTTCTGCTTGCCGGCGCCGTAGGGGTGGAAGACGTAGAGGGAGAAGTCAGACATGCAGGCGGTGAAGCTGAGGCCCGAGGAGTTACTGGGGGGCCCCGTCAGGTCGGACTGGCTGCTGCTGTGGCGGCTCCTGCCCAGAGGGCTCCCCAGCAAGGGGGACGCTGGAGGGAGGGAGGGAGGGAGGGAGGGAGGGAGGGGCAGAGGTATGAGGCGTGACACAATGTATCATCATCAGCAAGGACACCAAAAACAGACAAAAATGAAGAAGAAAAAAAGAAACATTTTATAATGAAATCCCATTACTGCGTGTTACATTTCCAAAGGACACAGTACGTAGCAGCGTGTTACACCGCGGAACTGTTTGCAAAAGTGTAATATTGGGTGAAACCAAAGAAATCAGCGTTGAAGTTGTCTTGTGTTATTAAACGCCAGAAAACTTTTGGGATTTCCACAGGACATGTACCTAACAACGCAATGCAAGACGAGATGACAACAAACGGTCTGCTGAAAGGTTAATCCATATATTAATACTATGTTTCATTTTGCCTTGAGAACAAAATGTACAATTACTGTGAATATGCCTGCACTAAAAACTAAATATGGAATATAGAGATGCTCTATAGGAGAAAATGGCAAAAAAAAGGGGTAAACAAAAAAGAAGCTTGATGTTGCAAAAAGACTTCCTGCAGGGCAAAATAATAAATGGATGAGAACAAGATGTGAGCAACGTTAAATCACACAGGACGCAGACATCGCACGGAGTGACAGCTAATGCATCCGCGAGACTTCAAACCAGAGTTCCGTTCTTCACACGCACACACACCCACGCACACACACACACGCATGCCTCATTATTCCACCAGACGTGCTGCACGTACTTTTGCTGGGAGGCGCTTTGGGAATATGTTGCCCTGGCGGCGTGGAGGACGGGTGGGGGGATCCCTCGGCGGGGTGGGCTCCTGTCGGGGTCTCCAGCTCTCCCCGGTTAGAGGAGAAGACCAGGTCTAAGGAGGGCAGCTTGAGCATGCACTCCACCCTGGACATGGGCAGGCAGCTGAAGCGGATCTGAGAAGGCTGCAAACACGAGACATGTTTCACATATTTCACTTCATCGTCAGCAGTGCAACTTATCCACATAACACCACAGGCTCATACGCCAGTTTGACGGAGGGTGGATCATTGAATCTTGAATTTGAACTGTATTTTATCTCTGTAATTACTGGGAAACGTACTAAAATAGCTCTTACAAGAAAATACGGGACAGTTATTTTGGTTGCCGCTCTTATCTAATGTTGCAAAAAAGATTCGGGTGAAAAACTGTACGGATAACTGTCAGATATTCAGCACCTGGACTCTGACGTAGACGACCACGTCCACAGGGAAGGAGGAGTAGGCCGAGGTGGAAGAGGACACCAGCGAGGTGGTGGATTCCTCCAGCTGCTCCACCGCGTCGAACTGACCCATGTCCTCCTCCTGGGACGCCGCCGCTGCTGAGGCGAGGTGCACAGAGAGATGCGGTGAACAAAACCAGAGTCGACTGCCAGCGACGAGAAGGATAGAGAGGTTCCAAGGGACAGACCTGAGTATCCCCTCTCCACGGGAGTGATGGGAATGGTCTCCAGCGCCTTCTCCAGGAAGTCCAGCAAGCAGGGGCTGATGACCATTTCCTCCGGCAGGGTCTGGAGGGCCACCCAGGCGTACAGCTTGGCCGTCTTCACGCCGCCACTGCCCTTACCTTTGGCTGCGGGGACACACGGGAGCTCTTAAACCATTTTCTATTAAACTGGAAGCGTTTGTTGATAAAGGTTTTGGAGGCGTTTTCCCGTCTGTAGTGCATCAATAAGCCCGGTTTGATCCAAAAGGTGGCCTGTGGATTCATGCCTTGAGACTAAAGACGTAATCACATGCGTTTGATTGGGCCGGGTCCTCGTGTAGATGTAAAATCACAATACGGCGCTCTAGTGTCGGTGATTACGGGCATGCAAGGACAAACGAGGGGATGCTCAGTACCTGATGGAATAGGTGGGGGTGGGGGGGGTAGGAGCGAGTTAGTCTTGCTCTCGACCGCATTGGGAGGGCCGCTATCTTTCATACCATACAGCTTGGACTCTTTGGAGAGAGTGCGAGGGAGGGAGGATCCGCGCGAGGCGTTGGGCGACTCGGTCTTCAGCATCTTGGAGTTGTAGTGCAGCTGGAAAAAAAGGAAAGCAATGCGGAATATTGAGTTATTCAAATCAAGAGCAGGAGCAAGAGCACCGAGTAGAAACCCGTTGGATGCTGCAGGGAGCCGACCTTCACGTCCACTCCTGGAATGTAGAACACGGTGGTCTCCGTGTCGTTGGATTTGGTCTGCAGGGAGGAGGCACTTTTCTTGCCGGCGAGCAGATGGGTGGTGGAGCTGTAGTTGGACTGCAGCTTCTTCTTCTTGGGAGGAGACTCCTGGTCCAGGCTCTTGAGGCTGCGCTCGCAGCTCCTGCCGAAACCCCCACAGGGAGACAGAGAGTCCCGTGAGGACGGTGTGCTTATGCCTTCTTCTGCATACTTCTCCCATCATGAAAGTTTTACTCCCTCTGTGTATTTTATGTATCGAGGACACGCTGCAGCATCCAAACTAATCTGCAACTCCACATCTCCTCCTTTCTAGTCCTTTGACGTGATTAAAAAAATAAAAATCTAAGATCATCACAGTAGTTATCAGAATAAGAAGAGAGCCTTTCATCGTACTTCTTGAGGGAAACGTCCTCGTGCTCTGGTTGCTGAGTGGTCGGGTGGAGGACACACTTGCCGCTGTCGATCTCCACGCGGACATCCAGCTCAAAGTCGATGTTTCTTTCGGTCGCCGGGGCGCCGAAGCTGCGGTTGGCGGCGGCGCTCGGCCAGCGCTCGCTGAACAGCTGACTCACAGCAGAAAAGCCAGAAGGCTTCCTGTGAGACGGGCTGTGAAGAAAGGGAGGGGAAAAAAAAAAAAAAAAGCTTTCACAGATCTGTGATGGGGAATTAAAAGGTGCCTCCTTTGATCTAATATGAATCACAAGAATGGCAAAAAAGAAAAAAAGGACTCACACGGGCCTCCGATAGCTCGACTGTCTCTCCCGTTCGAACTCGTCCTCCTTTTCAGAGTCTTCCGAGGAGGAGGAGGACAGGTCGTCGCGCCGCATGTCGTCGTGCTGGAAGGGAAGCGCGGGTGAGAAGACAGCGGGGGTGCAGGGGGCACTGAAAACTGAGCCCCGGCCCTCGCTAACGGATGGAGCATGAAGGTGATGGAGAGGATGGGATGGCTCGTCGATCCTGACTGACAACAGGTCCACCTCGGACTCCTCGGGAAACTTCAGAGAGGGGCAAAGAGTCAAACTCACACAAGGAGACACACTTCACAGGGCTCCTCGTACTTAAAGACGTTACGTCCCGAGCGGGAAGTCAGCCAACCACCCGTTACTGTAAAAGGAGGTAGCGTTCTGTCAATTGGACCACCAGGTATTTGCTTCCTTTTTGTGACCCGAGTCTTAAAAAGAATGCTGAAATCTCACAGAACTGTTGAGATGTTTTGTTTTACGGCCACTGACAGAACACTACCGGCCCGAAGAGGTTCCCGCAGGAGCGGAGAGGCCATGCACTTTCTGCGGAGGAATGAGCGAGGCGGAGTGAGATGATGATGATGATGAGGACGATGAAGAGACGACCCCGATAGGAGAACAACAGGTGAAACACAGGCCAACAACGAAAAGATGCCCAAGAAAGTTTTCAAGTACACCAAGTCTGCTTTTCATAAAGGACAGCTGGGGGAAAAAAAAAAATCAATGAAAGTGTTGAAAATGTTTGCTTAAGTGCCTCTGAAATTGGATTTGAGCATCAACAACGTGTCTATTTGCATTTGTTTTGGGGATAACTCAGTCATGTGACCATGTGACCCCTAAAAACGCCACTTTTGGACGGATTGTACAGTTAGGTGAGCGTTAGAATTTTACATCATTCTCCATTGACCTTTAAAGCTGGATTGTCCATCAATATCTTGTGTCTGATTGGATATTTTTGAGGGTGAGAAAGGAAATAAAGTTGTGATGAACCGCAGCTGACGGGCGGGGATTTTGAGCCCTGCCATGCGTAGTTAGTTAGATTTATTTATGCAATTTCAATGCAGGATGAGATGGTGCGGGTCCATAAATCAATAGCAGCATTCCAACTACGAGCTTGTATTTACAGGCAAGTCTCATTATGCGAACAAGCCTGTGCTGTCCAAATAAAATCCTGGACTAATTCCCTCCCCTCACATCTCTGTGGGTGATTGCTGCTGGTATTTATCTGGTAAGTGAGCAGTAATAAAGTCTGTAGAAAATGTATTTTGCTTCCACATAGCATCAAATAAATCACTTTGTAACTAGGGACACAAACGGATTGCACTAAATTACCATGCAAATTCACACAGTGCTTTTCAATATAACATTGGCACCGTATTAACACAGCCAGAGGCAGTATTTCATCATCCTGTTTTGATTTTGCATATTCATAGTCTGATCAGCACGCTCAAGGTAATCACAGAAGAGAAGAGGAAACGCAAGAACTTGTTGCCGTCTGTCAGGTATTTGAATTCATTAAATTTAGAATTCGGAATTGAATTTCTGGAGCCGTATACCTTGAATATCTCTCCTGGGCTGAGAGGTGCATGAGCAGCGTCCAAAGCCTGATTATTTATCTTCAATTGAACAAAAGAGGGATTCAAAACAGTGAATGAAGTGAACTCCTCAGAGCGCAATGGTCTCTTTCTTTGAGCCCTCTTTGAAATAAAGGCCTCAGGGCACACGAGTCTCAGGTTGCATATGAAGATCAATTATAGTCACACAACAAAAGATACCATCGTCACACTGTTAAAATGACACACACAAAAAAAAGAAACGCATTAAATTCCATCGATCGGTTAAAATGCAAATGTGTCCAAAGCATACAGCGCCGTCACGTCTGTGCAAAGCTACGCGGCGTTCCTGTGGCCCTCCCCCGCATTCCATGTTTACCGTGTCCTGGATGTTGAAGGTGACCCGAGGTCCCGGCGACGCGGCATCCACTCGCACATCCGGCAGATCGTCCACGTCGCCTATTCTGGAACTGTGGACACAGTGAAGCAAACTGAGGCAAACTGGGCGGGATGCAGGAATACAAACAATTTATCAGCGCACAAAGCACAAATGGTTACTCATAAGATTCATTTCCAACGGTTTTTGACTCATTCGTTCTTCCCCAGAGTTCATGTTTTAACACCATAACAGAAATATCTGGATAATTACTATAAACAGATGTGATGGGCACTTCCGCTCCTCCATGTCAGCAGCCTAATCGGTGAGTCGTTGTATCCGCTTTGTGAGAAAGTCACAGGGAAATGTGTTTCCAAAGCAGTGACATTGGAGCGAGGTCACTTTGTCCTGTTTGTTTGCAGTGAATGTTGCTATGCAGCAGTTCATTTCCTTCCTTTTACCTCTGTCGGTCCATCCTCTTTGGAGGCGGTCGGCCCGCAGCCGCGGAGATGCTTTTGGAGCGGTTGTAGCTCGGCTTGTAGCCGAGACCCCACTTGTCCTTCAGAGACGCCGCCTGGTCGGCAACAAAACACAAAGTCACACACGAGATTCCTAAAGGTTAAAAATAAAAACACACACGCTCGTGTGAGCCGCTGGATGGACGAGCATTCACCCGCATGCTGGAGCGACGCAGCTTCTTTCTGACGTCCCTCCGGATGCCGTTGACGGCCACGGACTCCATCTGCTGGTAACGTTGGATCTCCTGGTTGATGGTGCCTTCGCTCGCCCCCAACTTTCTGTGGTCCGAAAAGAAAAGAAGAAGAGAGGATGCAGATGGTTGGAAGACGATAGCGGAGGGGTGGAAGGACCCTTTGTCGGCCGGTTGAACCATTTAGACTCATTAATATCCCATCTCACTTGAGGTCGTCGATGACCTTGGCCTGCTCGTTCAGCTCCCTGATGAACTTCCTCCCACGGGCGTCCACCGTTTGGCTTCCCATCGGCGTTTGCCTTCTGGGGTCGATGGACTCCTGTTGGGTCAGAGCAACGATACAAAGCCGAACAATATTTATCGGAAAAAAAACCCTGGTGATTAAAAGCCGGGAAAAGAGAAAGGCAGCGGCTTTAAATGAGAAGACGCCCTTCAAAAACTGTTATTGCAGGAGAAACCTTTTGTTTTACTTTTTTGATTCAATTACAGAAGCGTTGTTTGTAGTCCAATCCACAAATCCAATTATCATCAGACGCAGAAAACAGGAGACACCACCACCACCACCACCTCACTCCAATTTCAAGAAGGAAAAACCAAGCTTGGTCGCATCAGGGAATTGGATACCACTAATTCATTTTCTCACCCATTGTAGAAGCTTAATAAGCAAATGATGAGCAACCCCACACTCATCCGATTTAGCTCAAAAGTATGACACGGCATTGCTCGGCATTTCGGAATCAACAACCCTCCGGTGGTGACAGACGTAGCGCCACCTAGCAAGTGATTTTTCGGCAGCCCAGAGAAGAGGTTGACACTGATGGGTGGCTACATACACACGCCCAGGAGAGGGGTCTCTGGGCCCTGTCGCTGCCCGCTCGCAGGCGGGGCGATGCACAGTTTAGGTAGTCGGCTGGGTGAGACACACTCTGAGGCCGGGGGCTGAGGCCCAGGATGTGGTTTACCAGACGCTTCCTCAGCGTCAGCCGAGGGCTGAACTGGCTCCCTGGACTCTGTAAACAACGGCAGGGTCAAACGGATGGAGAGGGGGAAGAACTTACCTACTCGGGTCAGACCTTACCGTCCGAGGCTTTCGGGTAGCGTCCCAGGGGAGCGCTTGCCCAAATGCATCGACATTAAAAAGGAATTGTCTGATACTACGTGAAATAAGCCTGTTGCTTTTGTTCGTTTGATGTAGAGGTGGAGACCAATCTTACGTAGGTCTGTTGAATATGAGGCTACATTAGTTAGCTTAACACATATCTTTTACTTTTAATAAAAATGTGTATTGTCGTCACTGCGATGTGAGAGCTTAGGATCCCCCCCCGTGGCGCTGATAGGCAGATTCCGACTAGCCGGTTCTTCGGTCCGATCGGAGCGTATCCGGACCACCGGCTTGGATCGCCAGCTCCTCCAAAACGTGTCGATGAGCAAAGCACTGAACATTTTAGAACAAATTGCTCCTAAAAGACGTTCCTTTGGTGTACGTGTGAGGGTGTGAGTGGCTTAGTCAGTCCTCAGAGAAGACTAGAAAGGCGCAAAACGAACACCATTCTATTTATCATTTACTTGCTAGATGTCAAACTATTAAAGTCCTGTGGGTTTATTTTACTAAAGATATCTTTGAGATCGGCCTGAAAAAACCTGCTGACTGACGCTATAAACCCAGAACAGCTGATCTACTGTTGGAATATTTTTCTTGTCATCTAAATATGTCCTTACAGCAAAGTCGAAAGTTAATGACAAAAAGAAATCCATCTGTGGTGCATGTAATTCCTACAGTAGCCCAAACAAAGGGCAGAGCCATAGAGGAACCTGTTATTGACTGACCATGTGGATGGTGGGTGACATGGAGCCGGCGTCGTCCTCATCCGAAAGGTCCGCCATGTTCACCGAGTTCAAGTCGGCGATGTCGTCCACGTCCTCCTCGCCCGTCAGGGACGTCAGCGTGTTCCCCAGCGCGTTGAGCCGCTTGCCGATGTTGGGATCCATGTGAACGTCAATGCCGCACATCTTCCAAAGCACGTTCAGGGTCCAGGTGCCGGCGCTGCTGCTCTCTGTGAGCAGGAAGAGGGAGACAGAACGGAAATGAATGCGAAATAAACTTTTCAGGCAGTGGTCTCGGGCTTATTGGGCACCGATCCATAACTGATGAGCCAGAGGGTTGTGAAAGGAACTTGCCTGCAGAAGGCTGCCCCGTAGTCCTGGAACACACCTCATACGTACCGTCAGGGACAACACCTGCAACCAGAGCGCACAAACAGACACAGTGTCTCAGAGGAATCATGGTTTGGACTTGACAGCGTAATGAGGGCCATAGTAAGTCATGCATTTATGTAGGATACATATCAAATATGTAATTTTTTTCAGTCAATTATTGTTTCCAAAAAAATGTAACTTCCTGATTCACTCAATACTTCAGTTCCCGCTGGGACACGAGGCGTCACTCACAAGCGTTCATGACCGTGTCCCCTCGGATTTCAGGCTTCCAGTCGTCCCACGAGGTCTCGAAGCCCTCGGCGAAGCGGAGGCAGAAGTTCTTGAAGTGGCCTTTGCTCACCAGGGACTCGGAGGAGCAGGCGGTGATGAGCGTGCTCTCGATGGTCAGGACCATCGCCGAGCCCGTGTCAAAATCAATGCTGTGGTTGGCCTGGCGGAGAGGCAGGGAGACGGGGGACACAGGGGGGGAGGGGGTTACTATGGTCTCCAGAGGAAGGAGCAGTACGTGGATATAGAATAATATAGAAGCCACTTCCATTTGTATGGAAAAAGGCAGAGAAAGCCGGTAAGACTTCATTCTAGTGCAGTGTGAAGCCACTGGATCCACTCAAGAAAACAACGGCCAAAGCAGATGTTTTCATGTGATTTTGAATAGAATGTTTCGCTAAATAATTTCAGCTTAGTCCACATAAATACCAAGTGAAATGTTACCAAGCTTTTCAGTTTGTCACATGTGTTTAATTGCATGATTGGCGGGGGCTAATCCAGGTATTTCAAACAGGCTTTCTCTTACAGGAATATACAGACAACACAGCTACAAATGTGGAATTATGTGTGCAAATTTATACAATTCAACGGCGGTCTCTCAAAGATGCTCCCATTCTAGCCACAGATAAGAGACACTTAGTAGACCGACTGGCATAACCTCTTGGAATGAAGTAATCACACACCCCAAAACACCCACACAAGCTTCATTGGTTGTAGCTGTTATGCCAGCGCTGTGCGTTGAACGCGTTGGTTGCTACAAAGTTGTACGAGCTGCCTTTTTCACAACAAAAAGAGCACTTGTGACACCGCGTATTGATCACAGCCATTGTCCCACAACAAGCCATCACAAGAGGTGTAATAAATCGGCGGTTACTTTTCGTGCATTTTTTTGCCGGCCTATTGACGAGCTGGGCCCAGCTTCAGAGTTGATGCCCTCCGTAGCTGGTGCTTGTCCTCTCTATGGAAATAAGTGTGACATGACAGCCGGGAGCTGGTGACACTGACTTCAAAGCTGATAACAGAGGATTTTTTTTTTTTATGAAACTAAAAAACAAAAAAACAATGATATTATAAAGGTTATTAATAACACAATTGCAAGTAATAAAACACTGGTAAAGTTGATGTTGGGAAGTGCAGAGAGAGATGATGATAATCATTCACGTCAGGGGGATAAAGTGAACAATTTGATAGAAAAAGCAACAGGACTTATTCCTGAGTGCTTTTACTGTGGACATCATCCTCCCATTCATCTGTACTGTGGCTTCCATAAACTGCTGAAATGCAAAAAAAGAGACTAAAACATGCGTTTTATCTCGTTCATTGCATAATTTGCATTAAACACGACTACATATGTAAATGTGAACATTTTACCAGAATGACCCTGCTGTTATCGGTCGCAGAATTAGCAACTACTATATTAGAACTTTGACATCCTCCCTCTGAAAGACAACAAGTACACATGTTACAGCTCTACGGCATTGACTGTGGCGGGGCAGGTTACCTGGGACGTGTTGGTGATGGGGAGGCAGATGCCCAGGTCGTGCACCGTCAGCTGCAGGAAGAGGGTGCTGAAGGCCTGGGCGGAGGTCTGTTGGATGCCCGGCAGCTTGTCCACCACCTCTTTGGTGGCCATGTGGATGTCCTTGTTGAGGGCCAAGCGCTGCTCGTTCCAGTTGTCGTACGCAGCCTTGTAATTCAGCCAGAAGAGCACAGCTGCAGGAGGACAAGCGCGTGGGTAGAAAGAACTTATGAGTTAACATCCTGAATGTGGTCAGAACACGTTTGATTTTAAAAGACACGAGTGGTGGAAATCAGATGGTTGCAAAAAAAACATCTTCAAAGACAGACACAAAAATAATGAGCTGTTAAGGCAATCAAAACCTCCATCCTGATAGTTCTCGCTCTAGGACCAGATTGTGACATTATGACAAACACACACACACTGGCCCACAAGGTGAAAACACTACCAGCCACTAACCACAGCGTGTTTGGTAAAAAAGCTGCTCAGGATTAGCTCTGACATTGAACGTGCTGCGGAGGAAACTTGACCCGAACCTCTGTCAAATGTCACCGGCTGGGCGAAGACGATCGGCCTGTTGAGCGTGATGAGCACGGCCTCCTTGTCCGAGGAGCCGCTGATCTCCTCCTGCAGGGCGTTACGCAGCCCGATGCGCGTTCGGAAGTACGCCACCTGGTGGAAGTCCGAGCCGGCCTCCTCGTACACCTGCGGAGCGAAGGCAGAGCGGGAGTCACGCGGGGATCGCTAAACCGAGAACTCTTGACTTTGCGAATGCAGGCGTCCCCGACCTGTACCTGGTGCTTTACTATCTGTCCGAGAGCCAGGTGGAGATCTACTTGACATTTGCCGAACAGCTTGAGGTAGCTGCTGCTGCCGCCGGGCTGAGCCTTGCACTGGATCCGGTTGGAGAGCTCCAGCTCGATGAGGCCCGTCTCAAAGCGCACAGCTTGCATGGAAGGAGTGGTGGCGGTCATCTGGATTCCCTAAGGAGTGGAGCAAACCACTTATTATTACCGTTATTTATTCCTCTGAAACAAATCCGGATTTAATCTCGCGACAGGATGACAGAAACCTGAACGCGACGTACCTTGAACATGAGGCTGAGAGAATAAAGCAGGATTTTGGGCTTCTCTGCGTCGGCTGAAGTGTCAGGCTCATTCCACAGCGGGATGGGCTGCTCTCCTCCTGCAGGAACGGGGAGCAAACAAGTCACCCTCACGAGCCCACGCGGCTGCAATAAAGTGGGATCGTGTTGTCCGTGAAGTGTCCCAGATGAGACTCGTTAGCACACGTGCCGTTGCCATTATCGTTTGCCATAAAATAGTATAAAACTCATAGTTCTCTCTGCTGGTTTAGCATCGATCAAGCTTAGCGAGTTTTGAGAGGAAAACCCCCCCCACTGACGATCAATACTGTTGGTGAAAAGAACAGGACTGGATACGAGTCAGTGCCTTGGGTCTTGTTTTGTGTGGAAAACAATATTTTTCATTGACTTAAGTAGCAGCTGTGGGCTGCTGGGAGCAGCCACATGTTTAGGATTAGATTAACTGTATTGATCTGAGAGAAAGAAACACTGGGCCGCTGGAGCAGCAAAGGGAAAAGATATCGCTTTGTGCAGAGTTTGTCTATTAATATGATAATGAGGGGAAGTCTGCACGGCGGTAAAGAAATGTACACACGCCTGTGGTACCGTACCTGAGACCTTCTGGATGACCTCGTTGACCTCCTTCATGAAAACCTTCTGCAGGAAGACCAGGTGGTTGAGCAGATCCGTGGTCAGGTTGTGCTCAAAAGAACCGATCTGCACATCAGAGATGAGACGAGTGAGGGCGAAGCTAAGAGCGAGGCCGGCGGTCCTGCTCTCCGTCTGGTTGTCTTTTATCCACCGCCCCCCTCACATCCTCTCCCTTCGGGAGGAGGCGCTCACCTCGGCCACACAGCGCAGGTAGTTGCCCTGGAGGTAGTTTCCTTGCTTTGCTGGGAAGTCGTCAGGCGCCCAGCCCTGGTCCGAGTGGCTGTCGTGGTCCTCCATGATGTACTCTCCCGACATGGTGACCGGCGGCAGGGTGAGGCTGGCCGACGGCGGCATGGTGGACATGTCCACCGGGGACACTTTGGACTGGAAGCAAAGCTTGTGGTTTGGCAGCTCGAAGGTGAAACTGGTTTGCGCCCCTGAATGGAAAAGCATAATGATTATTACGTATTCTGGGCTGAGATCGGGAGGAGACCATTAAAGGAAGACCTCTTTAAGACCTATGAGGACAACTCAGGATTATCAGGACAGCTGGAAAAAGACCTCCACGGGAAAAAAGGATCTCTTCCCCAATTAGTGTACATCATGGAGGAAAATCAATACAACTCACCTGTCATGCCGTGGCTCTTCATGCAACCCATCTTGTACTCCGCCTTCAGCGAGGGCAGCAGGGCGGCCCCGATGGTGATGCCGTCTATCATGGCGCTGAACTTGAGGACGATGGGCTTCTTCTCCAGGCCTTCGGGGAGCTGAGGGAACTCGTTGGCTTCCACGGGGGTCTGATTGATGCTGGACGCTCGGTCCGAGGGATGCGGGGTCGGGGTGTCTTCCCTGTTAGGAGGTTGACTGAAGAAAGAATACGATTTTTTAAAACAATTCCAACAGGAGGCAGAAATATGAGGCTATGGACTTAGTATCCATCCATTGTGTGAAAGAGAGGACCGCGGAAACGGCAAAGGTTGGACGTGAACTGATAACGTGTTAAAATAAATGAATCCCCAAAAGTTCAATCCATCCTGATGTCTGGATTATTCTCATGAAATAACACCTAAAATTCTCACTTTAATCTTGTAAATCTCTAAACTATAAACCATCTTCCCCTGCTCCAATCCTTTTTTTGAAAGTGTACTTTTAACTTATCAGGGTGAACTGGTTCTGTCGGGTAAGGACGTGCACACTGGGAAATCGCTGCTATCAATTCTATATTTTCGTGTGTGTGTTTTTATGGAGAGCTTTGCAGAAACAGGCTCATGTCGCTGTAAACATCAAATTATAGTAAAGTTGTTTGGTATCCAAAGCACAACTAAAACTCTATAAATATATTAACATAATTCAGAATATTACTATGGAGACAAACCACACACACAAACAAACAAACAAAGGCTTTGAAAGCCGTTAACTGGCAACCCCGTGGATGTGCTGCAGTGACCCGTCACTTACTGAGATGAAAGACTCCTTATGGGGTTTTTATTAAATGCAGATTAAAATCTAATGACATTAGTGTGTTGCATGATGGATCCGTTTTGGATTTTAAATACAGTTACAAGTGTACAACATATTAATGTCAGTTTCTCATTACTTTTAAACGCTGTAAACGAGCCACATCCCTGGGAACATTTGGGGCTTTTTTAATTTTTCAATTACTTTGGCCGCGTGGATGCAGAGGGCACACATTTCGGAGACAAATTTCTTTGCTCATTTTTAAGTTCAACCTCAGCTCCTTTAAAATGTGTAAAATAGGAGATAAAATAAATGAGGACAGACATTTCCTTCAGATCAAATGAATAAACAAACGAAGGGCACATACACATTGGAGGGCTGGCGGATGAGGTCAGAGATCTGTTTGGAGAGCTGGTGGGAGCTGCGGACCATCATGCTGTGCAGCGTCGCCGGGTGTTGGGGGATGTTGATCATGATGGCCCCCACCTTGAAGACGGCCGCGTTGTTGGTCTTCAGGCCTCGCTGGGCGCTGTACAAGGCCTGCGACTTGGCGATGTTGCACTTCACCACCGTCCTGAAAACACAGCGCCGAGCGGAATGAGCGGCGCGTCTTCCTCCCCGGCGGACGCGCAACTGAGAGGACGTCAGACAGTGGAGGGACGTTTCCCGGGGGAGCGGGTGGAATGGGCGATCACAACGGGGGACACACGATCCACTATGAGTGAAGAAGGTGGTGAATTCAACATGGAGGTCGAATGCAAGCGCTTATCCTTCCTTTCGCAATCTTATGAAAATGATATTCTACTGAAATATCACGCTGAGGTTTTCCAATATTTTCGGCCGACTGGGATCATTACCGAAAAAGGAAGATGTACACGAATAACTTAACCCAAACCCCAAATTGTGCTTTCTTAAACACAAACAGTAAACACGTGAACAAGCGCAGGCCTGAGGAGCCTTTTCCCTGAGAACACACACGGATGAAAGACAGATGGAGGAGCTGTGTTTGTTCACTGATGCATGGAGCTTTACACGGTGGCATTGACCTACAGAAACTCTTGTTTAGCTGTGCTGGTGGGAGATGTTGGGAAATCCTCCAGTCTATGCAAGTGGTTGGAAGAGATAGAAGAGGAAGAAGAGCAGAAGTGTGAAACAACTCACACACCACACGGGAAAAATAAATAAAATAAGAACACAGATGAGTCAACAGAGTACAACTGGAAGGGTCATGTGCACCTTTTTTTTCAGGTTTTGACGCACAAAAAATAGGCTCCGGATTAAAAAAGAAGCTCAAAATGTGAATAAGATGAGCCAACAAGGATTACCAGAGTTTCCTAAAAGAGAAAAATAACTGCTGACATGACAGACTCAGCTTTAAATGTGACACATTCACTTCAATCAGAGCCTGTTGCTAATTATCGCTTAATTCATGTCTTTGTCTGACGACGGTGTTTATCTGCAGTGAGAAAAAGATGCCAGCAGCACTGCAATCATTCCTACTTGTATCTGAATCGCCTACACGAGCCGAGCCGCGTGGCACACTGACTCAAACGCGCGTGTGCAGCTTACAATATGAAAATAGGATTAAGTCTTGGTTGCAGTTTCACAGTGGGAGCATCTGTTAAACAGAATGAGACAAGGGGGTAAATAAATAAATATATATATATATACATCTTCTTAGAGAAGCAGCAGCAGAAGCTCTAAACCGAAGAAAAGCAGCGTGGAAATGCTTCAGTCTGTCTCAATGCATGACTACAGGGCTTGTAACCTGATTAGGAGGGTTTTGCTTTGAGGAAATTGCTTGCAGTAAAAACAAAAAGCGCAGTTTAAATTTCCCCCGGCTGGAAATGAGTTCATAATTGGCTTCTGCTGAGCGTCAAGCACCGAAGGAAAACACTGCCTCCCATCTTTTGGTTTAAATGCCGGGATGCTACAAAAGAGCCCTGGCGTTAAATCGACTGTGTTCTGCCGCTGTGTTGTTGAGCAAGTAGACGCATTCTTCCCTCACTCAGACTCTCAAATATATCAATGAACGTCTTGAAAAAAAAGGTCAAAATCCATTTTGGCGAAGATGTAACACTTATGAGCCGAGAAGCTTTGGGTACAAATCAAATAGTTTTTCTCTTGTATAGCACAACAAATTAATAAAATATTGAACATTATTCATAATTATGATAGTAAAAAAACAAATGACAGATTTCAAACAGCAAGCGCCAGGATCAATATTCGATTCATAGAATTTCTTTCAAGATGAGAACTAAAAAAAAAAAAAAAAATTGATAGTGAGAAGATGATAGTTGTTAAAATAACTCTTCTAATAAGCAGAAGTTGAAAAGTAACTGTACGTACTGGATGTCAGGAGTTATGCCCTCCAGGAGAACAATGTTTACCCCTCCTATGTGAGCCGATGCGCACGTCTCCGTCATTTTCTGGTGCAGGATATCTGCCGACACACAAACATAAGAAGGAGAATGAACCAAATAAAGACCAGAAGCAACAGTATATATTTGCCCTGAGGAAGCCCGCAGAGGTCCCGCCCCCACCTTTCATCTTCTCCTTCAGGGTGAAGCTTCCGTGGATCTTCTTCAGCTCCGCCTCCATCGTCAGCCCGCCGATGTCGGCCTCCAGGTGCGTGCGGTTCACCATGCCGATGCCGAACACGATGAGCGTGACGTGCTGGGGCTCCGAGCTCACCAGGCTGCGCCGCCGCCCCCCCGCGCCGGGCGGCTTGTTGGGCGTGGTGGGGTCCTGCTGCTCGTTCTCGAAGATCACTTTGCAGAACGGCTCCGAGGGCCGACGTCCACCTTCTGCGGAAAAAAGGGGGGGAGGGAGAGGGGGGTGGGCGGATCAGTCTGTTTGTATTTAACTGCCGAATATGTAAAGTATGCTGGCAAATTAAAAACCAAAATACGCCGCACTATTTTCAGGAGGATGGATTTTGAAATGTGATGCAGGAGAGAGAGACATCAGGGAATTGAAGCTCCAGAAGAACAGAGTGGAGAGAAGGGATGGACGTTAGGAACTAGATGACTTGTGGAAGCCCACCCCCACCTGAGAGGCAGTTCTCTGGGGAGCTTTTCTCCAGGATGCCGGTGGGATCGGAGATGAGCGAGTAGAAGTTGAGCAGCTTGTACATGTTCTGCCAGCATTCGGCCGACGGCTCGCTCTGCTCCGACACCGTGATGGAGTCAGAGTCGTCCATCTGGATGGCCATGTGGTCCGCCACGTCGCGGGAGCCCTTCCTCGACACCTTGAGGCGTTACGCAAGGAACCAAGAGGAGACGTCACGACAGACGGTTATGAGATCTCTGAGACGACATCATCGACTCGTCGGTAAACAGAAGCGACTGAGCTCTCTGTGCAGAGACAGATAACAGTTACTTCAAAAAGCTCTGATTCACGCAAGTACTACAGGCTTTGGCTTATTTTAGTTTGAAGCACATGGAAAACAATCAAATCAGGCTATTCTATACAAGAGAATATTCTACTTTACCGTTTGTTAATTTTCATAGTATTGACTGAATAAAATAACTTTTAACCAAATCCTAATGCTGTGTTTTACTAAAGGGTTCCGCTATGGGAAGAATTATCTTCTGGCTCCCTCTAGAGTTTAGTTGTGAAAAATTACACTCACAGAATGATTTTGTCACAGATCATATTAAAAAAGGTCAAATATTATTTCCCAAGCCTGTTCAAAGATTTTAAAAAATAACTAGCTTTTCTTGAAAGACCTGTTTTGGTTGTCAGGTCCTTTTCAAATATAAAAACATACATACAGTTTCAATTCTATTTCTTCCCGCCTCGTCTGTCGACATTTCAGAGAAGGCAAACACGGACCATTTGCTTAATGTCCACATTATTTTAACACATTTATTTAATCTCCCCCTTAAATACACAGTAACGCAAGTGGTGGCGTCTCATCGTTACCTTTGAGGTGCGTCGCTCGGAGCGGCCGAGGGAGGTGCGACCTCGCGGCTCCCGTCTCCCCAGCGTGTCCATGCCGGACGGAGGCCCGTTTGGCGGCAAACCTGCTCCTCCTCCTCCGCCTCCTCCTCCTCCTCCTCCGCCCACCCCTCGCTTGCTCTTCAGGGTTTGGGTCCCGCTGCGCCCCGCCCCGTTGACGCTGCCCCGGGAGCTGCGGCTGAAGTCGGAGGACCTGAAGTGGCGGTACGGCCGCGCCTTGAAGGTGGGCGTCGGCGAGGCCGAGCCGGCGGTGTAGCGGCTCAGCTTGATGTCCGTCTGCGTGGCCTTGATGTCGTCGATCATGGTGCTGAACTGGTGGATGAGGCGCACCAGGGCCATGTCCACGCGCTGGCTGATGGCCTGGCACGCCGTGGTGAAGTCGCAGTGGAACGTGTTGTAGTGGCGGCGGTTGAGGTCGTGGAAGGACAGCGGGGCGGCGGTGGGGCCCTGCGGAGCGCTGGCCGACTTCTCCATCAGCACGGCGTTCAGGCTGAACGTCTCGATCAGCAGCGCCGGCTTGAACGGAGGGAGGTTCACCATGCCTGGTCTAGAGAGCGGGGGGGAGGCGGACGGAGGGTTACGTCTGTATGAAGCCGGCGCTCTACGCTCGAATAGTCACCGATTGATGTGTTGCTACGACATATTCTTACCTCCTGGATCTTTTGTTTTTCCGCTCTTTGGAGGTGTCGGAGTCGACGATGTCTGCCCGGAGACACTCCAGGTTGCCGGAAAAAGACAGGTGCTCTCCGAAGTACATCTTGTAACTGAGAGGAGTGGTGTCCTGGGCCTGGATGCCTGTGTAGCTCAGCAGAGGCTTGAAAACGACCTGAGGGTGGGGAGGCAGACGTCGAGGCACAAAAGGTGAGGACATCTCTACGAGCAGCAGGAGACCCGCGCGGATAAAGAAGGCCGGAAAAAGCACAAAACAATCTAAACACAATCGAATGGTGGAAACAGCCTCGCAGGTAGAGACATCAAGGACGGGGATGATGATGTGTGTTTCCACGGCACCTGAGCGTCGGCCAGCTGAACCGCGGCCGGGCACTGGTTGCTCTCCTCGATGTAGGCCATTTCGTCCTGGCTGGTGCTGTGCTGGGAGTGCGTCCCATCCAGGGTGTTCTGGTCGCTGGACAGCACCGCGTTGAAGTCTGACGCCGAGGGGATCGTGGGCAGGTTGCACGGGCCGCCTGTAAGGGAGCGGAGGAGAGGACGCGGGCGGTGTGAGAGGCGGGGAGCGGCTGTACGTGAACATCCAGCGCACATGAGCGTTACGTTGCTAGATAATGACATGTTAGTGTGAGCTGCAGTGAGTGAGCAGAGGGCAGAAGGGCGAAACACTTCCTCTCAAACAGAGATGGGATTGGATGAGTGAATTAAATGGAAGCTAACCGCCGCATAAAGAGTGTTGAGAGGAGCTTTATGGGTATTTTATACCCGATTAGGAACCCTTAACGCGATGTGATGGAGCTCTTTAATGCGTTTGTGAGGATCTGCTCGGGCTGAGTTGTTGGGCTGTCATTGACTGACACCACGGTGAGAGGAGAGAGAGAACAGCAGGCCTCACCCTTTTGGACACAAATCGGTTCTTTCAAACCGTTTTATTAAAATTGTACCGACACAATCAGAAGAAAAAAGTCAAATAGCAACGAACCATTGAAGGAGGCTACATCAGACACGTTAGTGTGAACAGAGATCATTTCTGAAAGGTTCGCCTGCGCAGAGATGCTTTTGAAAGTTCAGTGCGGCTGTAGCCTCGGAGGATGCGTGGGAGAGCAGTGGAACAGAGCGTGGGAAAGAGCCGCGCTGTGATGGATGAACAAACATTTCAGGTTGCCAAACTCCACTAACGCGCTCCGATAGTGAAAATAAAAAAACACAAGGTAACTCGATCCATCCATCTATCACAGCACTGCAGCCTAGCTACAAGGGATTCCTCAGGGTTATCTAACCCAGCTATCCTACTTTTATTTACTGATTAATGCAGAGTACAAGGCGACTATTGAACTAACAGAAGGGGGACAAAGCAACTGCTAACTAGTTCATCGACACAACACTGAGGAGCAACAACCCCTGACCTCCTTCTGGACTGGTAAGTGGTGGCAGTGGTTGGTACTGGTAGTGGTAAACAGGAGAATCCAGTGGGTCAAGTGACACCGTCAAAGCTACTGTACAGAGTGGAGGATGAAGTTGATTCAAAACAGCGTTATAAGAGTCGCCAGACTGACTAAAACTATGGCTTTTTTTCTGAACATACAGTACATATTGGGCAAACTGAAAGAGACGTCTGACCTGTCTGCAGGCTGTTGTGCTGCGAGCGGTTGGCGGGGGAGTCCTGGGTTAGAGCCCCCGTCCGGTTGCCCACAGCGTTGGACATCCAGTTGTAGAAGCTGACCGGGGACGGCTCGGACAGCAGCGGGTGCTCGGTCAGCATGTCCGTGCCCAAACTGTTTCCTGAGGCCCACAAGAAAGAGAGCACATTGCATCATGGAACAAATAGTGAAAAGAAAACGCGACTCTGCATATTGCTGCACTGTGGTGCTGCAGGAGGCCGTCACATTCACATGACTGGACGGCAGAGGTCAGCATTGCAGCAAAAATGCCAAACTGACTTTAGCCTGCTGTAATCAAGTGTGCCCGCTCTGCATCAGAACCTTCCCCCTCTTATGTGCGGTGGTGCCATGCAGCGGCGTTACCTGTGCGGGTGAGGGACCCGCTCTTGGCGGCGGCAGCAGCGGCGGCGGCGGCAGATGGTTCGCTCCTCTGGGGCATGGCCTCCAGCAGGTTGTGCAGGCTGCGAAAGCTGCCCGTCAGGTTACTCAGGAGGCTCTCCTTCCGGGGGCTGTCCTTGGCCGGCAGGCCGGCGCGGCACACGTGGGCGGGTGAGTCGGCGGCCGTGTCACCGCTGGTGTAGCTCAGCGATTGGTATGGATGGGAGCCCTGCGTGTGAGAAATGCACAGATGGTGTTGAGCGCCGTATCGCTACCTGAGCCTTTCTTTCATACATGTGATGAGCATTTAATAAAACCGTTTAGACGAAACCTTGGGATTCTTCTAAAAATGATCAAATTCAAAGTAGTGATGACAAATCAATTAGAACTAATCATTTTAACAGATAATCTTTCCAAGTTACTTTTTGTTGTAATGCTGGTATTTTATGGGAAACATGCTTTTAGTTCTGTCTAGAACATAAGGGAAGAGGCGCACAAATTGCAGTGCATATTGAATTTAAATAGAACAAATGAATATTTTAGGATTAGTGAAAATAAGTCATGCTTCTAGTTAATTGGAAGTGGGGAAGAGTAATGTTTTGCACACTGAATTAAATGAGCTACGAACCTCAGGTATTTAGGAAGCTTGTTCAACAAGTGAGGAGCGTAAAAACTAAAAGAAGAATCATCCGGCTCCAAAGAAGAATGCCGCACTGAAAAAGGGACCCTATCGGATAGCTTTTCAAATCATTTCATTAAAAACGGGTGATTTACGCCTAATTCACTAATTCCCGTCAGGCATTGGCTTAGAGAACTCGTCCACCCTAAAGGTCAAGCCAACTTTTTGTTGGCTTGACTCAAAACTCCAACTTTTTGTTGGCTTGTATTTCTAAATGAGAAAGCGCAGGTCTTTGACTCTATGAGCTGTTAATGACCCCATAACGCACATATACATTGCACCCGGTGGGGTGATCGGAGCTGTACCTTTATCCTGAGAGCAGACTCATTGTGTGCGTGGGACTTGGACAGTTTCCTCATGATCTCCACCCCGCTGACCGGACCGGAGTTGGCTTCTTTGGGCGGCGGTCGACTGCATGCTCCCTCCAGCAGCATGGTGTGTTCACTCACTGTGGCTTCACAATAACAACATCAAATAAAACTCCTCGCAGAACCACGCGCCAACGGCAACAGATGGACGGCGACGCGAATGGCGCCAGCGCAGCGCTGCGAATCCCACCTGCGTCAAATTCAAACTCCGCTCCGTCGGCGCTGGTGTCGCTCTGCAGGGCAGCGCCGTTGTCCAGGCCCACGATGGTCTCGCCCGGGCTCTGCTGAGGCTCCTTGGGTTTGGCGAGCTGATTGGGCCTCATCAGGCCGATGGCTTTGAAGCCCTGAGTCACCACGATAAATTTCATCCACTGTCTGGCCAAAGCAACAAGGCCTTTCTTAAGCGTCACAAGGGCCGGGACCCCATCATTCTGGGACGGAAAGGAGACGGTAAAAGAACATAAAAAGAAGTGGATCAGTGCCGCTGGTGAGCGATTCATTAAAAACAGCACAGCGGAGCCAAGAGCACTTACGACCACTTAAAATAAGCGGTAGTTACTTTTTGTAAAACGGACTCCAAATGACGCAATATCACTTATAGTAGCCAATTAACTTCATGTGGAGGGATGGAAAAGAGGAGAGTTGGACGCTTACCATGGTAGCCTCCTCGATGACAGAGTAGTCAGCCTGCTGCAGGTAGCGGTGGAGGATGTTACAGAGCATGCAGGAGGGATTCTCATGCAGGTAGCGAGCTCGTTTGGTCACACGGTTGTACTTGCTCCGGATGGGGATGTGGATGCTCTTTTTCTGTCGGGGAAAGACACAGAAAGGGTCAAGGTCAAGGCTTTGAACTAGTGAACAAGGAAAATCAAGTAAAACTACAAAGTCAGAGGACAGTGGAAAGCCTTCATTAGGTGTACATGATTTTGGGTCCACATGTGCATTGCTGACCTCGAGCGCTTCGGTCATGATGCAGCCCATCACGGCGCACACGCGCAGCGTGCCCTCCAGGTCCAGTTTGCGTAGAGAGGATTTGAGCTGGTCGATGGGAACCAGCCAGGCTCCAATGGCAGGTGTGGCCGTGCTGAGCAGATTCAACTGCCTGTCAACACAACAGAGAGCGGGAGAGTCAGCTTTTAATAACTATTTTATCCTATTTTTTTTCCAGCTAAAATGCTAAAACGTTGTTTAAGAATTGATTTCCCTTCCTTCCTCCTGCAGAGATGCGTTGGCTAGTTGACATCTAACAAAACTCAGACCCTCACTACCAAACCCGGAATGGGTCAGAACCATTGCAGCGGACAGCTCTGGATTTACTGTGTGTGGAAGCATTTACGTTGCATTGGAGTCGTACCTGGAGATGGCCTGTGCAGGGGAACGCACGTTAGTGGGTGCAGCGAAACTGAACCAGATCTCCCTGATGGTCAGCTTCATGCTGCTGGAGTCGGGCGGCGGGGGCATGAGGGGGAGGTCTTTCTTCAGGTCGTCTGACTCCACTCCTTCATCCTAGAGAGCGCACGGGGAACGCAGAGATTAGGCGGAAATGAGTTTCAGTATTGCAGCTTTACTGTTCTCCTCTGAGGCCGATTAGAACTTTGATTTGCCACCAAAGCAGAGTCTAGATCAGAGTGGTCGCTCAAAGTTTGATGACTTTAATCTCTTTTTTAAATAATTTATTTTGAATAAATTACACTTTTATCAAATCTGGATCAAACGGCTGTCAATGTGCAGGGTTAAAACGATCAGTGCAGGACAGCCTAGGTTGCCAGTTGACACCCCGTTCACCTGTGACATTTAAGAGGCCGTGAGCCTCCTCGGTTACATTTCAAGCCCACAGCTGCAGAGAAATGGAAAAAGAGAATCGGCTCCAAGAGAATTTATTTTTTCCTCACACAAGGGAGAGTTTGAGGTCACTGTCAGCAAAGCTCAGAGAACTTTCATGCGTTTGCCGGTCTCATGAATACCAGACAATGACACTCAAATCTCACGGTAAAAGTGCGGAATTTGAGTAAAAGCAGCTTCGACGTGGTTCCAACTATGTTGTTTTTTTATGTCCACTCCACAAAACGGCATTCGACATTTCTCACCTGGTCGTCTGAGTCAGAGTGCTCGTTGGCGTCGCAGGCGGGGCTCATAGTGTCGTTGGGCAGGTTGTCGTCGGAGACGTCCGTGCTGTAACCGCTGCCCGTCTGAGAGCCGGTGGAACCGTTGGACTTGGACATGCCCGTCTTCCCCCCAGCGTCCGAGCGCCCCATCACGCCGAACGAATTGTATAGAATGGCTCCCGACTGACGGCCCCCTGCGACGCAAAGCAGAACGCGTTCACAGGTCTGCAGGCGAATTGACGACAGAGGGGATGCCTGGGGTTCTTATTTCTTACCTTTGACCGTGAGGTTCTCGATGCCACATTCGAACATGATCCAGCCCCATTTCTCCAGAGAGGTCGCCGAGCGGCTCAGGTCTCCCGCTGCGGCATGGGCGTCGGTTTCATCCACCATGGAAAACTCCTCCATCTCCTCCAGGCCAAACAGCACTTTGGACTTCTCGAAAGGGATCGCCGTGATGGCACACGTGCCGATGTCTACGAAAGAGCAGAAGAAACGATGCGGCTTTTAGAAGAAAAAAAAACAAAAAAAAGTTAAGTAACCTGTTCAGAATTTGGACCAAAAAAGTGCTTGTAAAAAGATTTCACAATGTACCAAAAGTCTAAAAGGTCTTAATAATTTAACTTGGTACTGGGAGAGAAGCTGTGCACACAAGCCACTGCAGTACATTAACAAAAAGGTTGGCGCTAAAAGCCTGGACCGACCCGTGGAGTCGAGGCCTCTCAGCTGGCTGTGGATGCGGTGGATGTTGAGCCTGGCGGCGATCTCTTTGCCTTTCTCGATGCCGGCGTTGGAGCGCAGCGAGCCAGAAGACTGAGGCTGCATTTTGGTGGCCGAGGCGTACTTCTCCAACATGATGGAGGGTCGGCCGTGTTCCGTGGTGTTGGGCGTCTCCTCCACAATGCCCCTGAGAGGAGGCAGAAGAAAAAGGTTTGTTTGAATCGGAGCTCGGCTGCACTTTGTGGCTCTGGCGTCCTTAAAAAGACACGAAATGTCCAACCACGTCATTCCTGATCCATCAAATATTCATTCGAATTCAGAACTGATCCAATGAACTGCTGTATATAACGGATATATTTCTCAGTACATTTACTCCCAAAAGCTTGGTCTCACACACACACACGCTACCTGTTCATTCTGAACTGGGTGGCGATCCTGTCGAAGCACAGCGCCACCAGAGAGACGTGTGTGACGCACTTAGTGGAGCACGACGGTGACCCCTCCTCCACAGACGCCTGAAGGAGGCAAAGATTCACCTGCAGGGAAAAACAGAATCAAACAAATAAACCAAACTGAACTAAATACAGTCCTAGATCTTTAAAAAACAACAACAAAATGAATGGTCAGTGCATGCTACGTTTCATAATGTGGCAAACTGTATTTTGGTTGTTTAAAATGTAGCGCGATGCTCTTGATCTGCTCTTTGACGGGGCACAGTGTGAGGAACACCGGTGCAGTCTCATTATTCCGGGTCACGGGTCTGTCTTACCTTGGGGATGGAGACGTTGGCTTGGAGGCCCTTGATTTTCACATTGTCTGGTTTGACCGACAGGTCGGTCTGGCCATGGGTGATGTTCAGGGAGCCGGGGGTCGTGCCCTCCGTCTTGGACAGCTTGTGCTCCTGCTTGCCTGCTTGGCTCTGTGTGGATCCAGATCCAAAGGCAAAAAAAAAGAAGAAGAAAGAGGCTACTTTTAAATTGGGAAGCTGATTTGAGTCCCAACGTCAAGGCCATTTATCTGTAATTGGTTAAAACATTTAGAGCGGAAACCCTTATTTCATACTAATAATAAATAATTGAGTGACACATTGAGCGCAGGCATTCCAGCTTTCCTTCCGATTGAATTCAACCAATATTACGTCAACATTTAAAAGCATCTATCAGGGTGATTCACCATCAAGAGACGGAGCTCTGTTGCTCCATTTCGTGCACGGTTGTACTCACGGACTCGGTGACTGTGGACTTGCTGATCTGATAGGCTTCGTTGAGGACTTTCCCATGCAGGTCATCCAGAATGGCAGCGGGATGACGGATACTGGCAAAGTGGACCATCGATTCGATGTACCTTAAAAGAGAGACAGACAGCTGTAATAACACAATACAACGCTGCAGGATTAGAAGTATGATTGTATCTCTTCATAGCTTTAGTACAAACTTTTCAGATCAGGTAGACATTCCAAGTATAATAAAATATACAATGTCAGCACTTGAAGTTTGGCATCGCTTTAACCTTCAAGCTTCAGTTCAACCATTTCCTCACTGCTGGAGCCAAGAGCTCATCAGGCCTAAAACACAGCATGTTTAGCCTTTGGGAAAAGATTCACACTGGTAGGCGGCCAAGAGCGAGACTCTGAAGCACCGTCGACTTCATTTCACAGCCAAGATGCAGTGTGTTTAGGGATTAAACGGGTTTTAATGGACAGTGGGGTTGTAGGAGTTACTCATCCCGCATTATCAACAGTAGATTAGAGGAACAGAGCAGGAGCATCAACGCGGTAATGTGCTGCTGTCGAGCTGCCACCCGAACAAATAGACATCAGTTTATGTGCACGCTACATTTAGTATATTTTCATCGCCTTAGCTATTCCTGACGGGTAACCAGAGCAGTTGAACGGTCATTTCATCGGGCGGAACACTGGAGTCTACCGCTGTCTCCACCGGATGGTTTGACTGTGATGTATTCTGGGACTTTGATGTATTTGCGGGGAAATACGTTTTGCTGCTGCCCCATTTCCACAGAATAAGTGAATGGCTTTGCTCCCGTGGTGGTATTCCATGTACCTTCAAATCACTCACACACACACACACACACACACACACACACACACACACACACACACACACACACACACACACACACACACACACACACACACACACACACACACACACACACACACACACACACACACACCAAACTAAAACGACATGAAGCAGTTACTACCTGTCCAGGGATTCAGCCACGAGGGGCGTGAGCACCACATTTATGGCTCCCTTCACCTCCACAATGGCCGTGGTCCTGGTCTGAGCTAAGGGCTGCTCCAGAGTCCAGTCGTCTGTTGTCGTGTCCTCATCCGTGTTCTCCATGGCCCTCTTATCCAGCGGTGTGTACGGTGTACTGCGGAGGAGCAGAGTCACAAATCTATGATCAGGCCTCATATATATATATATATATATATATTATATATATATATATTAAGGATACAATTAGAAGAAACACAGGATAAGTTGCTAGTTGAAAATATATCCAATTCACACGTTGGGTGCTGTTAAGCTGGTACACAAAACAACCCGCTTTTTACATTGTGGCCTAAATACCTGATGTTCTCTCCGATCAGCTGAAGACCTCTGTCCAGTAGAGAGCTGGCGGAAAGGCCCTGCTTGATCACCTGGAATGTTCGAGATAATGTCAAACCTCCTTGGTGTCATTTAACTCCTTTAACAACCAACAACGAGATCAGTATTCATCCGCCGGTGGAGCCAGTTACTTTGCTACATGCACACAAAGACTGTTAGTGGTTAAAAGACCTTGAAGCTGGGAACAGACAGCTGGTCAAAGGAGGCGCTCTCCTCACTGGTGGGCGTGTCCAAATCTAAGGGGCGGTGCAGAGACGACTTTGAGGTCCTCTTATTGGTGGGCTGCTTGACGGACCAGTTTGAGACCTGGCCGACGTGAGGGGAAAATAAAACACACACAGTTAATGCTTTAATAAATGCATAATATTGGACATTGGAGACGGAAGCATGCGTTCCGGTGACGGAAGGGCAGCGGGATTCGCATTTACTGGGTAACACGAGCGCCGTCACCTGGTAGTGGGCGAGGTAGCTCTGGTAGCACGCCATGACGTGGGGCTGGCGGGTCACGGGGCCGGGTTCAGCGGTCTTCTCGGTCTCCACGGAGCTCTCCTCCTCCATGGCCAGGGCCGAGACGAAGGAGGCCTGGGACATGTGACTGGGCAGCGGGTGGGGCGGCAGTGGGGGCAGCATGGGGGGCATGGGCAGGGGGCGAGGCTCAGTGATCAGCTCCCCGTTGAGAACGTAGGTGAGGGGGCCCTCGACGCTGTGGTAGATGGAGCTCCGGCTGGGTGGGGGAGGGTCGAAATATTTAATTCGTTGCAACTCCCCCTCTTAGAAATGTCCTTCCAATGGCAGGACGGTTACGTTGAAGGTGTAGTTCAGATGTTTTTTAATTAGGACTAAGGGGGTTGTGTTATTTGATAAATCCCAACTTAAAAATGAAAAACATCAAAAGGAGACTCCGGTGTTCGACGGCGAGGTAAAGCGAGGGGACATATTCAAAAACACAGCAACCAGTGGAAACCCTTCACGAGAGCGAATTGATTACTTGTGTTGGAGTGGAGGCTGTATCAATCAAAAAGCATGTTGCAATCAATGTGAGAACATGTCGGGGTAATGGAAAGATGACAAGGTATTTGCCGAGCGAGACTGAAATCCAATTTGCAAAACGCAGCCGCAGTAAGTGGCCGCCCACGGATCAAACGCTGCATTCGCCAGAACCCTCCAAGATCACATCTATCCTTGAATGATCAAATCAGAGGAATAAATGGAAAGGAATCGGCCACGTGTTTGGCTTTGGGGAAAGTTGGTTAAAGAAATGAAATGCAAAACTAGTGGGGCATTTGTGGGGGTCATAACGTTAATGTGTTCCAGCGTGTTGTTGTGCCGTAAAGACATTTCACAATGATTGCACATCCCTTATAAAGCGAACAAGCGAATTGAAGACACTTTATAAACCATTAAATTCATCCCAAATATGAGTAACTACTCGTCAGATCGTTGTCTCATCTCTGAGCTGTCTGGACTCCATCGTCCCCCAGCTTTGGACTTGATCCAGCCATCCTCAATATCCCGCGCCCCACTTCCTACGAGTACCAGGACCATCGGTGCTGACCTGTAGTTCTCCATGTGGTACGCGGGTGGCTGCGGCTGCTGCATCTGCTGCCGCCTCTTCTTCTTGCGCCCCGGGTACGTCCCCGGGCCCTCGTCGGCGCTGCTTATCGGGTCGAAGTCCTCGGTGGCCGAGAAGTAGGCCTCGCTGTCGGCCACCGACATGCTGGAGTCGGCCGAGCGGTACTGGTGGAAGGTGTTGGAGTCGGCCGACGGCGTGAAGGGAAAGGAGCCGTAGCTCCTGCGCTGGCGCGGAGAATCCAGGACGTTCTCGTCGCTGCGGGACACCTCGCCGCTGAACTGCACGCCGCCGGACAGCACCGGCGGAGGCTTCTCGGCGAAGACGGCGGCCGACAGGCTCTTGGTGCTGCCCAGCCGGCCGGACTGCACCGAGGACTGGCGCTTGAGGGGCGAGCAGAGCGGCGAGCGCACCGAGGAGCGGTCCTGGGCGCCGATGGGCGAGACTGGCGAGATCTCCGGGACGTCCCCCTGGGCGCTGCGCAGAGAGAGGGACAGGTAGATTACACCCGCGCTAAAATCCCCCTGGTAGGCGCTGGCCTCCCCGACAGCGGGCAATTCCAGAGGTCACTTACTCGGCGGGGCTTTTGCCGTTCACGGGGAACATGCGGTCCTCGGTGCTCGGCGAGGGCGTGTCCCTCTCTCCGGCCAGCAGGGGCAGCGCGGCACTACAGGTGCTATTTTCTTCAGAGGAGGAGGCGGAGCTGTGGGAGCGTTGGGGCACCTGGAGACTGAGGTGTTGCTGGCCGCGCCTCTCGGGCAGCTCAGGAGGGAGGCAGGGCGAGCGCGTGTCCGTCTTCAGTCCCACGGCTCTCCCTGAGGAAACACATGTCGGGTTGATCAATCGCCGATACTTTAAGACATTTACTTTTTTCCTGCAGCAGTGTGATGCATTCACTATTTTGAGGCTCATTTCACCAATAATGATAACAAGCTCCGTATGAATGTAATGAACGCGCATGTGAACAAAGACCTGCGATACTTCTCCCGTCCCAGTTGTCCCCTCATGGGGTGAATTACTAAATTTAACATTATGGATTAACAGAATTCCTCTTCCGAGGATGCCATCGGAAAAATCCATTTCCAATCCTCGCTATGCGTACCATCCACTTTGGGCGTTTCCTTGGTGATAATCCACTCCCCCGGCTGCAGCAAAGACTGGCCGTAAGACATGTCCACGTCGGTGCTGGAGGAAGAGAACGCCGACGAGGAGGACGGCGTCAGCTCCTCCAGCTTGAAGAAGTCCAGGCCCATGTTGGTGCCGCCGAAGAACCGGCAGCCTCCGAGGCAGCCACAGCGGTTCCTGCTGCGCTTGTTGCGAATGCCGGCCTCTTCTGGCCACAGGAACCAGAGTCTGAGGAGCGGGAGGTGAAGGGATGGGGTCAGGGACGATTGTTTTGCTCGTTTAATTGCTAACGTTACCTTTATGAGCAGTTGAACACATTGAGATTATAACCACAGCTGATTACCACATGAGTCTGTCCATGACACAACGTGAATCATCTTGTTTTGTTTGAACAGACCTACTTCACATTTACGGGCTGAGCATCTTGTGACTGTATCCATGAGTCATTGTACAGAGGTGTGAGGCAGCCAGTGAGTCATTTCCACATCCAAAAGGTGTTTCAGCCCTGACATTTTATCCTTTGGAAATGTTTTTTTTTTTTTACAAAATTAATTTAAAAGGTGAACAATAAGAACACACAAAAATCCGCCCCTTCCCTCCCAGTGAACACAATGTGCTGGATGGAGTGAACACTGTCACACACGTCACACTGGCTTTCCTACCTTTTGGTGTGAGCGTCGTGCATCTCCAGAAAGAGCCTCTGGACGTCACATTTGGCCGGGTGGTCGGCGGCCAGGGCGACGTCCGCCGTGATGAGGTTCAGGTTGACCGAACCCGCCTCCAGCCAGACGGAGCGTCGCAGCAGAGCGGGCTGCCCGAGACCCGGCGGCGGCCCCGGACCTTGACCCTGTCCGGCCGGCTGCAGCCGGGTCGCCTCGCTGTGCTGCTGCTGCTGCTCGATGTACTGCCGGATGTTTACGTCTTGCACCACGGCGCTGATGCCTTCTCCCACCGCTTGGTTGTGTAGGTTGCAGTTGGCTACATGAATGATGGCCGTCTGGGGTGGTGGAAGAAAAAAAAAAAAAAAAGAGTTCCTTACAAGGATTTCAATCAAGAAGTTCTATAAATACATAGAATGTAAATAGTTTTCGCCAATAACCTTGATGTTGGCAGCGCAGCCCTGCTCCACAACAAAAAGGTCAACTCCGTCCATGGCCAGTCGGGTCATGGTGTACTTCAGCTCCTCCGATGTGCGACAGTGACCCGGCAGGCAGCTCAGCTGGGAAAACAACCAGAAACCTTTCAAACGTTGCAACGGAAACCATCTGTATTTCATCCTGGCTGTGCTTTAGATGCAGCCACACGCTGCTGTGTTGTCAGAAACTAACGAGGGAGCCCAGGCACAGTTTTTAAAAATATCCTTGTTAGTATTCGAAAGCAAACAAGGCATTTTGTGAAAGAGACTTGTTTTCTCTGACAGTTACTCGGTGCATCACGCCGTTGAGCACATCGGTCGTCCTGCGTTAGCCACGTCGTTAGAGAAAGCTTCACAGTGGTCGCCTCTTATTACCCGGTGTAATTTACACACTTTTACACCGGACGAAGCCCCGATGAGCTGAATTGGAAGCTTTCAGCGCGCTAACCGGTGGAGAAGCTGCATGTTGGCGTTCGTACCTTGGCGTCGCAGATGCGGCGGTCGACGCCGTGTTGGCAGATGACGGAGGGCTTGGGCTGTTCCAGCTGGAACTCTCGAGACACCCCGTGGAAAAGGAAAGTCTCTCCCCACTCTATCATACTGGCCACCTAATCAATCACAAGCGCACAAAGGGCCGTTAGAACATCAAAACAAATCGATGGACACATTTACTGCGAGGGAAAGCGCACAAGAATAAATCGTCATATCGAGGGGGACAAAGCACAGGGAAGACGATGAAGACTTGTTCTGACAGTCGACAAAAACTGAACGTTTTAAATGCACAAAAGGCTGTCGCGTATTTTATATATATATATATATATATATTTATTTATTAACTACTTCACACACACACTCCCACTCAACTGACCCAACGATCCGTGATGTAATCATAATCGGCGGGCCACACGCATTTTTCCAGTGCACATTCCAAATCGCTCTTTTACATAAGCCAACCACAAACACACACACACACACGCACGCACGCACGTGCACGCACACGCACGCACGTGCACGCACACGCACCTGTGGAACAGTGACCCTGCCCGTGAGCCCCCCAGCCTGCATGTCGATGAGCCAGGCGTACTCCAGCGTGTCAGTTCCCGGCGGGAGGCCCTGAGCAGAGAACATGGCGTGGGCCCTCATCTGCAGGCCAGACAGACTCAGGTGGCCGTCCCTCAAAACCCCGTCCGCCGTGGGACGCTGTGGGCGAGAGAGCACGGAATCACACACACACACACAAAAGCAAATATTTTATATCGCCGACTGGTGTAATCTTCTGCTCGGGTAAAAATCACATCGTAAATATACCTACATGAAGGATTAAGGAAAGATTCAGTCTGAGCAGCAAATAACACCAGAAACTGGAGGCTAAAGTTTAGCAGTTTTGTGTGGTTATACAATATGCATGTGCTTATGCAAGGATGAGGCTGGTGTTTTCTATTGTGAAAGCTTTATCCGGGGGATTTTCTTTAGGGCCGAGTTAAGCCATTAGTTGCCAGATTAAAGAGTAGTTGTAATGGGTTTTAATTCTTTTCAAACATGGGAGGAGTAAAGAAACCCTGAAAGGGAAGTGAACAAAAACAATCTGATGTTCCACTTTCCAAGTATGATCGAAACTGTTTTAGACTTGAGTACGTGTGGTTTAAAAACGTTTTTCAAAGGATCATTTTTCTACAAAAAGGAACTTTTCCTTCCGTGTTCTCAACAAATAAAATCCTTTTCATTTTCCAGGCCTTCTAAACAACAACGTGCGAACATTTTGTGTGTTTTATAGTCATGTAAAATAAAAAAAGAAGAAGAAAAACATGTTTTGAGTCCCATTTAGAATGTGGCAGCATTTACATAGTAAAAGGTTTGTATTATTCTTTTGGATTAAAAGCACATGGACGCGCTCTTAATTTGTTCCTAAAGAAATTTCCCACTGGCAGCAACAATAAGCATCACATCGGGCGCACATTGCAGCTGTGCTCCTCACCTGGTAGTTGTCGCTGATGAAGATGTGAATGGGAGACAGGAGCAGCTGAAGCATCGTCTCCTTGTAACCTTTTTTCATCTCGAAACACAGACGCTCCAAGAAGCCGGATGGACCCTCGGGACCCTCGCTGCTGCAGTGCTGGAGGCAGCGAGGAAATACGCAGAGTCGTGCATCAAGTTGTTTTCGTACACATGAACACACACAAACTTAAACAAAGGGCCCGAATGCCGGTCCGGGCCTTTCGTTCGTTGGTTTTACCATTGGCAGACGGCCGTGGACCTTGTAGAGGTTGATGAGGACGGTGATGTCCCAGGGACGCAGGTCCAGGGGATGGATGTTGGAGTTATCCTTCTGTTCAGAGCCATCCATTACCAGAGGAGACCAACCGAGACCCGAGGAGGTGGAAGTGGACAACACGGGGCTGGTAACCGCCTCCTCAAAGTCGGTGTACATGTCGTCCTCGCCGAAATAGTTTTCCTGTGGGAGCACAACCATTTCCTGCTTTCATCCAAAATGTACACAGCGCGTATCCACACCCTTTCATGGACCTTCTGCGTACACAAGAACTCCGTTGGTGGAGACGGGCCGGAGGATCTGCGTACCTTGATGGAGATCAGCGCTCGGAGCAGAGGCCCGTAGAGGATGATCTGGGAATCTGGGGACATTTCCATCTCCACGTGGAGTCTGTCGGGCGGGAGCTCCGAGGGGTCCGCGGGCATCCGGCTGTGGGCGGCTGAGGCCGACGCAGGGGTGAAGCGTGGCTGGGCGTTGTGGTGCGCCCTGCTGTGCTCCGGGGGGCGCAGAGCCGACAGCATCGACTCCTCCATCTCCGACACTTTGGACGCAAACCAAAAAGGGCAGTTTAGACGACGATGACGCCGCGCGAGCCGGCTCGGTGAGGACACGAGTCGATGCTAAAGCAGTGAGCTTACGCGACTGTTTGAGCTGCTCATCGGCCTTCTGGGGATAAATGGGGTGCCAAGTGTAGTCGATGATAAGCAAGAAGTTGGGCACGCTCCAGCAGTCCACCCAGCCAGCTCTGGGAAAAGAAGAAAAGCAAACATGCACACTCTCAGTTCCCAGTCGTAACACTGAGTTTATCATCATTTCAAGTGGATTTTACAGTACATCGTTGGCTTTATGAACCGTTCAATCCGAGGACGTTCGGCAGGGGCAAGAGAGACCGCAAATGGGTCGCGCCTGATTTCTCTGCAGCACCGAGTGCAGCGGTTACGGACAGAATTTCATCTCAACCTCCCCGGGGGCGGGTGGGTCTCCTCGCTGGTGTTCCTTCCGCAGTCAAGCTCAGGGCTAGAGTCTAAATGATCCAAATGGTGACTGATCATGCGCGGAGGGCACAACGTATTCGCTTCCCAACTGTTAAATATTCTCCAGCATCTTTTTGAACCTCCCCTGACTCCTAAACAGACCTCGCTTTGCACACTTCTCCAAAAAGGGGATGCAAACCAAAATGGATTAAAAGTAAACATGTCTGACACATAAAGAGTGATGGCCAGCGATGACCACCGACCACCTCGGGCCGATGCGAGTCAGCGAGTGACGGCGATGAGTCACCCTCCAACGCACGCAAGACAAACAACTCACTCTGCGTGGGTGATGTTCCTCCAGCGCGACTTGGCGGGTTTGGGAGGGGGGGCGCTTTGGTTTTCCCCCGGCATGAACATGTCCGGGGGCAGCTTGACGTTCTGGTATTCTTTGGACAGGGTGAGCAGGGGGTCGCGGCTCGGGTGGCACTCCGGGAGGGACAGTCGCATGTCCGTGTCCTCCGCCTGAGGAGGACGCAGCACACGAGTGAAACACGCACATTCCTCCCCCCCCCCCCCCCCCCCACAGACAGAAAGACAACCGACAGTTACGCCGCGATGGGGAAGGACATCCTGTGGCTCACCTTCAAGCTGAAGCGGGTGTTGCAGGTGGTGGGAACAAACTCGACGAAAGGCAAAGTGAAGTCTATATTGAGCGTCTCGCCACACGCCGCGAGGTACACTATGGGAGATCAATAATGCAATTGATCAGTCTGCCTTGGGATCCAGTGGAGTGTATACTGTGTGTACAATATATCAGGACTTAATAGAGTCAAAGTATCCTGTCACGGACATCTGCTTCCAGTGCTCAAGAGCCCCTAATTCATCGATTGCTTTTATGGATTTTCATTTTTACCTCGTCAATGCTAAACACGTATGTATGCAACATAAAATGGAGTCAACTGCGTAAAAACTAACTTTAACTGGGAGGATTTACCTTAAAAATCATTTTTATTTCAAACGAATCTGTGTAGAATGTTTCCAATCCCCCCAAAAATGTTACATTTGATTTTTTCTTCTCTTTAAAAAAAAAAAAAAAAAAAAGATCTGTACATTTATGGTACTCGACTGCACTGATCGATGTTACTTCTACGATCCCCTTTCTTACCATTCTCCTGCTGCTTGGTGGAACAGTCAACCCAGTTGTGCTGATTTGCCGCCCAGATCATCTCAAACTGGTGGAAAAGCACCTTGAACTTCCAGGAGTAGGGCACAAAGGAGTAGATGTCCGGAGCGCTGTCGCTCGCCCAGTCCTGGATCAAATCTAAACAGAAATAACACAAGGAACAGTGATGAGAGAGGAAGAAACGGGGGCGTTGCCCCTTAGCTTCATACATTTCACCTTGATAACGCTGGAGACCTCACCGGTGAAGAAGTTTTTCTGGGCGTAGATGAAGTGGTACGTGGCCTTGTACACCTCAATCTCACACTGCCACGACTGAGGCATGTTCCACACCCGAGGGTAACTGGCTATGACGTGAAACTGAAACATATAACAAAAAAAAAAAGGATTTCACATTTGACAGACGGAGAAAAACGGAGGAAAGGTCCTCGTGTAACGCTCTCCTGCTTACAGCCAGCATCTCCGCCTCCAGAAGGGTCCTGTACTGCATGCTGCTGGTGGTGTCCACGTGCAGCAGCTGGCCTTTGATGGTCGGGGAGTAGCCTGAGGGCAGAGGAGAGGGACAGACAGGCAGGGCCATCAACTCACAAAAGCCAGCGCTGGGGGCAGACGTCTTGCAAATAACGGAATTTACCGGCAAACCGTGAAACGGTCACTTACGCTAAGTACATTTCTGGAGGCGGAGGAGACTCACTAAATATTATGAGGCCAGCGCAGTAAACTATTTTGCGCTTCTCACATCCGTCTCTCTCTCTCTCGCTCTCGGCCTGCGTGTACCGCTCACACCTCAAGGACAGTTCACCTGACGTCTGTCCTGCTGGGGACCAGACTTACCGTTCTCTCCTACAGTCATGGGGATGTTGACCTCCAGGTAAGAGCCTGCCCCCACATTCACGTGGATGGCATTTGTTTCCTGCCAACAGAGAGGGACACAGAGCAGTCACGTATGCTGCGAATCACTCAATAAAAAGTTTTCAAATACAATATGTTAAAAAAAGGAGACGTAACAGCTCAACAATCTGCCTCTAACCGGTTCATTTTTTCAGTCGACGAGCATTCACGTCAACGTTTAGTATGCGGTTCACATGCTTAGCTTTGTGAAAATCCATGCACTGCTCCGGGATGAAGATTTGAAAAAGAATAAAACATGGGGCGATATCGACAGCTGAAACACGCCGAGCCATGAAGATAAAAGGTGAGCGTGGAGGAAGAAAGATCAGAGAGGTCGGCGGGAGAAAAACAGAACGCGCGGGAGAGAGAGAGAGAGAGAGAGAGAGAGTCAGGCACCCTGTTTTTGGTGAAAAGCAGATCGATGGTCGCGTCGGCAATGATGTTCATGCGCAGCTCAAAGGCCTGGATCTGCCTGGGTTTTCCCGGCTGGGCGACCTCTGTGACGTTCATGGCCTGGTAGTCAGCCGGCAGGAAGAACTTCCACAGACAGTCCCTGAGGAAACGAAGAGCGTCTGTGTGAATGCCAAACGGAGCCCGGCATTTCTGCCATTTGCCATTTACTAACTTTGCCACACTGAAGGCAGGTTGGCGTTAGTTTTACCACCATGATCGCAGAGTTTAATTTTATTTCAGAAGATCTCACGTTGAAAGTCTTCAATAAAACGCGTTGCTCACCTCTGACGATCTGCCCAGGGGCCGTAGTTGAAGTCGGTTCCTTTTCCGCAGACGATGTCCAGACCCCAGCAGGGAGGCAGGTCCTGGAGCTTATCGCTCTCACTGGACGTCTCCGCCTCCTCCCCACCTTCCTGCTCCTCAGGCACCAGACCTGCACGCACGCACACACACACACACAGACGTTGATACAACGTGACCTTTGTTCTATGTGCGCTAGACATGAAGACAGGAATATTCACCAGATGACGCCATAGTACTTTTTTGGTTGGGACCTTGTATTGCGTCTTGAAGCTAAATGCATCAGTCTGGTGCACCGTAAGAGCAGGAAGCCAAGAGGTCAAGATCTTTGTGCTGATGAAGCAATTTGAAATCTTTATGAAATATTTTGGCTACATATTCAAAATCAAAACGCTGTATTTCTCCTTGAGAAACAATTCTGGAAGTTATTTCGAAGGAATAACAATTTTCCATTTTGAAGTTTTGGCAGCACTGAGAGAGTTTGTTTGTTTCCATCTTGGGAATTTTTGTGTGTCTGTGCATTCGTGAGCGTACCGGGTTCGTCCTGGTAGTAGTAGATGTCGACATCGTTGGACTGCATGACCACGAAGCCTTCGCCCATCAGCCTGGGAGGTCTAGATGGGAAATCCACAGGGTCAAAGTTTAGTTTATATATAGATAGACAGATATCTTTAGTTCAATAGCTGATATGCTTTGAAGAATATGCAATAAATGCACTTCAACGGCAAGAAGAACGTCACAGATATACGTAAATACAGATAAAGAAAACGCGACGGAGAGCAGCGCATCTCACAGAATTAACCTTCGCGACTTTGCGGTGATAAACAATGTTAAGTGCTCACACGCATCCGCTGCCGGACTAAAAGGAAACGGCCATAAAAAGGTTCGCACCCTGCAGCTCCCTTAAGTGTGATTCATTAAATAGCACCGGGGAGCTACAAGGGGAGCTACGGGATGCGTCCCTTTATTTAAATGTTCAAACATTACAATGAGCGCGTTGGACATCATTGCCACTGGATGTCTGTTGACATGATAGTATGCTTCAAAAATGATGTGGCCATGGATATTTTTTTGTATTCTCGTAACAAGAAAAACAGCGTTACAGCTGAAATCGAGACAAGTTGAAAAATTCTGTTCACACGTTTCAGAAATGAGCAGAAACGTCCTTTGAGGAGACGGGATTTCACAGCTCGTGCGGACTCACTCGTCAATGTGCATGCCCAGGTAGCGCGGGCTGGGCACCAGCATGACGCGCACGTTCTCCAGCGAGCCTTTGACGATGTGCATGAACTGGTCCAGGTGGCTGGACGGAGGCTTGGTGGCGTACGTCAGGAAGGCGTCCTCGAAGTTGACGCACAGAGTCTGCGGGAGGTGGTGGTTCCCGAACGCCAAGCGACCCTTCGGGGGGGGGGGGAAGAGCAGACGCGCGTGCAATGAATGGACCGGGACACCCAACGGACGTTTCCTTACGCTTGACCCGTCCACTCCGACCGGGGAACTCACGGTGCTGATGTTGACTTTGATGACGGGAATGAGGGAGCGCCAGGACGACGTGTGGTCCAGACTCTCCGCTTTGATGTTCACGCTGCACAGGGGACCAGAAGACATTCAGGCTTACAAACGGTTCAACGGCGCTGCATTCTCCAGGCGGCCCCAGTCGTTGGGCCGTCTCTGGGAAAGGACGACAGCTGTCCTACGTGGAGACACTTCTGACGCATTTGCTCATAACAGACGGAGTCCCTTGGCTGCATATTTGTGCGGCACTTTGAGGAAAACTTTATATCCCTGTTGGTTTCTTTGCGGTTTAATTTATCAACTGAGAGGTTGACTTTTTTTGTTGAAAATTTTAATTAAGACAACAACGAAAGCAAAACACTGTACGTGCTCGGATATTAGGAGCTTAATTTCAATATTAAGTCTACTCTAATAGAGGTTGACGGTTCCTTCTTAATTGGCCCTCCCATTAAAAGTTAGGACAGACGGGCCCTCGGTCGTACCTCTCCAGTGTCTTGTTTCGATCCTCTGGTCCCTTCTCGTCCTCTTTCTTGGGAGTGATGAGTGTGGGGTCCAGTCCGAAGGTCTCCTGCAGCCGGGCGTAGAGGTCGGTGCGGTTGTAGACGTGGAACTCCAAGCCGTTGACTGTCACGTAAAGCCGGGTCTCTGCCTTGGGGTCTAGAGACGAGACACAAGAGAGCAAAATGCTGAGGATCCTTCCATGTAGGGGGGCCATTTAAGGTGGTGGGGGGGGGTCATAACTATACATTTATTACAGTTGCCTCCTCAGCTGAGGGAATTACTCGTTGCATAGACTCCCTTGGAAGACATTTACTGCATTGTATTAGATTCTTCAGTTTCCATGGAAACCGTTTGAGGGTACTGGCAGGCCGGTTTGCTACAACAATGGCTAATTTGTTTTCATTATTTAAGGCTTTACTGGACATTGATTTCGTGCTGGACTCCTGATGCAGGTACTAACGTATAAATCTTACAATTTTTGGGAGATGGCAGACCTGTTTAATGTTGCTACCATCTCATTGTCATCATATATTGTGTGTGTGTGTGTGTGTGTGTGTGTGTGTGTGTGTCATATATATATATATATATATATATATATATATATATCCAGCCATTTGGGGAGGTTTAATGTTCCCAGCCTGGTTAAGAAGGCATTTTATATTTAATTAAGTAGAGGAACAAAACCTTTGAATTAAGTCTTACGGGGGTTTACTATTAGGAAACATTAACTTGAGCTTTAAGAGAAATCCCTTGAGGAGATTCATACCACCGGCTAGCGGCTAATGACATGTTCTTAAACTCACCATGCTGTTTTTGTTTCGGGTTATACATCTTCCACCAGCGGAATATGAGGAAGCCATCCTGTATCCTTTAACCAAGACAAAAGAAATATCAAAAAGTCAGAGAGCGTTAGCATTGTAAGCGGGAGAGTGCAGAACAATGGCGGCTTACCTGATGGACATGTCCTGGCTGATGTAGTAGACATCTCGGAACATGACTTTCCCCGACAGCACCGAGAAGGAGAAGGAGCCTGCGGAGCGTTCAGACACGTTTTCACATTGTGTTTAAAGCGAAAAGATGTTTAAATTTGATCACAGTGGTGCAAATTAATTTCATTGAAATATTTAAAAGTGGGAAAAGGTTATAATTAGTGGTTGTTTGAGCCCTGGTAAAAAAATAATAAATTAAAGCTGGTGAAATATTTAATAATCTGAGAAAAGTCTTAATTAGGATTTAATTGTATAACAGGTCAAAGTCTTTATGGAGTAAAAAACTGAAGAAAAAAAAATTGTTTTCCCATCATTAATAATTTTTGGCTCACGACACATTTTTCTCTGTTTCAATTACTGCATGCTGAGCGAGAACACCGCAGCGCTTCAACTATCATCAGCCGAGCTTTGCGGCTGAAGACCGGTTGTGCCACTCAGATCCTGGGCAGGAATGTCTTCCTCACCTCGGTCCTGGCAACAACAACACACCCCTTCAAGCAAGTTCAAACCTGCTCATCAGAGAACACGCCGTGTCCCTGCCTCCCTCACCTCAATGCAAGGCTCTACTGTGGAGCGGGTTCAGGGTTGTATGACAGAGCAGGTGATGCTGACCAGCTGCACTTGAAATCAACTAATCACTAATAGTTGCACTTGCACTGATCGCCTCGAGATGCTTTTAGAAATGAAGTTCCGTGTTATTTATATAAAGGGAATTCAAATCGGGGGATGGCTGGAGCTGATAACCGAGAGAAACCCGCCTGAGCTGCCGAAACCGAAAGCGTTGGCAGAGTTTCTCTTCCCTATTCGCCACTGTGTGACAGAGCGGGATGAACACACCGATGTGAATGTAGCCATCTTTGTGGAGTCGGTTGATGACGAGGGTGAGGATGAGGCCAATGTTGCGGGAGTTGTAATAAGTTAAATAGATGATCCATCCACAGGACAGAATGGTGGCTGAAAGACAAAGACATGGTGCTCTTTGTTAATACATGGAATTACACAAACATAAACAATAAGCACCACAACCCTTTGTCATGTTTTATGATATTTGGAATAGAGTGTTAACCTTATAGAGGTTTGAACTAAACTGTAAAGTAGGCCTTTGCAGACACAGAGCACTTACCAACAAGGAGCCAAATGAAGTTGGAGTTGTGCTTGGTAAGAAAGTCATCCAGGTCCCCCAAGCTGGGGAAAGCGCTTTCATTGCTTTTGGAAGCATGGCCATCCATGGCTACAGGCTCTCAGTCCGATACCTAAAACTAAAACGTCAGATAACTTGCATGACAAAACGGAGTGCTGCGTTGTTCTAGTCACCTCGGCATCATTATAATTTCAAAAAGTAATTTCAGGATGTTTGTTTGATTCAGCAAGATAATCTTCACAAATGAACACAAATTCATACCATTAGAAAGCGGTATTCACTGTCACACATAAAATGATTGTACCTTCATACGTTATAACACCACAGTCATATGACATCATGTCACCCCCACTATTCCAACGGCAGACCACTCAGAATGATGCATTTAAGCAGGTGTTCACCACGCACCTCATTTCAGGCATCCAACCAAAAACCAGCGGACTTTGAGCGGGGACAACCGGATTTGCACAAATACGCAGCTGTAACGCTGTTTTTCTTGTTACGAGAATACAGTAATTTACTGGTTTTAGGAATAATTCAATCAGCTCTCGATTATGTGTCTCTCAAAACTGGTTCACATTTCCCTTTACCTACTTGGCAATTATCAAAAAAAATCTTCAAAGCATTTGCACAGTACCCAAAACTCATAAGAAGTGAGCTCACGGTGTAACGCCACACGTGATAACAATTAGCTACATATACTTATATGCTTGTCATGAGGCCGTGTTTAGTGCCGTGCACTTTGCTTCCACAAGAAGGATTATCTTGTTTTTTGTGTGTGGCAAGAGGCTGGTGGAAGGATGTTGCACAGAAGTATGACACACACTTAAACACAAACACAAATCCTCACCTAATCCACTTTACACGATGTTGGTTGTAAATGTGAAAACCGAAATGTAGCCAAACCGCGTTTGGCCAATATTTCAAAGACGCACAAGAAACAATGATCTGTTGAATTTGACGTGTCATTTAAGAGGAAGATGCTTTAGATCTTCCAGATAAACTTAACACCAGCTACCTGCTCAATCCACTCCTGGCTGTTGAGTTTGTTTACTCTGTCATTAGTCAGGATCTAAGGAAGTGTTTGTGTGACTTTTCTTGGAACGGCTTACGGCACAGTGTTCCTGTAATCCCAGGACGATCGGTGATGTCACTGATCGATCTCAGTGCACCCGAGACCCTGAGGGGGTTTTCAGATTGGGTTTCCGAGTAAGTTGAGACGCAGCGAAGAGTCCGGTGATTATTGTCAAACTAACACGACGGAGATCGTCAGAGTAAAAGAGCACAGTGGGTTTTTTGAGAGCGACGCAATTTGACAGTCCCTGGCTTTGTTTACATGTTGAACAGAAAGTGCAGTCACCGGAACGGTTTTCTATATTCATTTTACGCCGTCCGTTGGGATTAAGTCAAACATGCCCAGGCGTGACCTACTGCTCGATTACCATTTCATTGAAATTCCGATGAACCCTGAGCCACAAATTACCTGACTCAAACATAGACCTAACGCTAGCTAACGTTAGCTAATCCCAGCTGGTCAATCCTGGGAATACTCTCTGCACGAGCAACACGAACGAGCTTTTTTATGCGCCGTGTGTAACCTTAACAGACGTGGCCGTCGACCCCTCCAGTGTTGCCACACAACTTGTTGTCAAATTACGTGTTAGCTTGTGGATAAAGCAGTGATTTTAGCTAACGGCTACATGCCGTAACGTTAGCACTGAGGTTAGCTCGCTAGCTAATGACAGCAGGCCGCACCCTCTAACTTCTCCTCCTTCAAACTGTGAAAACAAGTCACGTCGTGATCTTAAATTACCTTAACGTCCTGGATAAAGCATGTGGTTTCATCTTTGCTCCAGTTATCCAGGAGTTGCTGCCCCGTTGTCGTGTCAGACATGGGCACAGCTAGCATCCTCTGTTGAATATTTACCTGGCAGGCGGCCAGTTAACATCTCTTCTTGGTCTGTCGGGAGCGGTCACGAAATTGACCAATGGGAGAGATGGCAAGTTAGAGACCGACCAATCAGAGGCCATGGTGAGCGGAGCCACGCCCATATTTGACAGACTGCTCCATTGACCTATGGACGTTAATGTTTTTATAGTAGTGGGGATTGAGCGGTGCTGTTTTGGTGCTGTACGTGTGTGTTTGAATTCCAGCACCAGCGGGATCCACACGTTCCTAATTCTGTTTATAAAGGATACAAAAAAGAATGTAGGCTCATAGAATCAAACAAATGTATGCACACACATTATACACTTAAATAAAAACATATCAAATGCATAGACAGAGTAAAGAAATTAAGGTGGTTTACTACGTGCCATTCATCAGAGATTACCTTTTAATATTTATTGTTGAATATATTTCACACTTATATTGTGAATATTTATCTTGCTCAGTGAATAAGGCCTCTGGCCAGTAGGTTATCAAACATTGGAGATTAGACAGAGTTTCTGAAGCATATAAATGCATTGAAGTAGGTGGAGCCATTAAAGATTATGTAGATTTGGTTAGTAGGCTATAAATAAAAAATATGTATACTGTGTCCACTTACAACAACACCCCCCCCCCCCAATATATTATATTTCATTATGGTATGTATTTGTATTACTGTTTTTTTGTTACAACACGTTATAGTAGAATATTTTCTTCACATTCTTATTTTTCTAACCATATTTCTTGGAAATGATCAAATAATTATAACACTCGATCATTCCTGACATATTAATATTAGTGAATGTTATTTTGAAAATAGTCCAAAAATACCTTGACAACTGGTTAGATCAATGCAGTATTATTTCACAATAGTGAGCCTATTTGATATTTATATGAGGTTCTATCCCCCACATTTACCATCTTTGTTTAGTGTGTCAGCAAGAACTATGACCTACTGGTAGTGAAAGAGGAAAAGTCACCAAGGTCAGTAAGCTTAATCCTTTTAGGACTAATAAAGTATGTGCAAAATATCAAAGCAGCTGAAAACTGTTAAATTCTGGACCCGGGAGGCCAAAGGAAAAAAGTAAAAGAGGCAATTTAACTTCCCGTTCTATTCTCATCGTCCCTACATGTTCTCAAAAACAATGTTTGTGTTAAAGCACCAAACAAAAAGAGTTGCGGTTGAAACTCCTGTTTCATCTCAAATAATTGCCCGAGCAATTAATGCAAGATCCTGTTGTCATGGCGCCCTTCCCCCTCTCGTCTCCAGTCACAACAACAAGGCCTCCCTCAGGAACACGTAGGAGTGGTTTTACTGAAAAGGTGGTAAACATCACGCTCAGAGCATTTCCTGCCAATCAATGCGTCCCCTCAAGACCGACCTATTTTGGCGATGGCTTGAAAAAAAAAAAAAACATATCTCGTAAAAGTTCTTGTTCCTTTTCTGTGAAGTAAATTCCTCAAAGAGCCTCCTGGTACGACACTGTACAGATACCCCACTAGTGATTAACAGCAACTTGGCTCACTGTTTTGAATATGCAAACACTTGGAGGTTCTCCAGGGGACACCTGATTATCATTTTCTAGCTTGAGGCAAGTACAGATAGACCAAGATCTTCGAGCTGATTTAGATTTTGGATAATTCGCAGTAATTAACTCTGTGGCCGACAAACGTTCAAAACACTGACTCGGTTTGTCGAGTTGAGCTTCAGAAATGAACCAAAAAAAAAAAAAAGAGTCAAAAGCCAACATTAGCCTAAAGCGCCCCCTCCCAACGTACCCTAAGGCCTGACACCCTGAACCCTGACAATGTGCAATTAAGAGCGGGACAGTACTTTGCTCCAACATATCACATCCCCATGACAACGTAATGAAATATGACGTCCACTCGTGGTTATTATACGAGACCTTCTACTCTACAAATGTTTACCAGGCTCCGTCCTCACAAGATGAGGTCGTTTTAAATGATGTTTTTTCTTCCAAACAGCTTAATAATTCCTCAGGGCAACGTCAGCCCCTAATGCTGAATTACAGAGAAGGGTTCAGAATCTCGGCGGTGTGACAATGGGACAAAGACCTTCTGCGGTAAAAAGAATAATATATGACACGGAGGACATTTGGCACACTCAGTTCCATTAACCTTGGCGAGGAACATCGCGGCTTGAGTAAGACCAACTTCGGCACATTGATATTGAAAAAGAAAACCTGATTATGAGCAACTGAAAGAAGTGTCCAGCATGTGCAGCAGGAAGGTATTGTATTAGTATCACACAACGGCCATAACCTCCTGTCCCATTTCCATTAAAGTGATTTTTTCCCCTGCGTGTTAACCAGCCAGCAACCTCTGTTGTTGTGCCCCCAAAAAAGGAATCAAAGTGATTAAATGAACATAAGTCATGTTTCTCAATGGAAACTCCATCCGAGCGTGAGCATACATGTCCTGAATTCAAAATGACATGTAAATGTATGGAAAACGGCACAGCATTATCACCCCGCTCCGAAAACAATTTGCATCGGTGGAATCAGTGAACATGGAGCATATCAACGAGAGCACCAGCGGAGATGGATAATCGGAGCAGCACATACGCGAGTCGCTGCGTCCAGAGAAGGAAAGAAAGAAGAATGAAATGCACATCCACGTTACGCACAGCTGCGGACACGTTTAATGATCACACACACTTCGGCTACACACTCGTTGTGACGAGACTTGTCTTTCTATTGTCACTTGATCGGCACATTCAATAAACACGGCATCTTTAATTGAATTTCTTGAAAAGCAAAAACAGGAAAAGACAGGTGATCAGGAGTTCTGAGGTTATTGTATAACACGGGCATAACTCATGTTTTAATAAATATGATTTCTAAATTATATTGCAAATGTCCTGCGGCGCTGCTCAGCCAATTTCAACGCCATAAATTAATACGACGGCATAGAATACATGAATAACTCTCGCGGCTCAGAGTCACTTCTTAAAAACATTAAAGTCACATTATGCTCCCGGTCACATCCAGGCGATATATCAGAACTTTAATTCTAATGGCTCATAATAGCTGTAACAATCACGCCTTGAATTTATCAAAACATCGCTGTGTTCTTCTCGTTCCAGCAGAGCTGTAGCACGCACGCGCACACGCACGCACAACAATGACGACAACAACAAACCGAAGACGAGACGGCGTGCAGCGCGTCAGAAGCTCATGAGCGCGTCCCGCTCCTGCATGCTGGTGTAGAACGGCTTCCCGAACACGAAGGAGTGAAGCCCCGCCCGCAGCTTCTCGGCGAAGGCCATGACGATGTACAGGTCGCCTTCCACCGTCAGGTCCAGGTCCGTCTTCAGGTTGCGCAGCGATCGGAAGGGCTTCTTCCCCTTCTGCCTGCGGGGGGAGGAGAAGAGGGGAGTCGGGGGGGGGGGGGTCAGGGGATGTGCATTAGCGTCTAGTTGGGGCCGCAGCTGGTGCGCGAATGAATTATGTATGCAGCTACTGAGCATTAACAATGCCGTCGAGGCACCTGTATAGCGGCTCGACCTTTGACCTCAGGCCGTTAGCGGCGACACAAACAACAGGGCTTTGATCCGCTCGCACGAGCGTCCGAGCCGAGAGGTTTGATCGTTGTGTAGTCAGGTGTCGTCTCTGGAGTGAGATGTGTTCAGACACCAACTACCAATTTAAAATCACATCTCTGGGACCAATTTAAGTAAAGAAATATATGTTAATAAATAACTGCATATTAAAATTGACTTAAATAAAATAAAGGTTAAAACTAAAACTGTGTAGTTTCTTTTGGGGTGTGGAATTGAACATCAGGCCAAGTAGAGTTTTGATCACATGATTGAATTGTATCCATCATCATCGATCAACCCTCAATTCAAAATGTCAGAATCGCGCAGATGTGGAACAGCTAGACGGGAGGAGTAGGAAGGTCAGTGTGCAGCTGGGGCAGCACAGACGGAGAGGAGTCAAGCCCAGAGGGAGCGATGACCGGGTCGCCACGGCGACAGTGGCGCAGCAAGAATTTCGGAGGTAGCTGGAGACTCACGTGGGCCGGATGGATGCGACTCAGGGGCGCAAAGGAGGGTTTGGATGTTTTCGAACTGGAGGACCGACGCTCTTCTCTGACGGGGAACTCAAGTGTTTATATTCGCTACTTCTCCGTTTCCATCGTTCCTCTCCAGCACAAGTCACTCCTTCCTGTTTCTGCCCTCAAGCCAACAGCCATCCACAGCAGCTAATGGCCTCACTATGGGGAAGGGCTTCATGCAACTACACTTTAAAAACAATCCCCCGTGATGGGACTGAAGTGTGGCCCCGATTATTTACAAGGTCCCCAGAGAGGGAACGTGAAGCTCTTCTGGTGGTTTTATATTGTTTTAGCATTAAGTGAATCTTCTCTTAACTGCCTAACGCATTACACTCTAGCGTGAGGCCATTAAAAAATACAGCAGGTCACCTTGACACCTGGCATGCACCTCTCATTCCTGCAGCTCAGTGGGGAGGCGGGAGGGGGGGGAGACAAAGGGGAGAGCATTTCTCCTCATAAAAACAGTTTAGAGCTGTGATGGTGATGATAATGGTGAAAGTCACTCAACAGTTTGGCCGTATGCTCCGGCGTCTTTTTCCAGCCTCCACCACCACCACCACCCTCCCTCCACCCCCATCGATACGTGCCGTGTAGACGGAGGAAGCTGTCACTCGAGGCGCTGAGGATTCATGGCTCGCCGTGCAACCCGCTTCGTCACAGCTTCTTCCCAACACCAATCACCATGATGAACCCGTCCCGTGAGGCCGAGCCGCCACCAAACAGGCTCCATTTTCTTCATGTCGTTTAAGGCATCTGTTTTTATTGATTATTCTGACGTTAATAAAACAGGTCTTGCATCGTCATCGCCTGTTCATTTGTCTCATAGAGCTCTGGGCTCTCATCTGATAAAAAGGGCTGCAAAGTATTAAATTAGTCCCGTACAACAAGGACAGAAAAACGCTCTGTCATATATGTGTATATTGTAAAACAGCTGTTGTGGGCGGGGCTAAGCACAACGACGCACTTGCAAAACATATGGCGCACTGGAGGAAGAGGAGGAGAATGCCAAAGGGCCATCTGGTGACTACCATCAATTACTTTGAGGACCAACAACTTGTTTCTACGTCTTTTCTACGTCTACGTCCTACTCAGCGTCACACAGGGGTTGTCCGCTCAGTAAATTCTCCTCATCCGTGCTTCACCAGTGGAAAAGATGTAACGCCAACTTGCCAGTAGCTATGCAACGGTGGCTATCGTAAACACACAGTGAAGAGGTACCATTGAAACACTCAGCAGCTGAGGTTCCTCGGCCACCGTGTGCGTGCACGTCCGTACAGTCACGAGTGTCAGCCGTGCATCGCAGCCAAGATTTGGGTATTCTTTATGGCCTCTGAGGAGGGGGGGGTTGTTTATGAGTGAAGCAGCCGAACAAGCTGGCTTTTTGTTCATTTGGGATGAAACGTCTCACTGGCGACGGCTCTTACGTCTCGTCCTCGATGTACTTGAGCAGCGTGAGGGACTTCCTGTGGAGCAGCAGCAGGAACTGGGCCAGGTAGGTGCTCCGCAGGGACAGTCTGGGCTTCAGCATGAACACCTGGGTACGACACAGGACCTCAGTTAGCAGTTTCACCCTTTAACAGGTTTTTGCACCAATAGCTCAATAAACAGATTGAATCCTCACTCAGAGCTATATTAGGCTTTATTAGAATACTATGTAAATAGAATAGGCAACAAGAGAAATGAACATTCCTACAATGCTCTTGCCTTTTGGTAAATCTGGTTTGCTTTGATTAAGTCAAACTTTTAGTTTTTGGCTTGTAAATGGCTTAAACAATACTGAGGTATGTGCCGTCTAATTTCCCTTAACTTAGTATGGAAGAGCGTGTAAAATCCACATTTAAATTCAGCTGATAGATATGGAAGATATGAGAGGAAAAATAATTCTCTTCAGGAGAAGCTGTTCGCTTTGCCACATTTCTTTACACAGATGAAAAACAAGAACCTGATTTGTTGTCTCTTAACTTTGCTCTCCAGGCTATATTATTTGCTCCTTTCTTATTATTATTCATTTGTTGATTAAAAATATAAGATATGACCTCCAAAACCTGCTGTTTGATATTTTCAATTGAGGTTTTTATCAAAAGCGTATTACAACGTCTCATTATTCTCCCGAATATTAATAATGACAAAAAGTTCACAAAAAGGACATTTTCTGGTCTTGAAATGAGGAGTATGCAAAAAAGGAAAAAGGTGACGTTGTATTCTTACCTCATCTATGAAAGACTTCACCAAAGTGTCTTTATGCATGACGTCTTGAAATATATTCCTAAATAAAATAAAAAAATAAGCATCCAGGTTATATTACAACGCAAGACATTAAAAAAAGAAAATAAAAAAAAGAATCTCTTTCTTTTAGACACTGGACAGAGGCTGCGTGCGAGCGGCTCACAGGTCGGGGGTGAAGCTCTCGTCGGTGTGGATGACCGTGTCGGGGGCCACGTCCTCCTCGCTGTCCGCCTTCCAGCGGGCGCTCAGCTCGGACCGCATGTAGCGCCGCTGGTTGTACGTGTGCTCGTGGCACGGCGGCATCTGCTGGACCGTGTTGATGTCGACGTCGATGTGCGTGCTCGGGTACGGGGAGTAGAGCACCTGGCGGTAGGGCATCACGAAGCTGCCTGTGGAGTCCTGTGAAGCAAGAGATAAGGAGGGGGAGGGGGCGGGGGGGCGTATTGAATACCTGTCGATGTAGGAACGTTAAAGCTTCACCTGCGTTCCTTCTCTGTTCGTGTGCTTTTACATGCAGGTCAGAAGGGCTAATAAATCATTTCACAACCATTTCCTTTCCTCTTGTTCTTGTTCTTCCCTGGGCCAGTTTCAATTGTTCTCTGCTGCATCTCTTGTTAAAATGTATAAAAGGGGATCCTGCAGGAGCTCTGCAACAGGGCTTATGTGCACAATAGTGACTCCTAATGACCAAATGAACAGCGAGTGAGTGGAATTCACTAATACCACAAAGAAACATGTGTATCACTCGCTTACCCTCAACTTGAACGATGCAGTTAGATAATTAAAAAAATGAAAACATACGAAGAAACACAAAAAGCGGCATGAATTTCAACAGATCTGAATCAGTAATGGAGTAATAAAAATATATTATTGCAACTATTCCCTAAAAAAAAGAAAAAGAAATTGGGTCACAACAACAGGCAAACATCAAAGGAGAATGCAGAACAGAATAATCAGCAGGCTCATGAACGGTGCAGCATGATCAGAGGAGGCTGGTGGATACCTTGAGCAGACCCTGAACAAACAGGCCCGTGTCATATTTGAAAGAAGAGTCGGTCCTGCAGAGGCGGGAGCACTTCCTCTCAGCCGGGGTGAGGAAGAGGCACAGGGTCCGCACAATCTGCAACAAAAAAAACAGACCCGAAACCGTCACATTTCAGAGATTGATTTGCTCTCCGCGGAGGGGAGACAGAGAAAACGGGACATAATTGCAACTGTTGGGCGCGTGCAATGGGTAGGAACCGTGACGCATTTGGTCTACGGTTTAAACATGAACGGAAAATAAATTGCTTTTTGTTTCCACCTTAATTTTCCTGCTTACAGCGCGGCGGGTATCTGCACGCCGACGCATTTATTCGACCGAGCTACGTCTCAGCACCAAATTGACGCGAGAAGCCACATTGAGCTGGTGGACCTTGATGTGACATTTGGCGCGAGGCTTGTTGTTAGACACATATCAAAGATACGACCTAATTGGTGCTCCGGTCAATAAAATGACAAGCCAAGGCGGCGCGGCCCTTTGATATTCATCGTGCTAACGGTTAGCGGCCGACTTCTGCTCATAAACAAACAGCGGGTCCGACTTCTCCTCGTTTGATTCCGATATCTGCACACTAGACGACGCCGATAAGCTTTCTGCTGTTGCTCCCGTAAGCCGAAACAGCAGAGACTGAAAAAAAAAAAAAAAGCAGGGCACCAGGGGCTCATTAAGCTGCAAAACAACACACTTCGAAACATTCTAAATGATGTAGATGCATTACAAGTATGTTTGTGTGCGGCCTGCTAACACGGAGCATTTACCTTATTTACTTTCTCCGGGTTGCTTCCCACCACGATGGAACAGCCACAAGTCTGCAGATGAGAGCTGACGGCCCTGAACCACAGAGAAAGACATGCAGATTAGAAGCAATTAGCGCGATTAGCACCGCTTTAATCGCCAATGACATCTCTTAGGAGTAATGATGGAATCAAGAGGGGAGGAGGACGCGAGGCTTTACATGGGGCCAATGGAGTTTTATCTGCCTAGTAGTCATTTATTGGTCATATTTGTGGGCTTTTCCATATATTTTGAGGTAAATAGTTAATATTATGACCGTCCGTTATTTGAGGACCCTGAAGAATAGTTTTAAACCTAATCTTACATTGGCTGAAACACAGAGCCAGTCTGTACGGGAAAAAAAGGGCAATAAGAAAATTGTTACATTAAAACAAAAATATTTAGAAATTTATGGCTGAAACGAGTATTACAACAAACACAAAAACATTTTTTTTTTTAATTTACAAATGAAAGAAACTAATTAATTAACTGACTTTGTATTTTCCCTCGTCACACAAATGAAGAAACATTTGAGTAATTACGAGCAATTATCCTGCTAAAACCAGATCTTAAGTCATAAACACAGGAGAGAAAACAAAGGAAAGTCTCTCGCTCCTCAGGGCTTCTGTACGTCGGTTGTTCGCTTATTAAAAAGCTGCAGCAGCTATAAATATCCTCAAAATTCCAGTAAACACAGAACAGGGGACAGACGCTTCGTCAACACCACAGGACGCTCAGCTAATCCTGCTCGACTCTGAGCGATCGGGAGCTCCGCTGCCGGCGAGGACGCTGCGGACTCTCCACACCGACGGCGATTGCAGCCTCCGCCCTTTCTCGGGAGGGAACTCGGGAAGTGGCGAGCCATTAGTCGCCGCTGGACGGCTGACGGGTGTTAAATGGGCGACGTTCGTCACGCGTCTTTCCTTTTCGTGCTTACTTGTGGAGGAAGTCCTCGTGGCAGCTGTCCCCGATGTCATCATCATTTAGCACCGTGTCTTTTATCTAGTCGGCGGGAGGGAAAACAAATGAGTCTGTTTAAGAAATGGGTCTCAACAAAGACAAAAGTGCTGATGAGCACATCTTTTGCAAGATCTCGGATGAAAAGGAAAATGGGAAAAAAAAGCACCATTGTGCAGCGAATTAGGAATCAGCAAGACGGATTCCCGGGAGATTCTTTTGTGCTGCTTTTTTCCCCCCGGTGCATTTGCATATTAGAAGGAAATGAGTTGAATCTCACCGGGTGGTAATCCACGCAGGGAACCTGGGTAATTTAATCATCTTGGAAATAGAAACTATTTAAAGTACTGAAAAGAGTTATTTTCCTTTTTTCCCTCTTCAAAAAGTCACATATCGTTGTTTTCAATAAAAATGTGTCCACTTCCTGCCTGTCAATCACTGAAGCCCTGAAGCCATTAGTTCAGATATCAACAAGAAAATGATTCATCCTCCTTTGCGTTTCCCCAAAGCTTCAACACTCACATTAAAAACTCTGATTCGCCCTTTCACATTTTGTTGCTCACTGGTGGTCCTGAAGCACGAGTTTGTTGATGCGTGCGCGGCGCTTACGTTTATGTCTTCGGGCACGCTGTGCGACTTCATCGAGGCCAACAGCTCCATTATGGGGACGATCTCCAGGCTCAGCACCGAGATGATGTTGTAGCCCTGAAGACGGAGGAAGGGCAAACAGGGAAGCTGAAGCACGAGTGACGGGCGACTGAGGGGAGACATAAGTTATGTTCAGCACTTTACCTCCAGAGCTGGAAGCCTCGGCTGCAAAAGGGAAAACACGCAACCGAGACTGGCGTTACCACGGAACGTTGCGCCGGGATTTACGCAATTTTGATAAAGTAAAAGCCATCAGGGCCGGACTGATGAATCGGCAGGATCCACGTGTAGAACACTTCAGATAAAGTATTTAAATACACACAGCTGTACTCGACAGGTTTTGCCAGTCAATGCTACAGATACATACAGATACATTATGGTCAGAGCCAAAAAAGTGTCGAGGATCAATTTCCAGCCAGAAGGCCGGTGAGCAGTACTTGGCAGCGAGGAGGACTCTTACATATGTCTTCAAAGCAACACAAGACGAGTTACAGAGCACCAGAACAGGCAGAGAGAGCTGAGGGTGGATGGGGGCAAGAAAAACTACTAAAATATTTACTATGACAGGGGAAACTGTCTTACAAGATGAAACTAGGTAACAGGGATATGCACGCTCCTACCAGAGGCCTCTGCATCGTTGGTATATTCTTAGGGTTGTGCATCAGGTAATTTGTCTCCCCCTATTGTTGCCTCCCCACTGGCTCTCAGGGCTAATTAGCTAATTCAGTCCTCTGCGTTGGGAGCGTTCAACTTTATTATTCTGGCAACGACGTTGCAATCCCAAACGGGTAAAACAGGGTTGATGGATTACTTAATATCCATTTTCAAATCACTAACTCGCGGTGGATGGGGTTTTAAAGTAGGTTTATGGGTATAAAGGGATTTCCTGTGCTTTCTCTCGTGCCCTACAGTGGGAAGTGGCGGGATCAGAGAGAGAGCGGCGGCGTACCTTCTGCATGGAAATGCGCCCTTTGCGGATAACATGCTTCAGCCTCTCCACGCAGACGGTGTGCAGGGGCAGGTAGAAGGGCAGCTCTGTCTGCGGGAGGATAATGGACAAGGCGCACGTGTTCTTGTCTCCCTTCAGCTCGCCGTCGAAGATGAGCGACACGATGATGACGCCCTTTTCCGCCAGGACGAAGAACTTCACGTCCACGGCGCCGCACTCGGCGCTGCGCAGGATCTCCCCGTTGAGCGTGTGGTTGGCCAAGAAGGTGACCTCTCCGTCGCTGAGGAACATCAGCTGGTCCCCCTTCGGCGTCCAGATGTGGCGCACGCGGGGGCCCAGGATGTTGTCCCAGTAGGCGAAGGTGGCGGCCAGCAGCGGGCATTCTCCCTCTACCGGTACCTCAGACTTTGCCACTGCAGGCGACTGGGGCGGACAGCCGGAGGACATCGGGAGCGGCCCGGAGACGTCCCGGTGTCCCAGCGAGTGACGAGAAGCCTGCAGGGGACGTCGGTTATCAGTTATTGGTTCAGAGCTGATTACTCCCCCTTCAAATGTCACTAAAACAATTGCAACTGCACAATGATCAGAAATGTTTTAGCTCACAGGAAACCCGGGCTTGAAGTGGAAATGAAAGTCACTTCTTATAAGTCAACAGCTACTTCTCTTTTTCTGTCAGCGTTGTGCTAAAAGTGTTTCAAAGTGTGGCCTTTTCAAGCTTCATTGATTTTTAATCTAAACGAACTGTAAAAATGCTTGTGAGGGAATTCACGTTCAACGTTATTTAGTGACATTTGTCTTTATAATGTTCAATGTGCCCTATTAAATGTTTCTTATATGCATGCCGAATTCGGCGGAAACCTCTTTAGATTGAAGGCGTGCGGCTGTTGCGTCGCCACAGAACTCTGCGCATCCGCAACGAGCGACGCGCCCTTAAATTGACATCTTTGACAACCGAATCCGGTGAGAATGTTTTACCGTTACACAAAAAAACCAAACGGCTAACAATTACGTATCGCAAACTTGTTGAAACGGCATAATCACAACATCGGTGAAAAGTGACTGATTTGGGCATTTAGCTGACAGGCAGTAATCAGTAACGGACTTAATTAAATCAGAGTCGCGCGCTCAGCGACGTTAGCCAAACAGACGCCGACGGAGCAGTGATGACGTCGCGGGACTTACTGGTTCTAGTTACACCGTTTATGTGACAAATGGCCGCGACGCAGCGTCTTCTAAAGGAAGAGTTCTAGACGTTGCTGACATGTCGTCGTTGCATGTTGTCTTGCCGCGGGACGTAACGTTAGCTTGACGCTCCAACTACGGCGAGCCAGCTGCTGCTGGTGCTGCTGTCTTCGACACACTTCCGGGTACGTCATCGCTACGTCACCGTCGACGCTGACGCACAGCGGCCTCTAGCGAAGCAGGCGCGTCATGGACAGTCAATGATGTCATTTGAAGTCCTGGTGTACTGTGAGTCCAAATGAATGCCAACCCACTTAAGTCCCGAAGACCTATGCTGCCTTTTTACCTTTTTACCTTCATTGGTCCTCTGTAAACTACATTCATGACGCGAGTGCCTGCAGCCTCCCTCCAGGGGAACCTTCTACAGATGTGTAAACAGTATCGTGTTCCTTTGCCGCTCTCCCAGTCCACCGTTAACCACAATGAAAACTAGAAAGGCATCTCTTTAACACCTCCACATAGCATGTGAAGATAAGCTAAGTGTGGAACACCAAGCTGTTTTCCAGCGAGCGTCTTCCACTGCAGAAAATTGGTATAATAAGACCGTAAATACCTTCACACTCCTCAGCGTTCATATTTGTCTACACACTTGAGTTTACAACAAAGCATAATATTATTACCTGTGAAATGGTCCCGGAAGCAGTGAGCCCCAATGACTTCTCCAGCATCCTTTTATTTCCATCATGCCTTCCTGTGTTTCTTTCGCCTCATTTCTTTATTCTTTATTTTATTTCATAACACTTACGGTATTCCTTCATTTTGAGGAAATCATGTATTTGCAACATTGCTCTTCCCTCTGCGAGCCACAGCGTGAAGAAGACACCAAGTGCTCCAGTCCACTCAGGAGCTGCAGCAACACCACACTTGGACTTTTCAGCTGGAAAAAAAAAAAGGTTGTCGAGGTCGCTGAGCGTCGATACATCCACTCCGGATTGCACGGCGAGCCCCTTCCCGCCCGCTGATGTGATTGGGTTCTGTGAACAGCACTGCAGACCTGCTACTGCAACTGGCTTCCCATTACTCCATATTCCTCAGAGGCAAAAGGATTCCTTGGCAATTTTGGCAAAGTATTTCAATGCGGGCTGTTATCTAATCTTCTTCTTTTTTTGTAGTAAGTTCCTCCCGCTGGATTCTCCGAATCGAAGGTGTTGAAACATCTTCTATTTTCTGTGCTGTGATGAAACTCAAAAGTGTATGGTCTTCATTTTTAACCGCAAAAAAGGACTTTGGTGTACTTCATCACCTTGCTTTACATGAAAAACGCCTCAAGATCTTTTCCCCTCCTGTTATAAATCTTTTCATCTTCAAAAGCACAGCCAGGTTCCTGGATTTCAATTCATGAGAAACTGATGATGCGCTTAGCGCCTTTTTTGTAACTCTTTCACGTCCTCACAATTGCCATTTACGGAACCATTACCTCCATTGTTTGGGTCGAGGATGAGATTAGAGAGAACTTCTTTTTTTTTTTTTTTTGTTCACTTTTTGGTTAATGCCGCCTCATTGCCACCTGCCAGCCATCTGCTGTGCAGTTTGCTGGCAGCGGAGGGTGGAAGAAATTTGTGACATATCATATTTACCTTCCTCGGTGTCTTTTGTGGCCGCAAGGCCGCCACGAAGATGCAATCAGAATCTCTAACCGCCCGCAGCCGGAACAGTGATCAACTTACTGGCCGCGTTAGCACCGTAATGGCGTTACTTTGTTCCTTGCAGGATTTCTCTCACCAGGATAATCATGTACGTCGCCCACAATATCTGTGTCTCCGAGTTCCACTTCTGGACGTCTGTTACTTCCCACCTGCTTGGTTGGGGCAGGCTTTTTATTCAGCAATTTTCCAAAATGTGTGCATGCACAATATTCCTGCTGGGAAATGTAGTGAAACAGCCATTTCTTAATGTTGACTTAAGACTTGGGCTCAAAACGTTTCCCTCGTTATCTCCTACTGCGAGCTTTAAAAGGAAAATAACAGAGTTCAATGAAAACCGGCTCATATTTGTTCATAGATATTGAAGCTGGAGATATTAGCTCTGTTGAAGGCTGGAAACTGGAGAATAAGCAAAACTAAAAAAAAATACAAATCTTCATTAATTACTAGATAAATAGCACAGTCATGACTTTCTCATCTGAATGTTTTCCAACAAAATATCCGTAACAAATCTGAGCTTTTGAAAAGTAATCTGTTGTCAACGCGTTGACTCTCCTTCATTTGACAATTTACAAGCAAAAACACTTTACAGAGAGCTTTAGTGGTTATCAGAGCCCATCATTGAGTTTGGAGGGCAGACCTTTCATGTAACCCCGTTTCATCTTACGTATCCGCCCCATCGCGTGGGAGCAAAATCCGTCCCTGTTGTTTATTTCCCATTCAAGAGCGTGAAAAAAAGAATCTCTCGTCATTTATCTGAACTTCCGTGTCACTGGCTTCAAAGGATGCCTTCTTTTAGTCATGAGAAATCCCTCGCTGGCAGAAACCTTCTGTTGTACAATAATTAACTGTATGGATGTGAATCCAGCTGCTAGTCCAGTCTGTAAGAAGGAGCCCGCTCATAGTCTCCTGTGTGTCACCCACGAATCGCGAGGTTGTTGGTAATTACTTTATATAGTGATTAAAAATGTACTAAATATCTATTTGAATTTAAAATAAAATGAAGTCTGATTATTATAAACTTTAGCATACGGCTCTTATTTGATTGACTGAGAGGAATCATCTTTGCAGGAGTCCCCACATAGTTTTAGTGTACATTTACATTGTTTTACTGTACATTTACGGTAGGAATATTAATCATCTAGACTTGATTGAGACGGACATTTAATAGCGTCTCAGTGAGTTATTCCACATTGATCTCTGATGTGTTCGGCACAACAAACACCTCATGAATTGCTAATTCAATTTGGATTAAACACGATTTAATTTGGATTCAAAGTGCAACGCCGCGTCGGAGGCCTGAGAAGCGAGTCACGCTGAAACCTCTGAGGTGGTGGCGCCCGTGTGGCCGTGGTTCGCTTCATTAGTGTCTCAGAGTTTCTTCTCAAGGACACACGGTTGAGAGCGAATTGAGAGCGCCGCGTCCCTTCTCCGTCCGACGGGGGACAAACGGACGGGCTCCTGTTGTTCCGGGCCGGGCCCGATGCTCGGCGCCAGCATCCATTGGGAGCTGAGCTGAGGCCCTGAGAGCAGCCTCCTGGGCTCCACTGCTCGTTTCTTCTCATCCAGCCACCCTTTTGTGAAGTACACCCCCCCTTTATCTTCCTTCACGTAACCTGTGTTGGATCTGAAAACATCACACAGATGCGTGTTGAAAGTAGTAGAGGCTGCGTTTGGCACAATGTCACATAAGATTAGACCTTAAACAAAAGACACAACGACATGAACAAACAATCCAAAATACAGCGGGGAAGAAGAACAAAAACGATGAAGATGAATCACATCAGTGTGATCACAAAGAACCGCTCGCGCAGCGAAGGCTGATGACGCCAATTCCAATTACTCCTCAATTCTCTAAAAAAGGGCCACAATAAGCATGATGCCTTTGTGGTGTTTCAAAGCAGCCTCCGGGTTTGAAACAAGGCGCGATACCGATGATCGGTGACGCCATTCAAAGGAGGCGACTTCAAAGGGCCTCATTCGCTTTTTTGTCCAAGTTGCAAAGTGGCTCGCTGCCACCGGCCGATCGTTATAACCAGTAAAAAGGGGCTTTCGGCGGGCAGCTAAGCAGCGTGTCCTGCTGCAGCGCACTGTACGGCTCTCAAATACCGACCTGAAATCTTTAAGACTGATCACGTGATGTTAGAAGGATCATAATGAGGAATGCAAATAGATAGATGGCGTAAGGACTCTGTGTAAGTGATGTGCAGAATCTTGGTTTCCCTGAGAAGATACAGTGCATTTTAAACATCATCTGACAAAAAGGAAATTATGAAATGATTCATTTAACGTCAGCGATGTGTCATAAATCATCCCAAATCAAAGCCTGAGGGACGTTTGAAGCTGAAGGACTGAATGAGTTGAAGCGACACGAGTTGAACTGGTTGAATCCAGTGGATCATAACACATTGGTTGTGGGGAGCGCAAACCTTTCTATATGGATGCCGTTTTACCGCGTTTCCACGAAATCTGCCAGAACTCTGAAACCTTTCGGATTGGATCAAGGCAAATGACTTGTGGTCTGCTGCAGGACCACGAGTGTCAGAATGGAATCGATAGCGGCTCCTCTCAACGGAGACTAACAGAGTGCATGACATGACCATCCTGGGCCAATTTGGAAAGCAAAAGAATTTTAAAAAAGCATTGTGACACATTTCACTCCTTCATCCGGGTGATATGATGAATAGCAGCGTACCTCAGATACTCCTTCATTTTTAATGCATCACTCCAGGCTTGATCAAGTTCTACTCTACATGCATTAAGAGGGGCATTTTTATGGGCTTCCTTAATGTCACACGTACCTTCCTGGTCTTTTTTTTTTTCTCTATCTTAGCTGCCGTCACGCCTTTTAATATGTGCTGCCGCTCTAAAAGTCATGCGCAGAGACTTTCTGCCTCGAAGGCACCGGTTATTGCGCAGGCCAGACCTGTTGGCTGTGTTTGTGTTGGGCTATCGTGCCCCACATGTGCTCATCCTGCTTTATTTGCTCTGCCGCGAGCTGTGAACCCTTTCGACACCTGCCTCTGCTCCACCGTTTTGCCGTGATTACATCATTTGTTTGTACCGGTGGCTTTCCGGTCTCCCTCACACCCCGTGGCTAACGTTTATTTATTCCATCCCCCGGGATGGGATGATGCATGAGAAAACAGGCCCGTGTTCTTTTGCAGCCGACTATTGAAGCCCCCGTCTCTGTTTTTGAATCCTAAGCTCAGCACCAAGTCGGCGGCAGTCTGGAAATTCATTTTTACCAAGAATGTCACGTCTTGACAGCCTCAAGGCAACAGTTGCTGCAGTAACTCGACGTACTGTACTTAAGCGTCTTTCTTCGATGTGTCATTCAAAGCGCCCCGATGGCCACACAGAGCCCCGCAACAAAGTTCTCCCAGTCGATCCCCTGTTTCTGCTGGATTATATATATATATATATATATATTTTAACTCACCTTGCCGCACCCTTCTGGAAAAACCACCTCTACCGGCGTCCTGCTGTTTCCTCGGGGTGCTGCTTTGTCCCTCGCAGGTTTTCTCGGCTCGAGACCAAAGCTTCCACAATCCCTTTCAACTTGTTTTTTCCAATTGCCAAAGTTAAAGTGCCGGTGGCCCTCAGCGGGGGGCTTTGCTCAGACCTCAGACCCGAGCAGCCACTAAAACCACTCGTTGTTCTGTTGAACCTTTTTGTATTTTGCTTTCTTTGTTTGTCTCAGCCCTTATGACAGGCATTTCATCCATATTGGACTATTTCCTACCTTGCATTTAATGCGAATGTGTGGCAACAGTGGCGACAGAGCTAAGCGCTGGTGGGGGGGAACCGTTCATTTAGCTGCCCACAAGTATGTTTGGTAGCCGGCTTCTTTCCTTCACTTTGTCTTCTTCTTACGTAAATTCAGAATTGAGCTTAATGGTGTTTGTAAAAACGGGATCCGTAACGCAGTATTTTAACCAGTGATGTCTTCATCTCACTCGCATGTGCAAATGTTCTCTGGCTGTCGTGGATGCCGCCTCGGTGCTTGTTAGTGTCATCTTCAGATTCAAATTCCTCCCGACATCCTTCCTCTGCTGCTAAAGACATTAAGGGACTCCGACTGGGACGGTGTTTGAAAGAAGCCCAGCAGACAGCCGGGGCGGCTTTCCCGTGTGTCTTTTATTTTCGATCAAACAATCTAACAGTTCGACCTGAGATGCTCGTCGTCTGCTCATTGCTACCTTTTCTTTCGTTTGGGGAAATAGCTGATGAGGCTGTTTGGTGATTATTCAAGCGGCTTCTCTCTGCCGATGCGCTTTAAAGTGACGCTCCGTCTGCAGGCCTCGTCCGACGCTCCTCACCCGCTGAGAGGGGAGGCGGGCGATCCCCTTCATCCTCACGCCGCAGCGTTTCATTTTTTTCTCTTTAGCTCATCAGTTCATCCGGCAAGCGGGCCCACATTCGCTCTGTCACGTTGTCCGTAGACCCCCCTGACAGAAGGGCTGCAGTGACCACCGACGGATCAGCGTGTGAACCGTGTGCTAATCGGCCCACAGCCGCTGCCGCGCCGAGCTTCCCTCCAGTCCCACCAGCGCTGCATATATTTCATTTTCAGGTATTTCAGGGCTTAAAAGTTAAAACATTTACACTTTCATCATCTCATCTCGTGGGTTTATCTCCTCTACTTATGCCTTTCATTCTGTTGGTAATTGCATTTGGCCCCTGAGGTACACGTCATTCATTCTGCCTAATTAGCTCTCCTGACCCTCTGAGCGCGGACGTGACCTGTCCATCCAGCGAAGGCGCCGACTCCCGCCTCCCCGCTCTGGCTGCAGGCTGGCACGCGGACCGGCCGCTAAAACCGAGCCGAACGCGCGCACGTGCATTTCCACCTGCATGCGTCCGCAGCACTTCTGAACCTGCCGTTATTGAGCTTGTTTGGGTAATCGGTAGCAAAAGCATTTAACACATTTGTTGCAGGCGGGCCGTTCGAAGCCAACTTGATAATGCACGCGACTGCTGCCATCGGCCTGCCCACCCCCCCTGCCCCTCCCAGAATGCACCAAATTAATCAATGACTGGCAACAACGCTGGCACGAAGAGGACGGCTGTGTCCTGTGATAGCGGATTCACGTTGAACAATGGGCCTGTTTGCAGCAGACTGGGAAGGAGAGTTGATGTTTGAATTAATCGGCACCTTGCTTTGCTTTTCTTCCTCTGTGACTGAGCATCCGCGGGAGGAGACGGGGGGGGGAGGGGGGCCGTCAGTCGTAACTCACAAATGAATCATCTTTGTTATCTTTCATCCCACTTGTTGGCCGGCAATGATTGAACGAGCGCTGTGGTGTAAATTACATGTCTCTCTCCGTCCTTTATCCTTCAAAATAAAGGTACGGCTCTGGGGTCCTTGCAGGAGCGATAGAGTCACAGCTGCTTAGAAAGGAAAGCAGAAAAGCCCAGAGGACATTATTACTACTATGAGTGTGATTCTTCACAACCTCAGCACAAATCACGGCGCATGCCTGCAGGGCCCCCGGCTGTAACTCCTTAGACACTCGTAGGGCGCCTTCAAAAGCTCGCTCACGCAAACTTGGCGTGGGGGTGAAGTCTGTAAAGGGACGTCGGGCTCAACCTTTTCTACCCCCCCAAAGGTTTAGGCGATGCAACGGTTCAATCCACACCCTTCAGGAGGAGGGGTGGGGGGGGCTGGAGGGGCAAAGTAATGTGCTACTTTCGTGTTATTGCTCTCATCTTTCACACGGCACCTCTCCCCGACACTCGCCACAAGCTGCGTTTAAACTGGGCGAGTGGTGCTCGACTCTGACCGCGGCGGGGTTAACCGGGGGCCGAGTGCTCCGCCGGCTACCGGCTGAGAAATGAGGATGGAACATCATCATAAAGCCACAATTGCTGCACTTATGTCAGAACGGCGCGTTAACATCCAACGTTTCTATGTGCAATGTCAGTTTTCCCCCTAAAACATGTTCTTGTATTTGCAGTTTCCTCTGCATATGTTATTTCAACATGTTTCAAATTGGGACTAAATTCAACTGGAAAACTCACGACTGATGCAATAGCACATGGGGAGTGTATTACCAGCGTGTGTAATGTTGCCTCTAAATATACGTTTTCATTTCCAAGAGGAACAGTGTGTTATTACGTCTTTCAAAGTAAATAAAAGTCTTGTGAATGTTTCCATCTTCTTCATAAAATCATCGCATACTCGCCTCCTTCTGTTATTCGTTGCTGCAGAGACATTGTGTGTGGATTCTTCAGATGAGGAAACTTCCGACACTGCGAAAGATGGCGAGCTGCCATTTTTGAAGCCGCGAAAGCCATCATAACCACGGGCCTCCATCTGTTTTAACGCAGTGTTTTAACAGTAGAGACGGTTTTTACGTGTTTTGATGGATATTGTGAGAACAGCGGCGGCTTTCTTTATTAAAACCGTGCAACACCGGCGCCATTTAACAAAGCGCTTCTCCGGCTCCCTTCGGGGGTCCTGCGTGGCGTGAACCCGCGGGCCAGCTCGATTAGCGGCTGACCTTCCATTATCTTCTGTCCGTCATCAGCCAGCCGTGGGGCACCGGGAGGAGCCGCTGCACTCGCGTCCGATAGTTTTTCATGGATTCGGGTTTCTGTGAAGCACGGATCAAAAACTCGCTCAGACGTCTGGAACAGAGAAATGATTGGAAACACAACACGTGCGGCACGGTCGGTGTGGGAGAACATTCTGTATCTCATCAAGATGTGGTGCAGGGAGGCAGAAAGGATATCGTTGGTGGAATCGATGCTGGGCGTAAATGAACTAACTCTGAGTTAGAATGTGAAATGTGTGCAAACACAATCAAATCAAATCATATCTTTTATGTTTGCATGTGCATAAAGTAAGTGGACCAGGTTGACCAGCTGATCCTCTGGTGTGGTCAGAACATGCTCAAAGCTGTGGAGACGACACATCTGCATATCGTATAGTCTTGTTTAGTACATATGAAAAAGAGTCCATTTCCATGCGTGTGTGAGCATGGCCGATGAAGCTGGTTCTGATCTAAAGCCCAAGCTTAACAGCACCAAACCCGCAGAGTCTGCTTCCCTTTGACTCTCAGGCTGTAAGTGTTTTAATCACGCAATAAGTCCAGGCGTGCTATATTCACTGCAGTGGATGCCGGTTTCACGTTGTTTTCTTTGCCTGAATGAGTAACGGAATCCGTAACATTCAGCTATAAACTCTGTCAACCGCCTGCATGGGCGCGAATCATTGAAGAACTGACGCTGGAATCCTATTTATCCATTAATAAGAGATGTGATGCGAGGAAACGAGACGGTGACACTTGCTTTCACATCTTATCTATTGCGTGCAGAGCTCTCTCTGCAAAAGGGAACCTGCAGCAGCACCAATAGAAGCCTATTGAAGGGCCTTTGATCTCGTATGCGTAATTGCACAGCGGCGTCCCGAATATTCCCAGTGAGCCTTCACACACAAAAGACACATCTTCTTTTTAGCGCGATAGCGTGAAGTGCTGTCTGAAAAAGACTCTCTCTGTTCCAGCGCGGTGCCAAATTAGCATTTCCTTTTATCTGATTGCCAGGTGAGGCGGCGGAGGAGGCAGCTGCCGAGGCCTCCTCGTCGGTGTGCCACTTCTCCCGGGCCGGAACGTACACATACAACCGCGGGTAAGTCTCTGGCGTCAGGTCGCATGATGCGTGCGCTTACGTCTTTTTACCCGCTCACAGGCCGCCGAGGCTGCGTACGCAGTTCTGCAACTCAAAGGGCCTCGATCATGTGTCTCTAGATTTGATGTCCTCTGATCAGCGGGAACAGCGGATAAAAAAATGAATAAATGCACGCTGTCACGCTTTTCCAATTCCCACCTGGACCCCGATGCACAATCAGATCAAGTTGCACAACCTCAACATGAATACACAATCCAGAATGTGTCAGCGTGGCTCTGTTGCTTTGTGATACAAAGGAGCCCGAACCACACAAACTGAGAGCGCGTCAGTGTTATTAGGTGTAGATACACACATGAATGGACCCGGAAAAAACTGAATGAGCTGTCGGAATATTCTACAAAATACAAGAACGGTACTCTAACATACAAATTGTATTATAATGACCACACAGGAAGTGACATAAAGGTTTACTATGTGACATGAAATGTGGACGATGAAAAGGGCACGACTGTAGATCAATACAATACTCAGTGACAGAGAAACATGGGTTATAGGAAGAATTTTAAGTACCATAACTGATATAGTTCAGAGAAAAGGATTAATAGCACAGGATTGTGAATGAACTGTAAAGTCCAGTTATCGGGGTATGATCAAGATTTATTTCCTTTTGAAAATATACCCATAAATTTGTCATATGAAAACAATTATACAACCTTGAACATTTTTTCACAACAGGATCACACAAGTTAACACCCACCTCCCTGCATTACAAACAATTGCCCTCAATTGGTTTTACTGTTTTTTTCTTCTTCTTTTTTTTTCTTAAACATTTAAAACATTGTCAACAAAAAAACTAAACAATACAAGGTTTCAACTACAACTCTCAAATTGCCACCTATTAAACACCCAGAACGCCTCGGCGCCCGAGGGAAGAATCTGGACACGCTAAAGCTTGAAGTGGGGCGATCAAAAGAAACATGTGACAGGAGGGCGAAACGCTAACCCATAAATCTGTGCGGCTCAACTTTGTCTCGTCCCAAAGAGGGACACGGCCGGTAAATCTCTGCCCTTCTGTCTGGACCCCGACTCTCTCATATCACGTCGAGGGATTTGTTTGGCAGGGAAACCTGCCCGTGATTTATTATGTCATAAAATGGGTTCAACGTGCCACTTCTGTGGCTGGAAGTTTTTTCTGGAGTAATAACAGCTCTGACCGCTGAAAAAGAAAGATTTCAAATGGAAACCGCCGTGTGTTCGTTTAACGGCTCCTCGAGTTTGGGAAAAAATCCCCCATCAAACATCGGAGTCATTCCGACGGGGGCCTGTGAACTTCTTCTAAATGTCTGCAGCGTCTCTCTTAAATATCTTAAATATAATCTTTGTGATTTTTTTATTTTTTTTGTATTCAAACACGTTTTAGTCAACGGTGGCAACGCCGTTGCTACAATGACCCAACGCGAGCCAAGGCCTGGAGAAATGCTTTGGACCTCGATCGCCGCGTCCAACGAGAAAGGCAAATGCGTGCACATGCACAAAGAAACGCACGGATGCACTCACGCGCACACACACACACACACACACACGCACACACACACACCCTTCCATTCTGCAGCTAAGAGGGGCTTTGGATGATTTAGTCCTGTCATGTCGCAGCGGTGCCGGCTCCCAAACGGCTTCCTCCCTCGCCCCGATGTCACGGCGGGTCGACAACATCATTACTCATCACATCACCACTGAAAGACATGCCTAGTGCAGCACCACATCACTCCCATATTGATATGTTGGTTATAGTAGTATACTTAATGTACCGTATGAGAACATTATTTCATATAAACACATCCACGGTTTCATAGATCACTTTTATATTCACATGCCCACTTTATCACTAGATCACCGTCATATCGACACCCACTGTAAATAGTACGTCACTTTTGTTAGTCACAAATTCACCGAGTGATAGAAAAAGAAATGTTTCCCCCTCCCACAGCTGGTATGTGCACTTTTTTTGTAGACTTCGCTAGCGTCCGCGTAAGGTCCGCTTCCTTCCTTCTTTCCTTCCTTCAAATCATCTTCATGTTCACCCGCCGCGGGCCGCTCGTTTCCGCCACGTCTGCCGCCGCGCCGTTGGACTTGCGAGGGACGTACTCGATGTCAAAGTTGCTCTTGTGGCGTCCTTTCCCCCGGCTCCACACGAACAGCAGCAGGAAGCAGAAGATCACCACGCCGAGGAAGGACAGGCAGCCCATTGCTGTAGATATGATGATGGTCTTAAGGTCTATGGGGACTGTCATGTTGTACAGTACCGTCCCATTGCCCCACGTGCTGTTGGAGTCTGTCAGATAGTTTGAGCTCCTGTTGCTGAAGTGAGATCTGTCGCCGAGGCCCAGGCCCTTCACAGCTAGAGAGGCCGACAGGCTGGCGTTTCCAGCCGGGTTACTGGCAACGCACAAGTACACGCCGCTGTCATGCAGCTCCGCCTCCTTGATCTCCAGGGTCCCATCCGGCCGGACTTCCATCCTGCCGCTGCTCTTGGTCGTGATGTGGCTTCTGTGAGGCGTGACCCACACCACCGAGGGCCGGGGCGCTCCCTCCGCCGTGCAGCTCAGGCGGGCCGGCTGACCCTCGTCGGCCATCAGCAGCTGCGTCGTGTTGGGTCCGATCCGGGGCTTGGTGCAGATCATGTATCTGGAGACCAGAGGCTCCTTGAGGTCACGCAGTGGTTTCCCCAGGAGGTGCTCCGGGGCGCTGCACTCTGGCTGCACGTCCAGAATCTGCAGAGCGGAGGGCTTGTGGCTATTGAGCAGCCAGAGCAACCTGCAGTCGCACACTAATGGGTTACCGCCCAGACAGAGCCTCTGGAGGGCGCCCGGCGAGGCGAACACGCCGCTCTCCAGGGAGTCCAGGCGGTTCCGCGACACGTCCAGCAGCTGCAAAGACCTGAGGCCCGAGAATGCAAAGGGCTCGATGGAAATCAGACGAGCCCCTTGGAGGTGGAGCTCCAGCAGGTGGGGCAGTTGGCCCAGGTCGCCCTGATGTATGTGCTTGATGCGGCTGTAGGACAAGTTGAGATGCGTGAGGTAGGGCAGGCTGCTCAGGGCGGCGCCGGGGAAGGCCGACAGGTTGGTGTTGGTGATGACCAACGACGTGAGGTTGAGGCCGTGCAGGGAGAAGGGGGGCAGCGTCTCCAGCCAGGGCCAGTAATCAATCTCCAGTCGGCGGAGACGTGATAACCTCTTGAAGGAGAAAGGTTTTAGAAAGCTGATGCTCAAGTAGCGCATGCGCAGCTCGACCAGGCTGTGCAGGTGCGTCAGAGCGTCAGTGGGAACCACGGTCAGATTGGAACGTTCCAGCGTGAGACTTTGGAGTCCAAGTAATCCAGTGAAGGCTCGCTGAGAGATGAAAACCAGCTCATTGTCGCCCACCTTGAGGGACGTCAACCTGCGCAGGTCTTGGAAGGCATGGTCCAAAAGAACCACCAGTCGGTTGTGTCCCAGTTCGAGGCGGGTGAGGTTGGTCAGGCCCGACAGCACGCCGGCGGGAACCAGCTGAAGCAGGTTGCTGCGAAAGTTGAGCGAGCGCAGAGCAAGCTGAGAGCGGAAGGAGCCGGGCTCCACCACGCTGATGAGGTTGTCGCTCAGGTCCAGGTCCTCCAGCTGCAGGAAGGAGGAGAAGTTGTCCGGCGTGATGATCCGCAGCTTGTTCTTGCTGAGGTCCAGGACGCGCGTCTCAATGGGGATGCCCTCCGGGATGGTGGGCAGGCGCTTGCGGTGGCAGCTGACCGACTTGCTCTGGGCGGAGCACTCGCAGCGGGCGGGGCAGCTCAGGGTCGGGCTGGCCAGGAGAAGCAGCAAGGCCCCGCCCAGGAAGAGGTGGCAGTGGTTCAGGGCTGCGTGTCGCATGTCTCTTTTACCCACGTTGCCCTCTGTCACGGCACAGCTTCTTGTCCACACAGAGCACCATCACGAACACGCCCTGCAAGACACGGCATGCAAGAAAAAGCTGTTAGAAAACTCAACGCTCAACTCAATCTTCACCACCTTTCGTTTTCGTTTTTTAAAAACATTTTTAACCTGCTAAATTGTATGCACTGAACTGTCACTTTTTCTGGCAGGGCGGATTAAGTGGCGTTGAACTCGTCAACCGGGGCGAGACACAGCAAGAGAAATAAAGGAGAAAGACGTTGCAGGCTAACCGCTGGATGTTTCGTGAGGGTGGATGATGTTTCAAGCCGTTTTGGTGCATGTCTGCGACTGACGATAATGGTGTTTGTGTGTGTGTGTGTGTGTGTGTGTGTTTGAGGGGATGGGGGGGAGCGTTTAAATCAAAAGACAAACTGAACAGGAAATGAAATGGGAGTTTATCGCTAAAACCCTGTGAATAAAACGTGCTTGTGTAGAGAATGCATACATCTCCTGCTCATCAATAATTGAAAAAGCAATAAAGAAATAAAAGATGTGCACATTTGAATAATCCCCACAACGGTTTATATTTATGTCGTTTCTCCATCGCTGGGATCCTCTTCCCTTCTGCAAGTGTTAAAATCACCCGGCTTCTCCAAAGCATCAGTAAAGTGGTATCTCATGATACTTGACGTTAATGTGTGTGTGTGTGTGTGTGTGTGTGTGTGTGTGTGTGTGTGTGTGAGAGCATCTCTCACACAGCCGTCCATGCAGTGTGGCAGAGCCGGATGAAAGCACAAGCTCACAGGTGTGGCAGCACTTCCTGGCTGGATAGCTGCACGTTACAAGTGTAAAAAACCCAGTACGTGCAATAAAATCTTTAACCTATGAAGTATGAAGTTGCTCTTCACAGATTTCATCCATGCTCATTTTTTTTCTTTTTTTTTACCTTTTCGGTCATCTCTGGAACACACACACACACACACACACACACACACCGAGGGGTTTCAGGGTAGCTGCAGGGTAATGAGGGGAAGGGTGTCTAGTTTGACTGTTAAACACTGTGTTCTCTGAGAGCCGCGCCTCCCCACAGCTACAGACACCTTCCAGCAGCCACAGGTTGTGGAGTTGGCAGATGGCTGTGGAGACAGTGAGGCTGACCATAATTGCCTCATTACCAGTCGTATCTGGATTCCCGCTCGTGGCTACCTTTGCCAATTAGGCAAAACGTCAGACACATCTGTGGGCGCTGGAAATGTTGAGCGCACGTCGCGGAGGAAAAGAAAACATGCTAGAAACATGAAAAGGTGCCTTTATAAAAAAAAAAAAAAAGCTCTCAGACTGCGATGAGATCTCCTGTCAATCACCTCAAAGGACGATCCGATGAAAAAAAGCTAAGTAGATGATGAGCACACAGGCAGACACACACGGCACTTTGATAGTGAAGTGAGCGACATTCGGAAAATAGCAGAGATGAGGCAGAAGGAGTCGGAGAGGACACACACACACACACACGCACACACACACACACACACACCCTCCATGAAGCACTCACCTCTCCACCCGGCTCAGCAGCTGCACTGCTTGCATTTCCATATCTTCCCTCTTTCTTCCCATCGCTGTTTTATCTCTCTGTCCTCCTGTTCGCACACCTTCTACCTGTCTCTCTCCCTCCCTCCCTCTCTCTCCCTCCCTCCCCGATCCCTGCCGGGCAGACGGGTCGGTTCGTCGGTCCCTCCTGCAGGGTTTTCCATCGATCGCAGCGCAGAAACATCAGATGCCAGGATTGCAGCCTTTAACAAAGAGCAGTCCGTTGCCACAGCAACTACAAGCCCTGACTCCCATCCGCTCCGTGTAGTCTGCCAATCACATTAGCGGTGAAAAAGGAGGAAAATCGAGTGACGCGGGGCGACGTTCTTTCTTTTTAGATTCCTTCGGTGTTGGCGTCGGGAGAACGCTCAAATTGAACGCATCCCTGGAAGTTGGGGTTCATTGCTGCAGCGGCGCCGAGCTGAAGGTGTTTCCAATCTGTCATCCTGGGCCGTCCTCGCTATTTGTCGAGCTGTCTTGTTGCCCATCCGTCTGGTGGTCTGGTAACTACCTCTGTCTGCCCTGTTATCCGTCCACCAGCCCGCGCGTCCGCCTGCTTGTATTTATCTGTCTGCCTTTGGCCCGTCAGCCGGCTCCTCTCTGCCTCCCTGTTTGATGATTATAGTCCAGTTGTCTGCCGCTGCCGCTGTGTCCTCCTAACCGGCGCGCAGTAAGCCATTTAAACTCACATGGAGAAGATCGAAATGCTTATTGTTATGTTTGACCTTTCTAATGCTTTCTCCGGAGCGACATCTCGGAAAGAAAGAAAGAAAGTTCAGCATCCCGAATGCAGCAACTTGAATTTCATTTAGGGTTCACATCGGCGACAGACAACGTAGACGCAGGTGGCTCGCTGGAGAAACAAAGACTCTAAATGAAAGTACTACTTCAGCACTTTTTCAAACGCATTACCCTGAGAGCTTTGACTCTGTTGCGGACCGGCAGGCTGTTTGACGTCCCAAATCCATATCTGGCACGCGGCAGCTTTTTGTTTTCAGTTGTTTGCCTTTGAGACAACTTTCTCAGCCCATTCGAGCTGACAGCGTAATACGATGTGAAAGATCCAAGCGGCAGAATGTGGCTTAAAGTCACTTTATCTTTTTTACCACTTGTTCCATAAGTGCTGAAAGAATGGTGGCTTCTTCTTTTGTATTTTGTGGCGACCGTGGCACGGTTAGCAGGAGATTTAGACGCTTGTTTTAACAAGGCCTCTATTTTCCCAGCTGAATACCGTAGAAATGAAGCTTTTTAGCCGTCGTGGCGATAACAGGTGGTGGAAGGAGTGAAACGCAGATGGAAATAAAAATCTCTTCCAGCCGACTGCAGAGAACGAACAGTAGGCCGCTTGCTACATTGTAAATATGGTCACGGGTTTAGCGAAACTACACGGAACGCTGAGATTGTAAAGTTCTCCTCTGGGCTCTCGTCACGTCGCGGCCGTCAAAACACGGTGACACATTTAGTGGCACATTAGCAGACAACGAATGTGACCTTTTCAGCATCCCTCAGCTTATTACTTCCACACTCAGACTCAACTGTGTCACGTGCGAGATGGAAAACCCACAAGATTCCCACTGCATTCTGGGTAAGTGGCGATGGCGAGGGGGAAGTAGGGGGGGTCATTGAGAAGGGCAGCCCGCGGGGTTGAGCGTTTTGGGATTTGCTTCTGAATTGGATTAGAGTCAGTGAAACTGTAGAAAATCTGACAGCGGAAAAAGGAGCTGCAGGGCGACGCATGAGTCACAGCGGGAGCGAGAGAGCGAGGAGAGATGGGTCGAGGAGAGGACGTAAGGACGCTAACGAGGTGACATAAAAAAGCCCCGTGAATTGAATTGAATTGAACCGAGTAAAGCTGGCGGAAGTGATTCCGTATCACTCATGTTGATTCGAATCACGACGGGCGCCATTGAGGCCACGTTCATTACACTTGGAACACTTTCCAGAGCTTCACCCGATGCTTAATTAGACTGTTCCAATTTTTTTTTTTAAACTACTCCAAATGACGGCACTGATCGCCTCAAGCTGGTTTATGATTTAATAATGAGCCGTATTGACGGAGTGCGTCCGTGGAATCAATGCTTCGTGCGGTGACTTAAAGCTGAAGCTATTAGCACAGTTACCCTGACACGTGTGTGTGTGTGTTGAGGTGCGAAGCAGTGGATGGTCTTAGTGGTGCCCGTGCATAATAATGTGCAGTATAAATCCTCTCTCCTCCTCTTCGCCGAGGCTCTGAATTCAGTTCATATCTTTGCATGTTGTTTTCCGCGGCATCGACGTTGGTTAATCGTCCCCCGTGCAGAAGTTTAATGCACATTTTTATTCCATAGAAACAAAGCATTTAATTATTGCTACGTTCTCATTTGCCACCTTGGATCACGAAACCCGAGAGGGCTGATTCATCCTGCTGTTTACCCTTGAAATATTAAACAAAGGCATGATTTGCTCATTTCCAGATGTGAAAGCGGGCATGAATAACGGAATTATTTCACATCAGAGAGTTCACATGAAGGCGCTGATTGCCGCAGAGCGAGCGCACAACACGTCAAACCGAAAGGACTAATCTCTCTCCCATTTTTTCTCTCCACCCCCCCCCCCCCTCCTGTTTTCTTATTTAAGCTTTTTGCGCTTTAACACAGCAACAAATGTGCAAACCGCGCCTGCTGCCGCTGATTGAAAGGGGGGGAATTAACGGCACATGAGGGATGCGTGTTGTGCTCATCAAGGCGAGGCGAAGGAAATCGTCGCTGATTGCTCTTCCGTCCGTGTTGTCACACAGGAAGATGCGGAGGGGAAGCAGACTCTCACGCCTCTGCGTTACTTGCTTACTGCGCGAAGAGCACGAAACCCCAAATGCGTCTAACAGCGGCGCAGCGCGAGCTCAGATTGAAGACAACTCGGCGGCGCCACGCCAGCGGGCCTCATGCGCGCGAGTCCGCACGCCCGCGCAGAGTGCAACGCGGCCCGCCCCAGTTTTCAGGATGCTTTTCGGGATTCGGATGCCGGTTCCCGAGCTCCTCGCGGGCCAATTAAGCCGCTCGTGCGTTCAAAGCTCTGCCAATGGAGCAGCTCCTTTCCGCGCCGTTAGCCGCGTGGCCTCTGAGGCCTCTGAGGCCTTTTGGCCTCGCGGAGCCATCGACGGCGCGCCACGTCTCCCACCGCGAGGGTCTCTGGGTTTAGGAAAAGTCCAGTTGATACCGGTGGTTGTTTGCTCGTGGCGTGGCGCTTTCCAACTAGAGGTGAAAGAAGGAGCCCAGACACCCGTAAACGAAGGCACTTTTCAGTTCTGATTCAAGCCCCTTTCAGCCATGCGTTCAACCCGATCACAGAGGAAGGCGCACGAACAGCACAAAATCACCAACATCGGCACGACGGTAACGATTGAGGTCATGTTGAGACATGAGAGAAGCACTTGGTCAGGATTAAGAAAAACCCGTTTGGGCTTAAAATAGAGGCGGACGGCCTCAGACTGCCGTCTCCTGGTCGGCAGGTTGCGTCGCACAGACGTGGCGGTGCTTCGCCGGAGTCTGAACAAGCACCTGAATAAATGTGCTGCTGTGACGGCAACCCGGCTGAGTCCTCGTGACGTCTCTGTGACACGTTCAACGTGTCTCAATCAACCGTCTCCAGGTGAACGATAAATCAAACGAATACGGGCGTCACTTGAATTATCGTCCCGGATCGGCACGGAATGCGGAGACGTTAGCGAGACACCTGCGAACACCGAAGCCTTTCACAGCTGCAGAGATGCTTGTTTCCCCCTCACAGCCGAGCGGTTATTGGACTTTTAGGTGGAGGCCACCGCATGATTGTTTTCATGACGAAGAAGCAAATCACCCCACAGAAATCTATTAGGAATATTGTCACGCTGTTAATTAACGGTTAAATTAAAAACGTCCATCAAAAGTCTGAAGCTCCATAAACAATTAATCTCTTCTTTGTAATAATGTACTCAAATTCTAATTTTAACACGCTTGTTTTTGGAAAGATGTTAACTGATATTTAATTGAATTAAATATGCTAATTAATAACGATTTTACAGGCCCATCTACACCTGAGCGAGAGAGAGAAACGATTTCCTGTCGGGCAAAACAAAATCTTCATCTCAGAGTACAACAACTACAAAGCTTAAATGATGAATTAATAAACCTGCCCTTTTAAATATTAGTAAGCAATTTGTTACTGTCGTTTGTGACAGATGCTTAAGGAGCAAATAAAAGCTTATTAAGGTCCTCCTTCATTATTGAATGATTTATTTAAGTAGCTCATCTATTAGCTACTCGCTAAAGGTTGAATCCCCCCCAAACATCAACGTGCAAACACCCAAATCCAGGCTGGTACAGGGAAGTGTGTATCACTGCATGCTACATTATCCTTTATAGTCGCACACCAATCATATTGTGCGATGGGATTGATTAAAAAGACCCATCGCTTCATTTCAAATGCTGCTTATGTTTCCTCCAAAAGAGATAATCTGATTTCTTTACAGCGAGTGTTTTGTGGAACGGTAGATCTTTTTTTTTTGTTTTGTTTTTTTCTCACCTTGACTCTCTTGTTGTTGCTTATACATCTCAGTGTTACTTGAAGGACACTCAGCATATCAGCTTCCTGTCTAATTTTAGTCTCGGGAGGTGGAGCTCATCCATTCTTCATGGTGTGTCACCTCCGATTCTCGGGCCCCTTCCCCTCTCGCCAAACACGAGTCTTAACTCCCGCGACCCGTCTAATAAACGTTGTCCTCTGCAGACGAGTCCAGCGGAGAGCGTTTCAAAAGGGCTTCGTCGGTTGGTTTCAAGTTTCAGCGGCGTTCTGGAGCAGAGGGGAGGATTATATTCAGTTAAGCTTGTGTGAAATCCTAACAAATTTAACTAACACGCCAAAAATAGGCCACATACGCTTTTTTTTTTTTACTTTACTAACTCTGCACACAATAAAACACACGACGCTCTCTCCCCGGGAGGGGAAGGAGACCCGGACATCTCAAGACCCGCGTCTCCAACGATTCCGGATGACGCCGAAACCGCGAAAAGGTCAAGTTGTTCACTCGCGTCTATTAAAAAGAAAAGGAAACGGAGCCGTGCTGATGTTGGTCGGTCTCTTGTTGTCATCAAAACTCAGGGGAGGCATTTGTACTGTCCGAGTCGGGGCCTGTTTCAATTATATGTTGCCCACATCGATCCCGAGTATTGATTCGAACCCATCCTTGATTTTAACATTCAACAGGCGCTTCTGTGGAGGAAGTGGGAACGCTCTCATTTGAAAGGATCCAGGATTCTCGTAAATAAGGCCTTTGTATTTCCTCCAAATGGCTCCATTTGTCCATGGAAGAGTCAGGTCGCGCCGAGCGAAACGTCTCGCTCGCCGCTTGCAGGTAGCTTAGCTTAGCACGAAGACTAACAGCTGGCCTTTTGTCTGGGATAAAGAAAGGTGATTCGACGTGTTTGATTAGTGAGCGCGCGGTGCTGGTGGGAGGACTTTGTGTGTCCGGGTTCAAGCTGAGATTAGCCGCTGACCGTAGCTTCCTATTTAACCCGATGCGCGAGATCAATAAGTACCAACACGATCTGCCACGTGGTCACTGCCGTCTAGGTACAATAAGTGCAAAGCTGTACAAATCGATGCAATTAGATGCAAAACACTTAATTATTATTATCTAAGGTATTTACACAAAGAATCCAATATTCATGAAAATAATCCATCTAAAAGGTTTGATAATAGCAGATATCATTGAGTTTTCACGTTCACGTGCCACAATCAAAAGATATTCTTTAAAACCCTTTTTTTGTTTTTGTTTAAAACCTCCCTCCCAGCTTCAGGCCTCTCATTCATTCAGGAAAGATGATTCATCTCCGGGAACGAGAGAGCCTGCGGTTAACAATACTCTATTTGCACCAGAGTGATAATAATTAGAGGAAAAAAAAAAGTAAAAAATCCAATCTATTCACTGTGCTTGGGGACGTTTATTTCCTGCACACTGCCCGCGGGTCACTGCATGCATTTCCATCATTTACTTAAAAACGGCGTCAACTGGTAGACGTCAGGCATCGGTGGCTAAAGCTAAGACGCTCCCGACAGCTCGTGTAATTAACGCTCGCTTTAAAAGTCACTCGCTTCCCATCAGCCGCCGAGGGGTTTGCGTTCGCAGCGTGCGCTCATTACGCGTTCCTTTCTTTTAGAGCTCGCACGCCTCTCATTCCCTGGAAACCCTCCACTTTTAAAAACGACGTCGGCGTGGGAGCCGCTGCTGCCTCCGCATTCAGCTCCGCCGTTCCAGGAAGTCCTTTCCGTTGCTAATTGTTGGCGACAGGATTCCGATGGCGGCCTGAACGGAGCGGCTCATTTTCTCTTCCTCGTTACTTTGCTTCTTTCAGTAACGCAGTTTGTAAATAAGTCACTCACACTCGAGGTTTCTTAAAAGGAAAATCTCGATGTACTTCCCATGAAGCTAACAAAAGGTAGCGCCGTTGCATTTCTGACACCCGAACCCCTGGGCGAGGGATTAGGGCCCCTCCGCGCCGCCCCTGAATCCCACGGGGGGGATTAGCGACTCTCTCACACGTCACAAAATCATTCTGACGGATTAAGCGATCGCCGCCGTCACTCCCGAGGATCCGAAGCCGCACGTGACGGCCAAGGTGACACCAGGAGAGGGAGACGGGAAGAGTCGTCCCCTCGTCCGGCAAGGGTCACTTCCGTCAGTAATGCTCGTTGTCTGGAGTTGGTCACATCTCAGTCTGACGTGGGGCCCTTTCTTTAATGCCGACTGAGGAGTACAGGCCTTTGGCACATCAGGTGTTGGCTTTGCTTCTGTTGGGACGCCAGGTTTAAAGAAGATAACATTTGCCCGTGAAAACAGGAGACAAATGATTACTCCCTAGATTACCTCACAATGTTCCCGTGTTTGCACAAAGGTCTGCATGGCGTGGCCGATATTCTCTGTCGGTACAGTTAAGTTTAGTTCCGTTGCTTTGAGGTTCCTGCAGAGAAAACGAGCCCTTTGTTCTGGTCACTTTGAAGACGCCGTAATGTGTCTGATCGTTCGAATGTGACAGAAGCCTGAGGCTCGCTGTGAGTGGGCAGCTCTTCTCCTGTGATTTGTTTACGCCAGATTGTCGATCCACAGAAAGTGTGTGTGCTTACTGGATGCTTTCCCAGGACATTACCTAAACTTTACACCTGCATTTCCGCAAAAATAGCCGGAGACTGAAGCGTTCTAGGACGGAAGCGGGACCGGACCATTGAGACGTGCTTAAACGCACTGAAGTCCAAGGCCAACGCACACTCATGCATTAATATTCCAAAACATTACGCACAGTCTGATATCCACTTGCAAAGCCTTGTGACTAAGCGAGAAGAAGCCTCCCACCGCACATCGGCTTCAGTCCGTACTGCCTCTGCTTGAAGGAAGTGGGGTTTGTACAAAGCTTCCATTATATGTTTAAACAGCGTTTCCCCCGTGCAGGAAACACAACGACTGGCATCCTGAATAGACAAAGCTCCCGAGGGAGCTGGTTTGTAGCATGGAACATAATTTAGCCCGACTCCTTTTCTTTTGAGCATTTTCCTGCAGACTTTTGTGTGTCTTCACGCGGCGGCTCAGCTGTCCCAACATTGTGAATCCCGAATATCGTTCCATTCAAGAAATCCAAACACATGCCAGGAAATCCATACAGAGGAGCTGGGCACAAAGGGGGGCTTCTGCAGCAAAGCCCCCGTCTCACGCGGGCTGGAGGACTACTGGTGGCATGCATCAATTAGCACCTCATCTATTTTCTATCAACGGAACACGGAGCTGCAGAGTAAACAGTGGCAGCTGCTCCGTCTCAGCAGAGCTTTTCTCTTCTCTCGCCAGTCGCCGCGCAGGTTATCTAAGGCGACAGGACAAAGGCGCCTCCTTGTACCTTGATTTTATCTTTTTGTCTTTCACATATCAGCATTTTCTGTTGCTGAGGCACGTCGTAACCCTATTTAACATACAAGGACCCCCAACTGGAGATCACATGAGACACATTTATTCCCATAACATGAGTGCCATCAACGGCTTTGGACACATTTTGTGTTCGTGCAATTCGAACACAAAATGTTTTTCTTCTTTGGCTGCAATTCGGTCTCTTGTTGGTTATGGAATGTATGTTGTCTGAAGAAATAAATCCTGATTATTATTATTTTAGAAGTGAAGTAATTCCAATATTAGTAGAAAAGGAAAACAAGGACACGTGTGATGGCTGCATCTGTGGCTAAATGGCTGATTGTATACATCATATTCTATTGTGTCCATTCAAACTGAATCATTGGCAACTTTCAAGACCCAAGAGAAGACGGCAGAAATAATAGAAATGAAAGGAATATTAAGCCGCCCAATGCTGACCAACAACTCTCCAAAACACTATACCAGATAAATCAGAATATATTCACTTCAGAGACATGAGCGGCTGTGAAAATGATTATGTGAATGTGGCAGGACGCAGTGATCAAGGTTCTGTCCATGTGGGAATGCTGAGTGCACGCTGCTGGTTCACCTTCCTTTAATGATCCATTAGAGCCGACAAACGGCCGGAACCATTACCACCACTTAGCTGCTCACCGAAATAGCATTCTTACTTTTCACAGAGCCACCAGCAACAAATTGCTTAATTAAATCTGTTGGTGTTTGGCTCACGTTAGTATGCTGACTTCTCCTTTTCTATAGATAAGCAGACTTAATGGACCACAATTCATTGCAGCCGAACAGAGTTTTTTCTATTTTAGGGAATATTGTTCTCTTCATTGCATTTCTGCAGTGTTTTAGTGAACAATGTGTTCTGCAGTGACATTTAGCTGATGCTGCTGTGATGGAGCCATGCACCCAGGAATCATGGAGGGGTCATGTGAGAGGAGCAAACGCTCACCCTACGTATGTATGAATGGATGAAATGGGAAGTAGGTGAGGCGGTTTAAAGGAAACCAAAAGATGAATTACGACACTTTGTCCCAACAGAATTCCCTTAATGCTCCTAACAAGAGAATAACGGCATATTGTGCCACACTGCACGAGTCCGCCGGTGAAATAGGTGGCAATCCTCTCGTGAAGACTCAGACTTTGGGGAAATTAGGAAAAAAAAACAAATTGTAAAATACTCCAGCAATCCGTCTTCCTCTAATTAAGCCTGTGGTGAGTTACTGAGCAAAGAGGAGAAGGGTCTGATACCCACAATGTTCCCAGGAATCTTCTCAGCTCATGTATTCCATTCCATGTCCACGGTGCATTTGGACTTCTGCTCTTTTACTTGTGGCCCTCTAAAGCCAGGTGCGTTAGATCAATACATGTGAATATATTTAGGAATCTTTTTTCATCATATTTTGACTCTGGATTTATAAGAAATGTTCCCGGGGCCGTTAGCGTAGCCGGATCTTTATCTGCAACGGTGCAGAAAATCCTTCGAATGAAATAAACAGATATTAAACAAAAAGGCTTCGAAGCATACAAATGTTGATTTAGAACACAAATGTCAGTGAGCAGTTGCTCGAGGTCGACGGCTGACTGGAACGAACGGCCTCAACCAGCTAGGCGCGGCGAGGCCTCGGGGAGGAAACGCGGCGGGATGTTCACGCTTCATTTACGAGCCGTCGCTGTCCACTGACGTGCGGTGCTGAATCCAGAAGCTGCATCGGAACTTGAACCCATTGGTAACATTCCAGGCTGGTATTTATTCCGCTTTAACCATTTCGTGTTGTGGGTTTGTGTCCTGTTTTATTTTGTAGTTTCCTGCCTCTTGTGTCCCTGGGTCCGCGTCACTTCCTGCCCTGTCGAGTCACTGATTGTTGTCCCTGATCGTTTCCACCGGTCTCCAATCACCTGCACCGTCCCAGTGTATTTAATGTGTGACTCTTGTCCTTTGTCGAGTCGTTGCGTTGAATGGGTTTTGTTGCGTGAGCGGCGGTCTGCATTGGAGTCCTGCTTCCGACACCTCGTTGTGTCACACGTCCTCACAACCAGATAGAAGTTCTCACCGTCGAGGCAGCTGGGAAGTGGTACGCACACGCACGAGAGACGCTCTGAAGACGAGACCCATCGAGTGTTTAAATAATGATGTGCTATTATTATCACAAACAAATAGTCCCCTTGCAATTAATTAACATGTAATTTGTGTTGTTAAGACTTTTTATTCTAGCGTTTTCAGCGGAACCTGCAGGTGTTGCTAAATCATACAAATCAGATAAAAACAGACCTGAGATATTCATCTCAATCAGGACTCAAACAACACAAGAACCTCAAATGACTTAAAATCAATCTACAATGTAAGACCCTGTAGACCCTCCTCAGGTAAACAGCGTTAGCTCTCTTAGCGCTGTTAGCTGCTAGCCGTGTAGAGGTAACAGATGTGCTCCTAACTTCACGTTGGAGTACGTTACACCTCCGCTGCACAGATTCTCTTCTGAAAACATTTAAAACCAGTTACATAATGACGCTGTTTCCTGACGTTTGAACTTCTTTGTGCCCCTGAGGGGGGGGGGGGGGGGGGGGCGATGCTGGTGACAATGGACGGTCTCGTTATGCTAATTAATCCCCAAAGCAGCTGCCAAACGCGGCGAGGACGACTGCTCGCACAGTTCGCGACATTTAGCAAAATTCTACACGTCCGCGATGTTCTCTCTCGTCCCACAGCACTCGTCTGTTCCCTCATCCACTCCAAAGTGTGACGTGTGATGGTTCTGCAGGACCTGGCTCTTAACCAAACGCTTTGCGCCTTCAGGGCAAGTTTCTGCAGTCCGGCCGCTCGATTGAGTCCAACCTGTCAGCTGGAAGGCAAGAAACAATTCAAATGCATTTGTTTTTGGAAACACAGAGGTTGCGGTAATGCTGCATTCCGGAAGATCTACAAGGTCCCACTTGCAGCTTTGCTGTGTTGATTTCATTGATTAAAAAATCGTTCATGTTGAGTAAGAAGAAATTAATTCATTACATTCATTTGGTGGTGAATCCAAATGTACGTCATCACACCCTTATTGTGATTCACCTTTCAATTCATTTTTAGTGCGCGTGAGGCGTGTCCTGGGCGTGTCTGTACGCTGTGACATCACTGCTGGCCGTGTCTGTACGCTGTGACATCACTGCTGGGCGTGTCGGTACGCTGTGACATCACTGCTGGGCGTGGTGACAGTGACCTCTTCTGAAGGAGACTCGTGACTGGAGTTGTCTTCCGCTGAGATTTGCTACTGACGTTCGGTGGCCATTTGAATTTCAATTAAATAATTTCTGCTGCTCCTTTGTCATCCTCCTCTCTGCCTGTCTTGCACTACAAGTACTATTTTTCTGCACAGTCAGATAAAGTTATGGATGAAAAGTCCTCCGCGGCTTTCTCAGACTCTCTGAAGTGTTCCGCCGTGCAACCCACATCAGTGTGCAAACTTTTCTGCACGGAAATGTGAAACAGTTTGAAGGAAATATTAAAGCACTCACTAACTGGAAGACACAATTGGAAATCCCAACACAAAACACGCTTGCGTCCCTCAACCGGGGGAGGTGCGTGAGGACATAAACCTTTAAAGTGAGTCTCAGGTCCCCTCCTCTTCCCCCGAGGGAATCCAGACGATGCCAGATGC